CTGAAGAGAAACAGACAGAAACATGTCCCGCAGTGAGGCTTTAACCCTGCTGTTCTAATGTGATGAAATGTCCCGCAGTGAGGCTTTAACCCTGTTCTAAAGTGATGAAATGTCCCGCAGTGAGGCTTTAACCCTGCTGTTCTAAAGTGATGAAATGTCCCGCAGTGAGGCTTTAACCCTGCTGTTCTAATGTGCTGAAATGTCCCGCAGTGAGGCTTTAACCCTGTTCTAAAGTGATAAAATGTCCCGCAGTGAGGCTTTAACCCTGCTGTTCTAATGTGATGAAATGTCCCGCAGTGAGGCTTTAACCCTGCTGTTCTAATGTGATGAAATGTCCCGCAGTGAAGCTTTAACCCTGTTCTAATGTAAGGAAATGTTCCACAGTGAGACTTTAACCCTGTTCTAATGTGAGGAAATGTCCTGCAGTGAGGCTTTAACTGTTCTAATGTGATGAAATGTCCCGCAGTGATGCTTTAACCCTGCTGTTCTAATGTGCTGAAATGTCCCGCAGTGACGCTTTAACCTTGTTCTAATGTGAGGAAATGTTCCACAGTGAGGCTTTAACCCTGTTCTAATGTGATGAAATGTCCCGCAGTGGAGCTTTAACTGTTCTAATGTGAGGAAATGTTCCACAGTGAGGCTTTAACCCTGTTCGAAAGTGATGAAATGTCCCGCAGTGAGGCTTTAACCCTGTTCTAATGTGATAAAATGTCCCGCAGTGAGGCTTTAACCCTGTTCTAATGTGAGGAAATGTTCCACAGTGAGACTTTAACCCTGTTCTAATGTGCTGAAATGTCCTGCAGTGAGGCTTTAACTGTTCTAATGTGATGAAATGTCCCGCAGTGACGCTTTAACCCTGCTGTTCTAATGTGATGAAATGTTCCACAGTGAGGCTTTAACCTTGTTCTAATGTGAGGAAATGTCCTGCAGTGAGGCTTTAACCTTGTTCTAATGTGAAGAAATGTTCCACAGTGAGGCTTTAACCTTGCTGTTCTAATGTGCTGAAATGTCCCGCAGTGACGCTTTAACTGTTCTAATGTGATGAAATGTCCCGCAGTGAGGCTTTAACCCTGCTGTTCTAATGTGATGAAATGTTCCACAGTGAGGCTTTAACCTTGTTCTAATGTGAGGAAATGTCCCGCAGTGAGGCTTAACCTTGTTCTAATGTGAAGAAATGTTCCACAGTGAGGCTTTAACCTTGCTGTTCTAATGTGCTGAAATGTCCCGCAGTGACGCTTTAACTGTTCTAATGTGATGAAATGTCCCGCAGTGAGGCTTTAACCCTGCTGTTCTAATGTGCTGAAGGCTTTAACTGTTCTAATGTGCCGCAGTGACGCTTTAACCTTGTTCTAATGTGATGAAATGTTCCCACAGTGAGGCTTTAACCCTGTTCTAATGTGATGAAATGTCCCGCAGTGAGGCTTTAACTGTTCTAATGTGAGGAAATGTTCCACAGTGAGGCTTTAACCCTGTTCTAATGAAAGTGATGAAAATGTCCCGCAGTGAGGCTTTAACCCTGTTCTAATGTGATGAAATGTCCCGCAGTGAGGCTTTAACCCTGTTCTAATGTGAGGAAATGTTCCACAGTGAGACTTTAACCCTGTTCTAATGTGCTGAAATGTCCTGCAGTGAGGCTTTAACTGTTCTAATGTGATGAAATGTCCCGCAGTGACGCTTTAACCCTGCTGTTCTAATGTGATGAAATGTTCCACAGTGAGGCTTTAACCTTGTTCTAATGTGAGGAAATGTCCTGCAGTGAGGCTTTAACCTTGTTCTAATGTGAAGAAATGTTCCACAGTGAGGCTTTAACCTTGCTGTTCTCCATCCATCCATCCATTTTCGTCCGCTTATCCGGGGCCGGGTCGCGGGGGGAGCAGCCTAAGCAGGGACTCCCAGACTTCCTTCACCCCAGACACGTCCTCCAGCTCCTCCAGGGGGACCCCGAGGCGTTCCCAGGCCAGCCGAGAGACATAGTCCCTCCAGCGTGTCCTGGGTCTTCCCCGGGGCCTCCTCCCGGCGGGACATGCCCGGAACACCTCCCGAGGGAGGCGCCCAGGAGGCATCCGGAACAGATGCCCGAGCCACCTCAACTGGCTCCTCTCGACGTGGAGGAGCAGCGGCTCTACTCCGAGCTCCTCCCGTGTGACTGAGCTCCTCACCCTATCTCTAAGGGAGCGCCCAGCCACCCTGCGGAGGAAACTCATTTCGAGCGCTTGTATCCGCGATCTCGTCCTTTCGGTCACTACCCAGAGCTCATGACCAGAGGTGAGAGTAGGAACGAAGACTGACCGGTAAATCGAGAGCTTCGCCTTTCGACTCAGCTCCTCTTCACCACAACGGTCCGATACAGCGACCGCATCACTGCCGAAGCTGCACCGATCCGCCTGTCAATCTCACGTTCCGTCCTTCCCTCACTCGTGAACAAGACCCCGAGATACTTGAACTCCTCCACTTGAGGCAAAGACTCCCCACCCACCCGGAGAGGGCAAGCCACCTTTTTCCGGTCGAGAACCATGGCCTCGGACCTGGAAGAGCTGATCCTCATCCCAGCCGCTTCACACTCGGCTGCAAACCGCCCCAGTGCACATTGCAGGTCCTGGTTCGATGAAGCCAACAGGACAACATCGTCCGCAAACAGCAGAGATGAAATCCTGTGGTCCCCAAACCGGACCCCCTCCGGCCCCTGACTGCGCCTAGAAATTCTGTCCATAAATACAATGAACAGAACCGGTGACAAAGGGCAGCCCTGGCGGAGTCCAACATGCACCGGGAACAGGTCTGACTTACTGCCGGCAATGCGAACACAGCTCCTGCTCCGGTCATACAGGGACCGGACAGCCCTTAGCAAAGGGCCCCGGACCCCATACTCCCAGAGCACCCCCCACAGGACACCACGAGGGACACGGTCGAATGCCTTCTCCAGATCCACAAAACACATGTGGACTGGTTGGGCAAACTCCCATGAACCCTCGAGCACCCTATGGAGAGTGTAGAGCTGGTCCAGTGTTCCACGGCCAGGACGAAAACCACACTGCTCCTCCTGAATCCGAGGTTCGACTATCGGCCGGATTCTCCTCTCCAGTACCCTGGCATAGACCTTACCGGGAAGGCTGAGAAGTGTGATCCCCCTATAGTTGGAACACACCCTCCGGTCCCCCTTCTTATATACAGAGGGACCACCACCCCGGTTTGCCAGTCCAGAGGTACTGTCCCCGACCGCCACGCGATGTTGAAGAGGCGTGTCAGCCAAGACAGCCCCACAACATCCAGAGACTTCAGGTACTCAGGACGGATCTCATCCAACCCCGGAGCCCTGCCACCAAGGAGCTTGCCAACCACCTCAGTGACTTCGGCCAGGGTGATGGATGAGTCCGCCTCCGAGTCCCCAGCCTCGGCCTCCTCCTCGGAGGACGTGACGGTGGGATTGAGGAGATCCTCAAAGTATTCCTTCCACCGCCGGACAACGTCCCCAGTCGAGGTCAACAGCTCTCCCCCCGCACTGTAAACAGTGTTGGTGAAGAACTGCTTCCCCCTCCTGAGGCGCCGGACGGTTTGCCAGAATCTCCTTGAGGCCGTCCGACAGTCCTTCTCCATGGCCTCCCCGAACTCCTCCCAGCTCCGAGTTTTTGCCTCCGCGACCACACGGGCTGCAGCACGCTTGGCCCGCCGGTACCTGTCAGCTGCCTCAGGAGTCCCCCGAGCCAGCAAGGCCTGATAGGACTCCTTCTTCAGCTTGACAGCATCCCTTACTTCCGGTGTCCACCACCGGGTTCTGGGGTTGCCGCCGCGACAGGCACCACAGACCTTACGCCCACAGCTCCGAGCAGCTGCATTGACAATAGAGGCCGAGAATGAAGCCCACTCGGACTCCATATCTCCAGCCTCCCCCGGAATCCGGGAGAAGTCCTCCCGGAGGTGCGAGTTGAAGGTCCCTCTGACAGAGGGCTCCGCCAGACGTTCCCAACAGACCCTCACTACACGCTTGGGCCTGCCAGGTCTTTCCGGCTTCCTCCTCCGCCAGCGAACCCAACTCACGACCAGGTGGTGATCAGTTGACAGCTCAGCCCCTCTCTTCACCCGAGTGTCCAAGACACGCGGCCGGAGATCAGATGACACGACGACAAAGTCGATCATCGACCTCCGGCCTAGGGTGTCCTGGTGCCACGTGCACTTATGGACACCCTTGTGCTCGAACCTGGTGTCCGTTATGGACAAACTGTGACTAGCACAGAAGTCCAATAACAAAACACCACTCGGGTTCAGATCGGGGAGGCCGTTCCTCCCAATCACCCCTCTCCAAGTGTCACTGTCGTTGCCCACGTGGGCGTTGAAGTCCCCCAGGAGAACAACGGAGTCCCCGGTCGGTGCACTGTCTAGTACCCCTCCCAAGGACTCCAAGAAGGCCGGGTACTCTGCACTGCTGTTCGGCCCGTAGGCCGACACCACAGTGAGAGACCTGTCCCTGACCCGAAGGCGCAGGGACGCGACCCTCTCGTTCACCGGGGTGAACTCCAACACACAGCGACTGAGCTGTGGGGCAATGAGCAGGCCCACACCAGCCCGCCGCCGCTCCCCGCGGCCAACGCCTGAGAAATGGAGAGTCCAGCCCCTCTCAAGGAGTTGGGTTCCAGAGCCCAAACTGTGCGTGGAGGTGAGGCCGACTATATCTAGTCGGTAACGCTCAACCTCCCGCAGTGAGGCTTTAACCCTGCTCTTCTAATGTGATGAAATGTTCCACAGTGAGGCTTTAACCTTGTTCTAATGTGAGGAAATGTCCCGCAGTGAGGCTTTAACCTTGTTCTAATGTGAAGAAATGTTCCACAGTGAGGCTTTAACCTTGCTGTTCTAATGTGCTGAAATGTCCCGCAGTGACGCTTTAACTGTTCTAATGTGATGAAATGTCCCGCAGTGAGGCTTTAACCCTGCTATTCTAATGTGATGAAATGTCTCGCAGTGAGGCTTTAACTGTTCTAATGTGATGAAATGTCCCGCAGTGAGGCTTTAACCCTGTTCTAATGTGATGAAATGTCCCGCAGTGAGGCTTTAACTGTTCTAATGTGATGAAATGTCCCGCAGTGAGGCTTTAACCCTGTTCTAATGTGATGAAATGTCCCGCAGTGAGGCTTTAACCTTGTTCTAATGTGAAGAAATGTTCCACAGTGAGGCTTTAACCCTGTTCTAATGTGATGAAATGTCCCGCAGTGAGGCTTTAACTGTTCTAATGTGATGAAATGTCCCGCAGTGAGGCTTTAACCCTGTTCTAATGTGATGAAATGTCCCGCAGTGAGGCTTTAACCTTGTTCTAATGTGAAGAAATGTTCCACAGTGAGGCTTTAACCTTGTTCTAATGTGAAGAAATGTTCCACAGTGAGGCTTTAACCTTGTTCTAATGTGAAGAAATGTTCCACAGTGAGGCTTTAACCCTGTTCTAATGTGATGAAATGTCCCGCAGTGAGGCTTTAACCCTGTTCTAATGTGATGAAATGTTCCGCAGTGAGGCTTTAACTGTTCTAATGTGATGAAATGTCCCGCAGTGGAGCTTTAACTGTTCTAATGTGAGGAAATGTTCCACAGTGAGGCTTTAACCCTGTTCTAAAGTGATGAAATGTCCCGCAGTGAGGCTTTAACCCTGTTCTAATGTGATGAAATGTCCCGCAGTGAGGCTTTAACCCTGTTCTAATGTGATGAAATGTCCCGCAGTGAGGCTTTAACTGTTCTAAAGTGATGAAATGTTCCGCAGTGAGGCTTTAACCCTGTCCTGATGCTGTGTCGTCCTCAGAAACATCCCTGGAGCTGTGTTATGTTGTTTGATGTTTCAGTTTCCTGCACATTTAGTCTCTCTCCCTCCTCACAGCTCACAACACTCAGTTACACTCAGTGATGTCATCTGGTGGTATTTGGTTTTAGGGCCGTAAAAGGTCTTTAACAGCAGGTGTGGAGGTGTGGAGCCTGATCGTAGTCTTCTGTTTGAACTTAGAGAACACGAAGGACCAAGAAGAAGAATGTGAGTATCATCGGGTCCATGCTCAGACCCAGGCCTCACCGGGTTCTGCGTAGTCCTGTTTGGATCCGAGTAGAACCAGGTCTTTGAGGGTCTGCAGGTCTCCAGGATCCTCCGAGGATTTATACTCCCCCCAGTACTGTGGACAGAGACCAGGACTGAACCAGGACTGAACCAGAACTGAACCAGAACTAAACCAGGACTAAACCAGGACAAAACCAGGACTGAACCAGAACTAAACCAGGACTAAACCAGGACTAAACCAGGACTGAACCAGGACTAAACCAGGACTGAACCAGAACTAAACCAGGACTAAACTGGACTAAACCAGAACTAAATCAGAACTGAACCAGGACTAAACCAGAACAGAACCAGGACTAAACCACAACTAAACCAGAACTAAACCAAAACTAAACCAGGACTGAACCAGGACTAAACCAGGACTAAACCAGGACAGAACCAGGTCTAAACCACAACTAAAAGAGAACTAAACCAAAACTAAACCAGGACTGAACCAGAACTAAACAAGGACTAAACCAGGTCTAAACCAGGACAAAACCAGGACTAAACCAGGACTAAACCAGAACTGAACCAGGACTAAACCAGGACTAAACAAGGACTAAACCAGGACTGAACCAGAACTAAACCAGGACCAGTGTTGGGGAGTAACGGATTACATGTACCACCGTTACGTAATCAGAGTACAAATTAACTGTATTCCGTTACAGTTACTGTTTCAATGAGTGGTAATTGGATTACAGTTACTTTGCTGAAATAAGTGGATTACAAGGCGGTATTTTCCTGTTTTCACATTTTGTGCTACATCCTGTGATGTATTATTAGTACGGCATCCGTAGGATTACGTCATTACGTATGTGCGTGATGTGAGCGGGAGTTGTGTCGTTGTTCCTGACGTATGACATAAAGCTTTTGTTAAAATGATCTGTCTTCATGCCTCCTAAATATAACATGGTGTCAGAAGATAACGCGAAAATAGAAAATGGCACAGTTTCAACCACCACAGAACCTGAGTTTGCATGGCAACCTAGCGGAAAATTGGAGAAACTGGATTCAACGCTTCGAACTTTTCTGCACTGCTAGCGGCATTGCCGAGAAGTCAGAAAAAGTGCAATGCGCCACATTTCTACATGTCGCAGGAGAGGAGGCGATAAAAGTAAGCAACACGTTTCACTTCTCAGAAGATGAAGAAGGCAAAATAGCGGCACTCAAGAAGAAGTTTCAAGACTATTGTGAGCCACGAAAAAACTTGTTCTTCACCAGAGCCCAGAAACAAGGTGAGACCATTGATGCATATGTCACGGATTTAAAAAACAAAGCCAAAGACTGTGAATTCGGAGCTTTACATGATTCTCTGGTGCGTGACAGAATAGTGTGCGGCATAATAAATGATCAAGTGAGAGGCAGACTCTTACGTGAAGCAGATCTGACGCTGGACAAAGCTCTGGATATATGCCGGGCCAGTGAGCTAACAAGCAGCCAAGTTAAAGCACTAACTGAAGAAGTGGAAATGAACAAGTTGAGAACAGTCAGGACAAAAGAATTCAAGAGTACACAAAAAACTGAGCAAAAAGAGACCAGTTGCAACAGATGCGGATTTAAACATGGAAAAAACTGTCCTGCGTATGGTCAGACGTGCAATGTATGCCATAAGAAAAATCACTATGCCAAGATGTGCAGAACGCAGAGACAACGTAAACAGAATGGAAAGAAAGTTCATGCGGTGGAGCAAACTGAAAATGAAACGGAGATGTTCTTGGGGACACTCGAAGTGGAGCACAACATAAATGTTTCTGAAATGGAGTCTACAAAGACTAACCAAGCAAAAGACATATGGACTGAGAGATTTAAAATAAAGAATAAAGTTGTGACATTCAAGTTAGACACAGGCGCAGATTGCAACGCGATGTCAATCAAGACACTGGATGCGCTTGGGGCCGGTGACACAATTCAGACGAGCAAGACGAAACTCGTTCCATTTTTTGGTCACAAGGTGGCAGCGTTAGGCAAGAAAACACTAACATGTGTACATAAAGGTCAAAAGCACAAAATTGAGTTTGAAATCACACAAGAGGATGTTTCAACTATTTGAGGAGGGGCTACCTGCTTGAAGTTAGGCTTAGTGAAAAGACTGTATGAAGTTACAAAAGATCACAACATTTTAAAAGACTATAATGATCTGTTTGATGGGCTGGGTTGTTTACCTGGTCAGCATCACATACAGATAGACCACACAGTCACACCTGTGGTACACGCCCCTAGGAAAATACCAGTTGCACTGAGAGAAAGAGTAGTACAGGAACTACAGCGCATGGAGAAGATGGGAGTAATAGCAAGGCAGACAGAGCCAACCGAGTGGGTCAACAGTATGGTCACTGTGGTCACACCAAAGAAGATACGCATATGTATGGACCCCAAAGATTTGAATCAAGCTATCAAACGTGAACACTACCCATTACTCACAGTTGAAGAAGTTGTCTCTCGCATGCCGAATGCCAAATATTTCTCAGTGCTAGATGCAAATCAAGGATTTTGGCAGATGAGACTTGACGAAGAAAGTTCCAAGCTCTGTACTTTCAATACCCCCATTGGCAGATACAGGTTCTTGCGTTTACCTTTTGGTATTTCATCAGCACCAGAGGTGTTCCAAAGAGCCATAGCACAGATGATTGAGGACTTGGATGGTGTTGTCAACATCATTGATGATTTGTTGGTGTGGGGAGACTCTAAACAAGAGCATGATCACAGACTGATAAAACTGTTAGACAGAGCAAGAGAATACAACTTGAAACTCAACAAAAACAAGTGTTTCATAAGGACAAATGAGATCAAGTATATTGGACATACACTCACAGACAATGGCTTGAAACCAGATGAAGAAAAAGTGAGAGCGGTGACACAGCTACCTACTCCAAAGGAAAAACAAGAACTGTTAAGATTCATGGGTATGATTCAGTATCTTGCCAAGTTCATACCAAACCTGTCAGATATCAGTGCACCTCTGAGAAAGCTACTTGAAGGAAATGTAGAGTGGCACTGGGAAGAACAACAGCAAAAAAGTTTTGAACTATTAAAACAGCTTGTCACCAACGCACCAACGCTCAAATATTATGATGTCAATAAACCAGTCACTCTGTCAGTGGATGCGAGTTCTGAAGGAATAGGAGCAGTCCTGCTGCAGGATGGACAACCTGTAGCATACGGGTCAAGAGCACTTGCGGACTGTCAGCAAAGGTACGCTCAGATTGAAAAAGAGCTCCTTGCCATAGTGTACGGCTGTGAAAAGTTTCATCAGTACGTTTATGGAAAAGACATTCAAGTGGAAAGTGACCACAAACCGTTGAAAAGCATCTTCAAAAAAATGTAGGACTATCCCCAGCACAGTTACTAATGGGACGTAGGCTGAAAGGAAAACTGCCAACTGCAACATCTCTGCTCACTCCAGATGGATCTGACAAGGCTCATCAGCAGCTGAAAGAAAAGCAGGTAAAACAGAAACTATATTTTGACAGACAAACAAGGACACTGCCTGACTTGCAAAATGGAGAAAATGTTCGCATTCAACGAGGAGAATCGTGGCAGCCGGCAGTGATCCTGCACAAACACGAGCAGCCACGTTCATTTGTTGTTCGTACACCTGATGGTAGGGTGTACAGAAGAAATCGTAGGCATCTACGTAAAACAGAGGAGAAGACATTCACAACAACCGGACAAGACACTAATCTGGAAATAGACTCTCAAATACAAAGAAGCGATTCTGAGACTTTCCAAACTGATTCACCTGATCAACATGTTGATGCACATGATTCACAGTTAAATGTTAATGCTGATGCAGTTTCATACATAACAAGATCTGGCAGAGCAGTAAAACTACCAGCTAGATACAAAGAGTAATGTGAATGTATTAATGTGCTTAAGTTTGATTTCAGATGGTTAATATTAAGGAGGTTCTGAGTTATAGGCAATAATCCATCATTATATTTGTTAATATGAAAAAAAAAAAAAAAATGTTTTGTACAGTTGGTTATAAGGGTACCTTAATGGAAAGAAGTTATACCGTAATAATTCATTTTGAACATATAACTTGTTAAAAAGGAGGATGTGATGTATTATTAGTACGGCATCCGTAGGATTACGTCATTACGTATGTGCGTGATGTGAGCGGGAGTTGTGTCGTTGTTCCTGACGTATGACATAAAGCTTTTGTTAAAATGATCTGTCTTCATGCCTCCTAAATATAACACATCCCATTTATTTATTTTTTTATTTCGGTAATTTCACTCATTGCCGGAAACCCAAACAGAACGCGCGCAATAAGAGCGATGGAAACGTCATGTTAAAGTTGGCGGTGTCAGTCACACAGTGGAAGCAGCAGTGCATTGGTAAAAACGCATTTGTGTCTTGGAAATTCTTCTCCCGATGTGAGATATATATATAAAAAAAACAAATATAAAATCGCCTACAACTTAAATGTGAAACCGGAGCTACTGGCACTGGTGAAAACAACCTGAATAGACTCATAATATCTGCACTACTGTCCTATAGTGACCTGCCACATGAGTGGACGTGCCCACAAACACACACCTTCATCATCGTCATCAACCTGAGAACCCGCGGACCACGTCTCCTTCCGTAGTTACAGCGCGGACACCGCCGTCTCGTGCGCCGCGTGTGGACCGTGTTTTCTCGCGTAAACCGCGCTTCCTCCTGTGCGCCTCTAAACCAGAACTAACACCAAGACTAAACCAGGACTAATCCAGGACTAAACCAGGACTAAACCAGGACTGAACCAGAACTAAAGACCTGGTCTAGACCAGGTCTAAACCAGGTCTAAAATCAGGAGTAAACCAGGTCTAAAAATCAGGACTAAACCAGGACTAAACCAGGTCTAAACAACATGACACCTAACAGTAGGTTGACATAATTTAAGGTGATCTCATATAAAAAATAATTTCTCTATCAATAATATTTTTTAATATGGTTCATGAAAGGCTGATCTTGTTACTGTCTTTTAACAGACAAAACCTCTTATATTAAGATATCATGGTCTTTGTTTCTCTACAGTAAACAGTTGTTTATTCATGGAGACTTGGGCTCAGACAATTTGAAGACAACAAACAAGAATTTTCAGGATGTGGTCGCTACATTCATGTCGATTAAAAAACATGACAATATCAAGTAATCCAAAGTAATCAGATTACGTTACTCACTTTAAGTAATTTAATGGATTACGTTACAAACTACATTTTGGGAAGTGTAATCTGTAATCTGTAGGGGATTACATTTTAAAAGTAACCTTCCCAACACTGACCAGGACTAAACCAGAACTGAACCAGGACTAAACCAGAACTGAACCAGGACTAAACCAGGACTAAACCAGGTCTAAACCAGAACTAAAACAGGACTAAACAACGACTGAACCAGGACTAAACCAGGTCTGAACCAGGACTGAACCCGCTCTTGTGTTACCAGCGGTGGCAGCAGGGGGGCGCTGCGTTGGAGGAAGGCCAGGTGGGACTGGGCCCCGGGGCGTCTCTGGGGTCGGCACTGCGCCCTCTGCTGGCAGGACAGGACGTAGCAGCGTCCCTGAAAGAGCCACGCCACGTCCGCCCAGGCGAGCTCGCACGCCGCCTCCACGCACCGCGGCAGAGAGGGGGCGCCAGACACACGCATCAGACCGCCGCTACGCCCCAACGACACCGGGGGCAGCACCGACGACGAGAAGGACGGGCCCTGCCAGCACCGCGACTCCACTGACACTGAGAGGACAGAGGACAGAGGACAGAGAGACCAGAGGACGGAGAGACAGAGAGAGGAGTGGGGGACAGAGGGGGGGGGAAGAGTAAATGGAAAGAGAGAAAAAGAGAGTGGAAAAGAGGGACACAGAGAGAGGAACAGAGATGGCGGTAAAAACTAGCAGTAAAAAAGAAGAATGTTTTTTGTTTGTTTGTTTGTTTGTCTCTGTTCTTCACCTTGGACGAGCAGCAGCAGCAGCAGAACACACTCCCTCATGTTTCAGTCTGAAACAGAAACACAGTTACACAAGATTCAACTCAAAGTAGCACCAGAAATGGAGAGAAAATACTGTGCAGCCAAAATACTTCACTCAGTTCTGCCAAATACTAATTGTATTTCTTCATGTGTTCTCAGCAGTAAATGTCACTGTTGTGACGAGCTGCTCATGGGAAGAGTTTATGTCCTGACTAAACAATGACAAAGAGAAACTGCCGAAGAAAAACGGCATTTAATAAACACCCCTAAAATAAAAGCAAAGCAGCTTTAGTCCACGCAGGAGGTCATATAATAAAATATGTTTATTTATTCATTTTAAATGATCTTTAACGGGCCGGTCAGAGTCGACCAAAGGGCCGCGTGTGGCCCCGGAGCCGCACAAAGCCCAGGTCGACTCTAAAGTGACAAAAACTTTATGTAACAATCTGAAATGATTTGAACATTTGTGTTTCTTGCAGCTTCTACAGATGTGATTTAGTTTGTCTCATTTTTGTTTGTGTCCTTTTAAAACACCAGATGTTGTGCTTTATTTCATGTTCTGTCCTTCAAATTACATTCACTTGATTATAACTCAGATGTTGTCCCGACACTTGTCTTTAAGTTATTCTTATTCTTAGTTTAGTTCTTAGTTTTTCTAATATTTATTTATCGTTTTGTATCTTCATTTTGATTTTAAAGTAATGCTACTCTTACTTGAGTACTCTACCACCTCTGACTTTTAGTGATACTACGTGACAAAGTGGTTTGTTCAGATTTCAGCACCACGTCGTGGACAGCGCCACGAGACTCCGCCCACAACAAGCAGCTTCCTCAAAAATACAACATAAACACACGCGTGTGAATAAATATGAAACAATCCAGGTCAGTCCGAGATATCATGTTCAAATGAAGTCCATTGCGCGATTTCACTTCAGAGGGGCAGAAAAGTGGATACAAAACAAACTCCCTAGCAAAACCCCACTTTTTAACGTTCAACCACAAACTACAAACAAATCCAGCGATACAATAACAAAATATGACTATTTCCTGAAATAAAAACATGTTTTGTACAAATCGGTTATAATTTTGATCATGAATATTATCCACCAAAACAATAATTCACGCATTTGTTTTGGCTTGTTCACGACGCCATGCATGACAAATCTGGATGTAATAAAGGTAAACAGCGCAGGTTTATTACCAGGTTTGGTGAGTGGAGGCCGAGGTGTGCGTAGAGAACGCATTCACGGTCAGATTATTGGGTCTTTGACGCTAAAATGCGTTTGAAATAATAATACAATTGTTAGGGTTAGGGGTTCTTAGTTTTTAGTTTTTTAGTGACGTTTTTCAATATAGTTCGGCGCTGATGACGTAGCACGCATGGATCGGTAAAGCCGTTTCAGTAAAAATGTGCTTTTATATATTTGGATAATCATTTGTGTAGCTTTATGAGTTCTGATACAGAGTTTTAAAAGCGTAATAAATAAATAATTAGCAGCAGTGAAGATGCGTTTTACCTGACGGCGGACGCAGCGCTGTTTCCCCGGAGCAGCTCAGAGACGAGCCCGGGTTTGCTCCATGAACCTCGATCCTGGTCCGGTTCAGAGCCGGTCTACTGGCGGAGGCACGGGGCCTGAGAGCGGCGTGTTCTCCGGTAGAAATGCGCCCGTGAAAAGATCATGATTCACCGCAGCATCAGTCTCATCTGTCCGACAACATCACGGGGACTTTCACAATAAAACTACATCCTCCAACATCTACAGGGAGGGCATCTGACACACAGGGACAGAGGGATAGAGGATGGGAGGGCATCGGACACACAGGGACAGAGGGAGAGGATGGGAGGGGATCGGGACAGGGATGAGGATGGGAGGGATCTGACACAGGGACAGAGGGATAGAGGATGGGAGGGCATCGGACACACAGGGACAGAGGATGGGAGGGCATCTGACACACAGGGACAGAGGATGGGAGGGCATCTGACACACAGGGACAGAGGGATAGAGGATGGGAGGGGATCTGACACACAGGGACAGAGGATGGGAGGGCATCTGACACACAGGGACAGAGGATGGGAGGGCATCTGACACACAGGGACAGAGGGATAGAGGATGGGAGGGCATCGGACACACAGGGACAGAGGGATAGAGGATGGGAGGGCATCGGACACACAGGGACAGAGGGATAGAGGATGGGAGGGGATCTGACACACAGGGACAGAGGATGGGAGGGCATCTGACACACAGGGACAGAGGATGGGAGGGCATCTGACACACAGGACAGAGGATGAGGATGGGAGGGCATCGGACACACAGGGACAGAGGGATAGAGGATGGGAGGGCATCGGACACACAGGGACAGAGGGATAGAGGATGGGAGGGGATCTGACACACAGGGACAGAGGATGGGAGGGCATCTGACACACAGGGACAGAGGATGGGAGGACATCTGACACACAGGGATACAGAGAACGAGAATGGGAGGGCATCTGACATCTGAAATTTGACTGACTGCACAAAATTTGACTTGGAACTCAATTAATTCTAAATGTGAAGTGAAAATAACCTGGACTTGTTGTTTGATTCACACATGTCTGAGTAACCCTTTATTTCTAATCTGACTGCATCTCCAAATCTCAAAATGTTCTGTTTTACTTTATGATGTCATGAAGCGGCAATTTTCAAGTTACCTTTAGTTCTGTAGAGATTGATGTTAAGTGAAGGTGTGGTGGAGCACCTCATGTGGTTTCAGAAGGTGAAACAAAGTGCTTTTTGAACTCAGCCTAAATGTGCAGGTTTGTGTGTTAAACATGTGAATGAAACAAAACACAACTGCAGGAGTGTTTATGATGAGGAAACTGCATTAGAACATGGAAATATGGGCCTTTAATTATTTCTTAAACTAAACTAAGTCCTGAATGTAACTCTGGTTCTATGAGTCTGGATTAAAACACTCAATTTTGAGCTTGTCGCTTTTTTATTCTCATTTTCTTATAAAAGCAAAACATTTACAACAGAATTCACAAACAGATATAAATTACAGTAACAGCAAAAACACGACAAACTGTTTTAAATACAGGCCCTGCAGGTGACCAGCTCCGTGCTCCTGCAGGCGTATAGCTCAGAACCTTGCAGGCGTACAGCTTTGAGCCCTGCAGGCGTACAGCTCCGTGCTCCTGCAGGCTGTACAGCTCTGAACCCTGCAGGTGACCAGCTCTGCACTGAGCATTCAAAACGTAAACGTCCAGAGAAAACGCAGTGGTTTGAGTTTGAAGAGTTAGAGAAAAGCAGAAGCCCTCCACTGATGTTGACCAACCAGATTTAAGGGGAAAAAAACAGTTGTAAACACATCACAGCTTAAAAAAAAACAACAGGAAACAGTTCAACTAAAGGACCACATGAGGAAGTGTTGCAGTAACTCCAGTGGGAAAACAGGACCTTGAAAGTCCTGACTGAGTCTTAGTTTAATACTGGTTTAGACCTATTTTTGGTTTTCATCCTGGTTTAGTCCTAGTTTGAGTACTGGTTTAGTTGAGTCCTGGTTTCAGTCCTGTTTTAGCAACATCAGTGGAGGGCAGAGTCCTGGGTTAGTCCTGGATTAGTCCTGGATTAGTCGTGGGTTAGTCATGGGTTAGTCCAGTTTTGATGCTGGTTTGAAACTTCTGCACAAACACATGCTTTACAAAGACGGCCAGTTTAAATCCTCCATAACATTTCTCCTGTAAACGTCTCTCATTCTTTCACATAAATACTTCCTCTGGACTCTCATTTACAAAAGTCTACATTTTGTATTCATTTTAAAAACAAAAATATGAAAATACATTGAAAAAATTAATGAAAGAAAAGTTTAGTTTTCTTATAGTTTTCATTTTTTTATGAAAATGCAAAATTGTTCAAACACGTATGACTGCCATGAGAATAAATGTTTTAATGTAGAGCTTAAATATTAGGTTCAATTCTACATTTGACCCAGTTTTTCTGGGTTAAATCTGCATGAACCATTTCTTCAGTGTCTCTGGGTTAAACCTGTCAGGAGCTGGAGGAGTTTTTATGCATGTTAGGTACAGTGTATGGGAGACACAGGGAGAACATGCAACCTGTAAAGCCAGAACCACACACTTTGACAAAACTTTACAAAAACAAGTGGATTTGGAGCTGTGTTCTATTTACCTGATTCCAGAACGCGTGAACCAGTCTGAGAGACAAGACACATGGTCCATTCAGGTCAAAACAAACATACATTGCAAATTTCTCTGATCTGGCCAAGACTTTAAAACTTATGTTATGGTTATTCATGTTGTTTTCAGATTTAATATGGACTTACTAGTTCTGAGATGCTTCATTCTAGTCTAGAGGTCATTTATTTTAAGAGAACTTGTCAAGTAAAATGATCTTGCCGCATGGACAGATCCTTTCACTACTTTTAAGTAATTTTCTGACAGATTTAAGTGTTTATACATTTTTAAGGTGTTTGAGCTTTTGTACAGTATGGTGGTTTTGGAGTAAAAAGGCAAAAATAACCCAGAGGACTGAGGAACAGCAGATTTGTGCAGAATCAACAGAAGCACCAAACTCTTCTTTCTCTCAGGTGAAAGAAGTGATGGATTTAATTGTAAACGGGCCAGAGTTTTGGAGAGGAGACCTCTTCTGTGTTTGAGTGACAGGTGATACGTGGTATAGTGGCTCATCCGCTGTGGTTGGACTGTCCTAGGTTAGGATCAGAGACACATGATTTACACACGGAGCTTAAAAGTTATTTTTCTGCCAGTGTATTATTTAAACACATTTATTGTCAGTCAGTCAGACGCCTGAGGTAAGGTTTATGGAGGTTTATGTTCTATTGTTCATTATTGTTTTAGTGAAGTTTTCTTATTATTACAGAATCCATTCTATGAAATAAACCTGGCTGTTGTGGGTTAGTTCAGGTTGAAAGAGCAGAGAAGCCAATATTAAACACTTTGACCTGTGCAAAATGACAAAAATAAAATGTCTGAACAAAATGGAAGCACAAAACATTTCAGTCTTTTTAAAAATTCCCACATGATCCCCCATGTGTCCCAGAGCTGAGGTCAAAATTGCTTTAAAATCCCAAAGATTCTGATGCTTTTCCCTTTTTGACGAGCCACGTCAGACTTCAGTGCATCCCAGATTCACATTTCAGTCCCAGTAAATGGTGGAGCTGCTTCAGTGCCGACCAAAAAAAAAAGTCAAACATCACAAAAAGTACAAAGAGTTTAAATGTAGGATTCTGGAGCATTTAGATTTGAATTTGGGTTTGAGTCTGGTTTAACAGCTTTCTGCACTGGCTATTTAAAGACATATTCTGTAACATGGATTTCATGATCTTTTGATCATGTTCTAATGGTTTTCCCTCATTATCTTACTCAGACTTGTATTTTAAAGCAACAGTATGAAACTTTCTGGTGGTGGCAGATAAATAGCAAATGGTCCTATTTATACAGCACTTTTTCACCTTTAAGGCTCAAAGTGCTTTACACACACACACCGACACACGCACACCCACACCCACACACTAAACTATATGTCGAAACATTCTCCATGGAGATAAGTTTTATGAGATACTGTGGAACATTATAGCTAAAGGAACAACATTGGAACATGAGGAGACTGTCCTCCAGGCCAAGCCCCCGCCTCACAATAGGGACACATGTTTTCAGTGCAATAAAAACATCCAAAAAAGACAACAAAAAAACCCAACAAGCTTTTATATGAGTCTATTTCTGGCAAAAAAGTGACATACTGAGGCTTTAAGTGATTCATGCATCTTTGAATCATCACACTGTTAAAATGCCCTCTGAAGGCCTGTCAGGCAACAACTATTATTGAACTAAGAACTTTTCCTAAAATAAGATTTTAAAAGCCACACATGGGTCAGAAGGTCCAGAGTACAGATCTGTGCACCAATCCAAACCATCAGATCTAAATGAATCCTCAGAATCCCAGTGTTTTTACAGTGCACAGCTCCTCCTGTGCCACTGCTGCATAGTTACGGGTGTATAAGGGGCGTTTCCGGGAGATTCCAGGGCATTATCGGGGTGAGGTTTGGAGCAGTTTTTTGGATATTGTGGTCCATTCTCCGGCTGTTCTTAGCACTCCAGAGGGGGAGAGGGCCCCTGGTTCCTGGGCATAAGGGTCCCTAGTTTGTGCAGATGAGGGTCCCTGGTTCCTAACACTCCAGAGGGGGGTGGAAAGAGCGACGACAGTCCAGGGCTTTGGGGGTCGGGGGCTGAACGCGGTTCTTCCGGAGGTCCTCTCGACTTAGAGCCCCACTGAGCTTTGAGTACGCCGCTTTATACTTCTTATCAAAGGCAGCTGAAACAGAGAGAGGGAGGAAAGGAGAGGGGGAGGAGAAAAGAGGAGAGAGAGAGGGAGAAGAGACAGAGGAGAGAGGAGGAGAGAAAGAAGACATAGGGGAGAGAGGGAGAGTTTTACAGGTTTTGAATAAAATTAGAGAATAAATAGTTGCTCTAATCCAGGTCTACCCCCGGTCTAACTCAGGTCTAACTCAGGTCTAAACCAGGTCTAACTCAGGTCTAAACCAGGTCTAAACCAGGTCTAAACCAGGTCTAAACCAGGTCTAACTCAGGTCTAACTCAGGTCTAACTCAGGTCTAACTCAGGTCTAACTCAGGTCTAAGGGGGTCTTACCGACATGATCTTTTCCCATTGCTGCCAAAGTGAGGAACAGGAACTCTCTGTACAAACTCCTGCAACAGAAACAAAATAAATTGAATACAAAACATGAAAGACAAAAAAAGTACATGACCAATCATGTTTGGACACACTTTTTCAGTTGGGGTTCTTCTTTATTTCCATGATTATTTCTACTATAAATTCTCACTGAAGGCATCACAAGTATGACACATGTGGAATGTGGCATACAAAGGTCCACTCAAAACAACTTCAAAACAACTTCAAAACAACTCCAAAACAACTCCAAAACAACTCCAAAATAACTCTATAATAACTCCAAAACAACTCCAAAACAACTCCAAAATAACTCCATAATAACTCCATAATAACTCCATAATAACTCCAAAATAACTCCATAATAACTCGTGTTTAGATGATGTTTGATATCTTCTGTGTATATCTAAAATGTACTCGTAGTAATAAGGTAGTAGAGCCTCAATGAGCCTCATTTGGAGCTGACTGCTGTTGCTCAATTAGTCCACTTCTCTCTACAGCGTCTCTTTACCTCTGGACTCTGGCCGGCTGCTGCTTCCCCACAGTCTCCAGGAACAGAGTGACGGCCTTGTGCACTTCGTTCATGCCGACGTAGCGTAGGACCTCCTCCAGGAAGCCCAGAGAGAATGGGTGGTTATGACGCCTCCAGCTGAACTGACGCATCGCCACGCCACCTGCAGGAGCAGAGTGCACAGGGCACGTCTTAAAGTGCATATGACAGAATAGACTTCTCATTTTTGACTATATTTAAAATGATTAGGCTCACTGTGGATCCTCCAGAGCACGTAGAGCGGGGGCCACTGATTTGTGTCTGGAGCCAATGTGTCCCACAAGAGACGCACCCTCACAGTCTGGTTATCCACCTGAAAAAGACCTTGGTTAGAGCTGTTTTTTGTCCTGGTTTAGTCCTGGGTTAGTCCTGGTTTAGTCTCTGGTACCTGTGAGCAGTGGCTGGCCAGCGTAGAGCTTCGTACCAGTTGGAGTAGGTGTGAGGGCAGCTGAAGCCTGGAGAAGACCCAGAGCAGGTTCCAAAAGAGAATGGAGTGATGCTCGAGAAGAGTGGACCGAGCCAGAACCGACTCTCCTTCGTTTTCTAATAGAGATTCCAGCTCTTTACGCAACACCAGGGGACTCAGGTACGCTACCGTCACCTGGGGACTGCCCAGCTGAGCCGAGGCCCCGCCTACCCGAGGAGAAGCCCCTCCCACTGTGGTCTGATTCCCTCTGGACTCGGAGCAGCTGCTGGTCTCTGAGCCCTCTGAGTCTTCGCTAACGCCGTTACACTGGGCTCCTGTGGGGGGCGCTCTGTGAGGGTCCTGGGCGCTGGGGGGTCTCACTGCACTCTGCACCTCCTCCTCCACGTTCCACTGACTGCGCTCAGAGCTGCTGACAAAACAACACGTTTGCACTACTACTACTACTACTGCTGCTGTCTACTACTACGGACTACTACTACGGACTACTACTACTACGGACTACTACTACTACGGACTACGGACTACTACTACGGACTACTACTACTACGGACTACTACTACTACTGCTGCTGCCTACTACTACTACTACTACTACGGACTACTACTACGGACTACTACTACTACTACTACTACTACTACGGACTACTACTACTACTACTACTACTACTACGGACTACTACTACGGACTACTACTACTACGGACTACTACTACGGACTACTACTACTACTACTACGGACTACTACTACTACTACTACTACTACTACTATGGACTCCTACTACTACGGACTCCTACTACTACGGACTACTACTACTACTACTACGGACTACTACTACTACTACTACGGACTACTACTACTACTACGTACTACTACTACTACTACTACTACTATGGACTCCTACTACTACGGACTCCTACTACTACGGACTCCTACTACTACGGACTCCTACTACTACGGACTACTACTACTGTAAATGTAACTACTATTACCACTACTACTGCCCTCTGCACAGCGAAGAAATCAAGAAAAGTTAAAAGGACATAGTCCATTAGAACTGAAACTGCTAGAATAGGCTCTGTGCACAACAGCAGCAGCTGGCAACTTCAGAGGGAGGGAGCCACTTCTGATGTAATGTCCATGAGGTTTTTGACGAGTCTTACAGATCAGTGGATCTCACTAACAACTAGGTCACAATAACACACTTTATTACTACAAAGAAATATTGAAATATACTGAAACTACATGTGCGTTTGTTTTCCTCACCTGCACACTGGCCCTGGGGTGTGTTTGTTTCTCTCACCTGCACACTGGCCCTGGGGTGTGTTTGTTTTCCTCACCTGCACACTGGCCCTGGGGTGTGTTTGTTTCTCTCACCTGCACACTGGCCCTGGGGTGTGTTTGTTTTCCTCACCTGCACACTGGCCCTGGGGTGTGTTTGTTTCTCTCACCTGCACACTGGCCCTGGGGTGTGTTTGTTTCTCTCACCTGCACACTGGCCCTGGGGTGTGTTTGTTTCTCTCACCTGCACACTGGCCCTGGGGTGCGTTTGTTTTCCTCACCTGCACACTGGCCCTGGGGTGTGTTTGTTTCTCTCACCTGCACACTGGCCCTGGGGTGTGTTTGTTTTCCTCACCTGCACACTGGCCCTGGGTCACAGATCTGGGCGTTAAGGAGCGGGACGAAGGGGGCGTTGCAGAAGGGACAGGTGGAGTTGAGGTTGGAGTCATCGGAGCTCCACCCGGCCATAATCTCCTCATCATAAACCAGAGAGTCACAAGAACGGCACAGAGAGCAACTGGACATCAGGATCTGAAAGAGAAGCCAAGACTCAACCAGGACTGAACCAGGACTGAACCAGGACTTAAGTGTGACTAGACCAAGACTAAAGTGGGACAAAACCAGGGCTAGACCAGGAATGAATCAGAACTAAAACAGAACTGAACCAAGACTAAACCAGGACTAAATTTAACTGAATGCATATGTATATTCTGGGAATTGAACTGGTGACCCTGTGGTTCATGGTGTGTCCTGATTGCTCACCTCCAGTCCGGCTGCTTCCTGGCTGGAATCCCATGAGCGGCGGAGCGGGAAGGCCGCGCTCGGGAGGTCAGACAGGTCCAAGTCACTGCCCACGGACAGCGAACTCTGAGAAGAACCAGAAACATATAGGATTTATTCATGTTATTTATTCATGTAACTATTGTACAACTACATGAGAAAAATCAGATGGAGGGGCAAGCCTGAGCCAATTTTCTGTGGGAACCACTGTTCTCTGATGGGGATCTAGCAAATGCTCATCTTCATGGAGATGTAGTATGACAGTATGTCATCTTACATTTAGTCAATTACAGCTGACTGTGCCAAAAGAAAACCCTGAAAAACATGCAGTTTTGGTGGTGATGTCTACATGGAAAAAGAAATTAAATGACCTCTGGTGATGGAGTCATGGATTGCACTTTTGAAAGAGTGCATTTCTTTTACTACGACATTCACAATTGACAATATGCCCAAAGGATCATGGGACATGTGTGAAGAACGATCAGCTCATTGTTCTGCACAAACTGACCCATTCACACTTTGTTTATTTGTCCAGTGTGAGCGAATCACAACAGACTTTATTAAAACAACAGGCTGCTCTAAACCAGGACAGTTAGAACATAACTTAATAACTTAACATAAGAACAAAATATATTTAAACCTTCACAATAAATGATAATCAAATAGTTTTGTTGTTTTGCCACGACAGATGCAAGAGAGCACTGAGGAAATGCTAATTTTCAGATTGAGACATGACCAGACCACTGGGGGGTGTCAGTGCCTCTGACAGGCTTAACCGTAGTTAGATTGAGATTTGATTTCTTATGAAAAAGGGGCAAAGGGGCTATGGGCCCTGCCCTCCATAGGGGGCAGTGCCTTCACCTCAGAGTTGGCGTTGACGAGTCGTTCTTTGGCCTTCAGAAGCGTCTCTGTGACGTGGCTCTTTCGGCTGGGTCGGTCTCTGCGTGGCCCCTCCCCCCTGCGTCGGTCGTCCACGCTTGCCGTTCGTCGCACAGAGAGCCGGTTCCTCGTGGGAGTGAGGAGCTGCTGCAGTTTTCCTGCCAAACCTGCACGATTGGGCGATGACACGTTGTTCTGGTTTTCGTCGACGTCTTTGCTCCGGCTTGCACTGCCCTCTCTCCCAATAGTCGGCCTGAAAAGTACAGGACATCACCACAAATACATTTTAAACATTTCATATTTACAAAGATTGGGGTTGATTAGCAAGTCCCTTTCACAAGTCTAAATTTAGGTGAAATAGGCTTTAAGTTATGTTAGAAAGGTGTTACTTTCTAAAAAACACTACCCAGAGCTGTGTTTTGTTTCATTCACACTTGTTTGAGTAACACATTATTCTTGGTCTGTCTACAGATCCAAAGCTCAAAATGGTCTGTTTCACCTTCTGTTTCACCTTCTCTGTAAAGGTAGTTTTCAAGTTAAGTAATCTAAGTAAAGGTGTATTTTCTGTATTACCACATGACATCAAAAAGTGGAGCAGAGTGTTTTTAGTTTGAGAGAAAAACTTTGTATGTTTAACATGTGAATGAAACAAAACACAACTCCAGGTATGTTTGTGAGAAAAACAACATTGCATAGATCAGAAAAGAGCGTAATATGGGCCCTTTAAGCTTGAACCTACCGTGCGTCTCTCCCGGGCGGTGGGCAGTATTCTGACTCGCTCTCTGCACACTCTTTGTAGAACGTGGAGAGACAGACCTGACTGCGTGGTACCACCCCTCCTCCTGGAGGGGGCGCTGTGGGGCCCAGAGGAGGCTTCCGCGGGTCTCCACTCTGGACCTGCGCCTTCCTCTGCAGCTTCAGCTCTGAAAGAAACACACACAATTATGAAATGTACAGTAAACCTGGTGTTTGTGAGCAGCAGAGTGGACCATTAGGTTGAGTTCATGTTGGATGAGGCCATAATCTCAGAAGACAACGACGTGCCTCTATGGGAGATTTACATCAAATTCTAGAACATAAACGTAACCTATATCACAGATGCCAATACTGGAACCTCAGTTATGGCCATCGCTACTTGTTTTGCTGGATACAAATATTGGCCAAATGTTACACCAATTTAATATTACCAGTTAAATCAATGTTCATCAGCAGTGTCACGAGCAGCTATACATTTAGAGGGCTTGAAATATGGCTGTACACAATTAAGCAACTCATCATTTTACATCCCAGATACAAACACATTTTGTTTTTAGTTTTACAAGGGAAAAGTTAATTTGCAAACTTTACTATAACTTAACATAAATTTGGGGCCTTGCTAAGGATTTAAATACTGGTAAATCAATCATTATCAGAAACGGCAGCTAGACAAATATCGTATATCGGTATCGGCTCAACCCTCCCTAGACACAATAGCAGTTAGAATAATTGCAAATACGATGTGTGGTTCTTACTGTCAGTGGGCTTCATGCTGCTCAGGCTACTGCTCTTCACAATGGAGCCGGGCAGTGACTCGTGACTGGAGCTGTCACTCAAACCGCTCCAACTGGACTGACGAATCAGGGATGAGTGTGGACGGGGCCTGCAGTCCGAGTCAAACATCGACTCTGAAAAAGAAACAAAAAAGATTAAATATTTAACATTAACAGAAGGGGTTTCATTGGTGGAATCTGATATGTTGACCTGGTTTATGATTAATATCTCTTTAATTACCGGGCCTATCCACATGAAACAAAAACTGGCACACTCAACATCTTAAATTAATTGTATGCAAGATTTTGATTTTAAGAGCCCAATATTACACTGTGATAGAAATGTATACTGTGGAAAGATTTCTCTCAATCTGTCTTTGTGTAAATGAATGTGATTTCTGACTTAAACCAGAGCATCATTAACATGTGTAAAGGCTCAGCAGACACAACTGCCCTCACCCCCACCCCTGTGTTGTCTTACCTGTCCTCAAATGTAAGTTTGATGCTGATTAGCACAAGCACGTGTAACTAAAGTCACTCTGCTTTGTATGTTACTTGTATTTCTGTATAAATACTCAGAGCTTAGATGCTCTGGGGAGGAGATGGAAAGGAGTGCCTTGGGGAGAGATGGAGAGAAGGGGTGACTGGAGAGAGGCTGTTGGTGTCTGGCCAGGGCAGGCCTAGGCCCTGTCCATATCTGCTGTAACAGATGTGAAGAGGCTTTATTCACACTTATGTCACAAACCAGGAAGACTTCCGGTGTAGTTCCTGACACTTGGCTCGCTGACCGACTGTGATCAAACCCACTGAAGTAAATGTGATCAAGGTACATGATTTTTTTATATATTTTTTTTTATGTATTTAAAATGATAAAAATTTGCTTGGAAGGACTGACATATTTTATAGAAATAGTTTCCTTTCATTTTGAAGTAATATTAAAGTATTCGGAAGAAAAAAGCTGACAAATTATGCAAAATCATGCACCTTCTACTTGCTTGCACAATTTTCCCTCCGTTACCATGACCTTTCTTAATAAAATCTCATGACTCAAAAGGTAAAAGGTTTTTTCAGCCTAATCTTGTACCATATGGTAGAAAACTATATGAAGCAAATATTCAAACCAGTTTGTTAAGGATATGTAAGTGAGAACCAAGAGTTATCACTGTTTGGATTTATTGCCCAAAAAGTGCTGCATATTTCATTCCCTCCGTTACCGACATGAGTTTTTTAATTTTTGGTCAACAACTTGAAAGAATATCACAGGTTTAACTTGACCCTGTTGGAGTGTTAACTCTTTCCTACATTCTGATACTTTACTTATTTCAATAGTCCCTCTAGTTTCTGAATAAGAGCGATTTGAATGTAAAAAATCTGCCCCTGTTTCCCTCCGTTACCACTTGACCGAACCCATATATAATAAAAGCAATAATAAAAATTTACTGCAAATGGTCCTACATAAATCAAACATTGTTTTTCACCTGTGGTTCAACAGAATTATTAGAAAAAAACAAAAAAATGAAACTGGCCTGGACAAAAATGATGTTACCCTTAACGTAATATTTTGTTGCAAACCTTTTGAGGCAAACTCTGCAAACAAACGATTTCTGTAACTGTCAGTGAGACTTCTGCTCTGGTCAACAGGTATTTTGACCCATTTTGACCCCAGTCGTCTCAGGTTTGAAGGTTCCTTCACCAGACAGCATGTTTCAGCTAAGATATTCAAAAGAATTGAGATCTGGTAGGCAACACATTTCGTCCAAAATACCTTGATAGTTTTGAGATTTTGTTGTACCTTGCACAGATTCAAGACACTCTGTGCCAGATGCAGCAAAACAGCCCCAGAACAAAATCAAGCCTCCGTGCTTCACAGTAGGAACAGTGTTCTTTTCTTGGTCTGCTTCATTATTATGTCTGTGAACATAGAGCTGATGTGTCTTGCCAAAGAGCTCTAGTTTTGTCCAAAGGACATTCTCCCAGAAGCTTTCTGGCTTGTAAATCTGCATTGTGACAAATTCCAGTTTCACTTTTTTATGATTTTCTCTCAGCAGTGGTGTCCTCACATGAAGTCCACTTTGGTTCAAACACTGATGGATGGTGTGATCTGACACTGATGTACTTTGCCTTTTGAATTTGTTTAGAGGTTATTCTTGTCACGCCCCTGCCTGTCCTGAGTCTTCTGGGTGTGGACGTGGGCGGAGTCTGCTGGGAGCACCTGCTTTCCATCTCCAATCAAGCCTGCTACATAGGCCCAGCTCTCCAGCCAGACTCTGCCAGATTGTTTCGTCTACCTGATGGTGAGTTTTTGTTTCTACGTCGCTTCCTGTTACTTACCTGCATTTTTGTATTTCCTAGTTCCCGCTGTGGAAGACTCCGGCATTCCAGCTCCTGGCTCCTGGCTCCTCCACTGCCTATCCTGCCTCGTCAATAAACCTTTGTTTCTCTTTTGCATTTTTGCCCTCGTTCTGAGTCTGTTTTTGGGGTCCACTCCAGTGGTACACAACAGTTCTGGGCTCTTCGGTTCCATTTGTATGATCCATCTCTTCATTCTGTCATCAATTTTCCTCTTGCGGCCACGTCCAGGGAGGTTGGCTTCAGTCCTGTGGACCTCAAACTTCTGAAGAACATGTGTAACTGTAATCACAGGAACATCAAGCTGCTTGGAGATGGTCTTATTGTCTTTATCTTTAACCTGCTTGTCTATAATTTTCTTTCTAGTCTCCTGACACAGTTCTCTTCTTCTCTTTCTCTGCTCCATGTTCAGTGTTGTGTCCATCATGTCTCCAAACAGCACAATGACACATGTCCTCCTTTAAACAGACACACTGACTGAGGACAAGTTTGAAGAACCTGTGATGCAGATTAGAGACACACCGAAGTTTAACATGTCCCAATTACTTACAATCATTTTTGTCCAGGCTAGTTTCATTAGTTGTTTTTTTTTTTTTTATATATATATATAATTCTGTTGAACAACAATTCAAAAACAGTGTCTGCTTTTCAAAGGCTGTTTTTCAGGCTATATATTTTTTTAAATTTATTATTGCTTTTCTTAGTTTCAAGTTATTTCAGAGAAAACTGTTGATTTTTCTTTCATGACCAGAGTGGTACCAACAATTTTGTCCACAACTGTATACTAGAGCCTGACCGATATATCGGCTGGCCCATATTATCGGCCGATATGGGCACCTGGAGACATATCGGCTGATAGCTGATATGCTTGCTGATAGGGGCCGATATTTCACGTGGGTATGTTATACCTCGTTATAAATCTTAGACTCTCTACATTATGTTCATTTAATCAAATTTATAGACAGATAAATGTCCTAATATGTGGCTCCGCATCAGTATTTATCTGCGGTGTAATTTGTCTGTGTCTGTGTCCATACTGTCCCTGAACACACCCCCAGAGTCACTTCACTCATGTGCTATTGTTTACACCCGCAGCGGTGCACAACACTGAGATTATATTCTTTTTATGGACAATCGGTTTGAGTCTGGATTAAGGACTTTTATTAGTGCAGACTTGTGATGTGAGGAGGAGCCTGTGTGAGCGGTGAGTGTTGGAAATACATCAACTTTGAAGCTAGTTTTGGTTATCTGTTAGCGATTAGCTGCTGTAGCTCCCGCACATAAACAGACTGTTTTCTATTGGCCTATTGTAAAGTGACTGTATTGGCCGTATATTTGTTACTGGACCAGCATTGATATGTAAATGAGCTGTGAATAGACGTGTGAATGATCCACATTTATGCATATAATTAATTACCGTGGGGCACGTTTTTACGGCTAAAGGCTAATAGCGGTAGTTTCTTTACTAGCTATGAGTTATGGGTCGGTCGTGATCGAAGAGGCTCTTAGAGCCGGCTCTTTGAAGTGAACGACGGGAGCCTGCTTCTTACTGGGAGCCGTGTTTTCTCTTTTTCTCACTTTTTCTCTTCAAGCCGCTTGTAGACCCGTAGTTTGACAGCAGCAGCGGCTGAAAACGAAACTTTCAGAAATATACGTGTGCATAGGATTAAAAAAAAAGTGCATATTTGGCTGCAGTTCAGCATAAAATGAATAAAGCAGGACTAATCTTGGGCTCAAGAGAGAGATAGAGACCGAGTCCCGACACTCAGTCCTGGTTCAGTTCTGGTTTAGTCCTGTTTTACACATGGTCTAAATCTGTTTTAGTCCTGGTTTAGTCCTTTTTCAGTCCTGGTTCAGTTCTGGTTTAGTCCTGCTTGCAACAAAACAATCTCAAGAGTCGCTTGGGAGCCGAAAGAGCCAGCTGCTTTAGTGAGCCGAGCCAAAAGAGACGGTTCTCCCAAAAAAAATGGAATACCCATCACTAGTAGCTAGAATGTGATGCAAAAATGCCATTAGGCCAATCTACTGTCTGTAAATATGATGTAAAGAGTCAGAATAACAATAAATGTTGCCTAAATAAACCCAATTTAGAATCCACTAGAGCCAAACCTAAGTTTTTTAAACAATTCAAGATTTACAGTGATTTTTCATTAATCATTAAATATATCGTTATGTTGTATGTGTGGGGGGGTGGGTATTCACATTTCATTATTGCTAATAATTATATTATTTATTTATCATAATTTTTTATTTTATTAGTTTTTTTTTCCTTCTGTGACATCTGATTTATGTGCACAAAAAAGTAATAAAAAAAATAATAAATCCAGTATGTTTAAGCTAAAATGCCTCTTTCTGATCTGATCGGTCACTCCCTAAACCCCTGCACCTGCCCCAGTCATGACTCAGTATTAGTGCAGCCTCTGGGACAACAGAAAGTTAAGACCACATTTAGATGTCTGACCTCCTCGTGACCCTAGCGAGCCACTTTTGTGCCGTCGTTTGATTGGCTGTCGAAACTGGGCCACAGCCAATAGGACGTTCCTGAGTTTGGCCCAGAGCAGCCGGCCGCCCTGATTGGTCGACGGCCACTTACTCTCCAGCACAGCCTGTGGAAAACAACCAATAAAGGAAGAGGATATTACCAATCAAAACACAGAACCCAGCCAAGTAGTAGTACCTTGCTTTTAACACCCATACGTGATGATAGTAGTAGTACCCTTTTCTCTTATCTGTAGGTGATAGTAGTAGTAGTACCTTGTTGTAGTACCCTTTGGTGATAGTAGTAGTAGTAGTACCTTGTTGTAGTACCCTTTGGTGATAGTAGTAGTAGTAGTACCTTGTTGTAGTACCCTTTGGTGATAGTAGTAGTAGTAGTACCTTGTTGTAGTACCCGTAGGTGATAGTAGTAGTAGTAGTACCTTGTTGTAGTACCCGTAGGTGATAGTAGTATTAGTACCTTGTTGTAGTACCCGTAGGTGATGGTATTGGGTGTGATCCCGGCTCTCTTCATCTCTAACAGGACTCTCACAGCGAGCACCGGCTGCCCATACAGACCACAGAGCTGCATCAGGATCCGGTAACACACCTAAGACAACAAAACAGGTTCTAAACTGGGTCTGAATTGGGTCTAAGCTGGGTCTAAACCAGGACTAAACCAGGTCCAAACCACATCCAGCAGCCCCAGTCAAATGAAGCTCATCCATAATGAAGCCATTATAGCAACCAATCTACAACCTTGAACCATATTTGGATAGCCAAGCGCAAAACCAAAGAGCCATTCAGGAGCATGACTGTTGAGGGTACATGCCCCCTCCTGCCCACACTCCTAGTGTGGCAGGGGACAGGCACTCAGCAACGAGGCTGTCAATCAATCTGTTGCAGGCACTGGATTGGTCTGTTATAATGTTTATGTCTTCATTTAGGAATAAAACAGTGAAATAAAACTCCAGGATCATGTAGAGCAGGTAAATATGAACATTTTAAAACCAAAAGTCTGACAGCACCAGTGGGGCAACAGTTTTTCAATAGGAAGTGAATTACAACCAGAGCTCGAAGGAACCACTTAGTGCAAATGCTCATTCCATTTGGCACGCAGGGGCCAAATGCGTTAGCTCTGTCCATTTATATACAGTTTAGACTATTGTCAGCAGGGAGGAAATACAACAGGACCCTGCTGGAGGGTGATGGGGTCACATCTCATTGGGAAACATCACCAGACAAGCTTGTGACATTGTAGTGGGTGATGGTAGTGTGATGGAGGTGAGTGTGATGGAGGTGGGTATGATGGGTATCGTGGATATCGTGGGTGGGGTTGATACTGGGGTGGGGTATCTACCTCGTCGGGCAGCACCACCCTCCTCGTCTCCGTGTGCTTGAGGACATCGTAGGCGGCGTGTAGCGCTCGCACTTTCCCACTCTCTCCTCTCACAAACGTGGGCAGATAAATGAACCACAGGCCGTAACAGTGCCCCAAGAGGCACTTGGCCCACATGTCAGGCACTGCCGCGTACTTCTGAGCGCGCCTCTGGGCCAGCTTTATCTCCTGCAAAACAAAAAGTCAGATGCCCTCCCATTATCTCCTACAAGACCTCCCCTCCCTATGTGTCAGATGCCCTCCTTGTGTGTCAGATGCCCTCCCTGTGTGTCAGATGCCCTCCCTGTGTGTCAGATGCCCTCCCTGTGTGTCAGATGCCCTCCTTCCGTCTCTGACCTCATTCCCACAGTCACGTGCCTAAATCTGATATATTTTTCAGAGCAGTTTGCATTTTTAAAGCGCTCCCTGCTCCTCTGCCCTGAGGTCGGCTTTGTCCTCAGAAAACTGCTTTATTTAGAAAGTTCCATGAAAACGTCTCTTTGTCCAGAAGGAATCTGTACTTGAAAGGATGCATGTTTAAAGAAATTATAACCAAAGTAGAAGTGTTTTCTACTTTGGTTATAAAAAGCGGCTCCTCACACTCCCACTTCAGAGCGCTGATGCACAACCAGTGTGCATCCCGCTAATGAAATTACCGCACATCACATCAGGTTTGTTAAATCGCTGTGTACAGTTTTGTAACATGTTTTTGTACCTGTTGCTGCTGTTTGTTACCTGTGTGGGGGAGGGGCTTACCTGCTTTGTCCTGCGGGGGGCGGGGCTGCTCGGGGCGGGACTTCCTTTGGTCTGGACTTTGATCTGATCATGAGGTCGGTCAAACAGCTCCATCTTCAAAGACGGGAAAGTCTCGTAACTGAAACAGGCAAAAGAGAAGGACCTCATCAAGTACTGCCACTTGATGATGTCATGGGGTGGGTGCATGATCTGAGCTGATAGGCCTCGCCTCTTCATAGAAGCAACTGATTGTAGTAAGCAAAGGTTTTTCATGTACGTGTTTTAGTTGTTGAAAATGAGTACATCAGAACACAACATGTATGACCTGGAATCTGTTGTTAAGTTCTGAGCAGCAGGCGGGGATAGGGGGTAGGGGGATATTTTTTCAGCACTTAAGTCTCAAATGCAGGACAACAGACCCCTGTAAAGCCTGGTGCCCTTCCATAGGTAGAACATTTGTGTTATCCACAAATGACAAAATGAATGTGTTTCATTTGCTGTGATATTAAAATGAATGGGCTGGACCTGTTACCGGTGCCAGTACCAGGCTGTGTGCACACACACATTCTATATATGGCACTGGAAACATCTATCCTCCATTACTCAAACATACAGGAATCAATCAAATATAACGCACGATCATGATGAGGGAACATTGTTGTAATTAAAAGTAGATTTTACAGAATATATCCCCTTTAAAGTGTGATACTGGACTGACCTGTAGGGGGCAGGACTCTCCGACCCGTCCGCCTCCTGGGGCTCCTCTGGTGGCATGATGAAGACTGTGTGCTCCCCACAGAGAGACTCCTCCAAGTCCACAAGACACACCTCCTCTGGTCGCTCCACATCCACCTGAGAGACCAGAACCACAACTGAACCAGAACTAGGACTGAGCTACAACTAAACCAGGACTGAAACAGGATTAAATTTAGACCAGGACTGAACCCAGCTTGGACCAGGACCAAACCAGTACCGATCCAGGACTGAACCAGGACTGAACTTGGACTGAACCATGACTTAACAGGTGTGAACAAAGACTGAACCAAGATTAAACCAGGACTAAACCAGAACCAGGACTGAACCAGGACTGAACTAGGGTATAAATCAGGAATGAACCAGAACTAAACCAGGGATTAAACCAGAACTAAACTAGGACTGAACCAGGACTAAACACGCACAAAATAAGTACAAAACAAGGACAAAACAAGGCCAAACCAGGTGTAAACCATGTGTAAACCAGGTGTAAACCAGGACTGACCTTCTGCACACACTCGTCGAAGAATTCAAGGCAGGCGTGGCGGTCGCTGACGAAGGAGCACTCCTCGATGAACTGAGTGAACATCTGTGTCCGAGTGAGTTGAGAGTAAAACTTCTGCTGAGCACGCTCCCTGGACTTCAGGAAACCTACAGGACAATACAGAGTTAAACCAGGTCTGAACCAGGTCTGACCCAAGATTATATCAGGTCTAAAACAGGACTGAACATTGACAACAAAAGGATTAAACCAGATCTGAGCCAGATCTGAACCACGTTTGACCTAGGACTATACAAGATATTAACGAGGACTAAACAGAGACAAAACAAGGACGGGTCTGAACCAGGTCTGAGCCAGGACTAAACCAGATCATTCAACAGTGCAGTATGAGTGGAGCGCACCCTGCAGGTTGAAGAGGAGGGGAGGTCCCCGAGGATAATAATAGATAGATAGATAATAATCTATCAGTCAAATTAAGAGGTTGGAACCAGGACTAAACTGGAACTATACCATTAAACCATAAACCCGGTCTGAGCCAGGTTTAAGGCAGGTCTCCCCACAGTGCAGTGTAATAGAGCGCACCCTGCAGGTTGAAGAGGTTGCTGCAGTCAGTGGTGGTGTCAGAGGGGGCCTGTGTGATGGGCAGTAGATAGCTCCTGTATCCCTTTAAGAGTAAACTCATAAAACGCAGAAACGCTTCCTGGATCTCGAGCTCCAGCTGCTTCTGCCGACGGTAGATCTGATCGTAGTCTGTCAATAGGAACTCCAGTGTCGCCTCCTCCTGGCCCGGAGAGCAAACTGCACACACACACGATTGGGTACTGTCAGATTAAAGGGACAGTCAAAAGATAAAAACATGCACAGTTTGACATCTGCTCATTTACATTTAGTTTGGATCCTTGTCAAAGTCTGATCTTGTCAGATCTGAAAAGCTAAGCAGGGCTGGACCTGGCCAGTACTTGGATGGGAGGCCACTGGGAAAATCAGGTGCCACAGGGGGGGCGCCAGTCATAAAAACTGCCGTTGTGTCCTTAGGCAAGACACTTTACCCACATTATCTAGCATGAAAGTGGTGAGCACATGAGTGATGATGGTGGTCATGATTGGTGATGATTGGCAGCCTCGCTAAAATCAGCTTTTAGTAGCAAAATCAATAAGTGACTTTGAGCGCCTTGAAAAGTACTAGTTGTAGTTGTTGTAGTTGTAGTTGTAGTAGTTGTAGTTGTTGTTGTTGTTGTAAACATGCTCTAAAATGCCTAATACTCTCCGGATGGGTGGCGTCATGATGTGCTACCACTTCCACAATATGCCCAACACTAGATCTATTTCAATAATGATGATATAACAAAATGCTATTTTAGATTTTTGTTTAAAGTACAATAGCAAAGGCTTCACCAACATTATCTCAACCCAGTAGTTAACCAAAATCAAACTATGATTAAATGCAGAATAAAACCAGGCCTAAACCTATTTAAAAACTTTTTTTTTTGTATATTTGGAAGCGTGTCAAAGGGGACTCCTTTGGAGAGCCACATCTGTCCCACAGGGCTGTGTAGACTCACTCTTCTCCAGAGTCTTGTGCAGATGGCTCAGGGTGTTAAACAGCATCTTTCCTTGTTTCCTCGGGAGAGACTTCCACGACAGCGGCTTCTTGTCCTCAGACCTAAAAACAACATAACATTCACAATGGGACAATATGTTACAGTGAAGTCACAACAACATAGACTGTATAAACAAGTGGACTACACCCACAGAGCCTGGGCTGCAAATAAAGCTCATCAAGGCTAGCTGTTATAGAGGCAAATCTTGAACCAACTTCCATATTTGGAATTCCAAGTGCGAGTATCATAGCAACCAAAGAGCCGTTCCCAGACGGCTGGTTTGGCAGGCACCAGACTTGTCTGCTATTAATGTTCATATCTTGATTTAGGGACAAAATAAAAAACAGCAGGACCAGGCAGAGGGGGTTAATACAAATATTTTAAGAATAAAATGATGAGCCTGAGCAGTTACAAAGAGAGGGGCAATGATTTTTCAGTAGAATCTGAGTAGGAATCAGAGTTGATGGAGCCAGAAGTGTGCACATGCTCACTTCCAGGTTCCAAACAGAAAGGACAGGTTAGCAATGTACATTTCTATAAACAGTCTATGCACAATGTGAGCATGTGAGAGGGAATGTGAGGATTAACAGGAGGAGGCACTGACTGGAAGATGGTGTTGGTGTCCAGGTCCACACAGATGACCTCTGGAGGGGGGTCATGGAGGTCAAAGTAACTGGAGTGAACCCCCACGATAAAGGGCATCGGAGCCAAAAGTACGTCTGACATCTGCAGCGGGCACAGGGGGATGTACGGGCAGAGCCAACGCAGAGGGAACAACATCTGGAAGAGAGAGAGACACATGACAGAGGGAGGAGAGGAAAGACACATGAGAGAGACATGAGAGAGGGAGGAGAGAGAGAGAGACACATGAGAGAAGGACATGAGAGAGGGAGGAGAGGAAAGGGACATGAGAGAGGGAAGAGAATGGGCATGAGAGAGGGCGAGGCAGGAGAGAGAGAGACATGAGAGACGCAAGGGAGGAGAGAGAAATATGAGAGAGGGCGAGGGAGGAGAGAGAAATATGAGAGAGGGCGAGGGAGGAGAGAGAAATATGAGAGAGGGCGAGGGAGGAGAGAGAAATATGAGAGAGGGAGAGGGAGGAGAGACAAATATGAGTGAGGCAAGGGAGGAGCGAGACATGAGAGAGCATCAATACAGCATAAATACACGTGAGGAGAGAGAGAAGGGACAAGAGGGACAGAGCCCATGCAGAGGGAACATGAGAGAAGGTGAGAGCAAGAGAGAGAGTGGAGAGAGAGAAAGAGAAAGAGAAAAGAGAAGAGGGGAGAAGGGGGAGATGGGAGAGGGAGGGGGACACAGGGAGGTGTTGGGACAGAGTCAAAGGAAAAGGAGCAGCATGTGGAAGAGAGAAGGAGAGGAGAGAGCGGGGCAGAGCCAGGGCACAGGAGACAGCATCTGACAGTAGGAAACATACATAAAGTTATTCTTTAAAATCTTCTGAGGAGACCCCTAATGCTCCTGTAAAAGAGCTGGAGGACAGGTCAGAATCCTCAGCTGGAGTTTGTTGTGCAACTGTCAGATTGCAGATTTGTTGTCCTGGATTATGATTCATGTCTGTGAATCAGACCTATCTACATGAAACCAAAACTGGCACAAAGTTCAGAGTCTTCTCTGTGAGTATACTTGCAGTTACCATGGTTACACAGTGGTTTGTGATACTCACAGATACAAGGGCTTCGCTCACGGAGGTTAACACGTCTGGCCTCAGAGAGTGCAGCAGCAGCTTGTGTTCAGTCAGAGCAGCCACCAGGAGGCAGCAGCAGTGCTCTGGGCCCAGGTTCTGCAGCAGCTTCAGGAAACTCGCACCACTGAAGAAGAAACAAGATATTAAATATATGTATATATGTATATGTGCATATATGTATACAGTCCCTGACAAAAGTCTTGTCACTTATCCATTTTGTAGAAACAAAAGCTTATAACCTGACTGTAAATTAATCGATTGGTTTTAGAAATGTCTCATATGAAAGCTAAAACCCTCCCAAATTATGCTCAATATACTAAAATAAATTTGCTTCACTGAAGAAAGATTGATCATTTAATGAACACAGAAAGGTCAGATTTTGGCAAGACAAAAGTTTTGTCGCCTACAGAAAATTGAACAAATAATTTACTTCAAATACAAAAATATGTTGCATAACGTCAGTGAATTAAGTAGTGGTGCTGTGAGATCCATATTTAATATCTTGTATGACTCCATGAGCTTGAAGGACGCATCCATGCGGTTTGACAATGATTCATACAATTTGTTGATGAAGGTTGTTGTTGTTCATCAGGAATAGCAAAGACAGCGTCTTACATGCCTCCCAGAGTTCATCAAGATTCTTTGGTTTTGTCTTCCATGTTTCCTCTTTCATTCTACCCCAGACATGCTCAATGATGTTCATGTCTGGTGACTGGGCTGGCCAGTCCTGGACCACCTTGATCTTCTTCGCCTTGAGAAACCTTGATGTAGAGATAGAATTATGTGATGGAGCACCATCCTGCTGCAAAATTTGACCCCTTTTATGGTTGGGAATGTAAGAGGTAGTTAAAGGTTGTATGGAGGATTTTTTTTTGTTTCAAGGTGTCAATGATAGATTATAGAGGTGCAGTAGCCTTGTAATTATGATGACCAAAAAAAAGAGAATAAAAATTCATAAACTCTGGACGTGGTGGGGCTAAACATTTGCCAATAGATAACGACACTGCCTCGTTATCTGTTAGCTGACAGGCTGTCAATCAATCTCCCTACGTTTCTAGCGTAACTAACTTGCCTGCGCGCCGCCTGTACGTGGTTTACGTACGCCTGTCACGCAGTCCACAGACGCAAGACGCACAGACGCTCTTTACTCCACCAACGCAACAGTTCTTAGCGGCTTTTTTTTACCTATATCTTCCTCGCAATTCGCACAAAGTTTGTTGCAATGGCGACAAGAATCCAGGAGCAGTTCGCCGCAAAAGAAAGTCCGTTTTTGAGGTCGCTGAAAGAAGAAGACAAGGGGAAAAGCAGCGAAGCCAAACTAAGGTGATTCTTGAAGATTCATTCCAGCGATGGCGCGACTGAAGCAGACGGGGTTTCACGCATGCGCAACATTTGAAAAAGGACAAACAGTCGCTGGATTTCTCGTTCCTTGGAAAATCCTCTATACAACCTTTAATACTTCTTGATATTTGAGGCTATTGATATTGCCTTCCACCCTGCAAATGTCTCGCACACCCCCATACTGGATGGAACCCCAGACCAGGATTTTTCCACCACCAAACTTAACTGTTTTCTGGGTGAATCTTGGATCCATGCAGCTCCAGTAGGTCTCCTGCAATATTTGCGGCGGCTGTGATGTAATTCAACCGAGGATTCATCTGAGAAATCCACCTTCTGCCACTTTTCCAGTGTCCATCCTTTTAGCAGGCTGTGGGCCTTGGCAAATGCCACACGTTGTTTTAATTGCCTTTTGTTTAGTGCTGGTTTCTGTGTTCAACTAAAACTTTTGTCCGGGCAAGTTCTCTCCTCTGCCAGTTGCCCGAGCGGGCAAGTGAAAATAAAGCGACACAAATCTAGTCCCCCAGTAATAATAACTATTTATTTGGTTGATAAACAAAGCGACGGGTTGTCCGTTCATAACGCATTTTTTCATTTCCGTGAAAGGAACAGATAAGTCCAACCTTTTGAACTGCCACGAAAAACGGCCGCGGTGACAAGTGCTCACTTCATGCGCGCTGCTGTGCGCATCACAGTCAATGTTTTGTCTTTCCCACTGACTGTAGGCATCTTAAATAAAACGGACGCCCAGTCAATCAAAAATGTCCTTTAGTGCGGACCGCGCTACTCCACCCCTTTTGTTTTGTCTCATTCTACCGTCACATCTCACATATCTAGGCAGCTTCATGACGCGTCGGAATGAAAAGCGAACTCAGGGTTAAACCAAACTCCAAAAATTTGCCATATATTTACCAAGCCTACTCACTAATCTCAGTAATTAGTTAAAATGCAAAGGTTATTATTATAGCCCGTGCTTTTGGGAATAACATTCACTGGGACGGTACCGGGGCGTCTCCAAGCGATACGTGCGCTCTGTGAGCGGGGCGTGTGTCACCGGAGGACCACGCCGCGTGACATTAAACCTGCTTCTCTACTTCAGTCCTCATGGAGCCCTGTACGTGCACACTCCCACATCGTAATGAGATCCATTCATAGAGAACAGTCCTACCTGTGCGCCTCCAGTGCGTCGCTCCAGTGCCACGCGCGTAAATCCCGTGTTTTCTTAACCCATTACGCAGCGACGAGAAGCGCGAACAAGGACCTAAATTTAAGCAGTCCAAACTAACTCCACAGTAGAGGACCGAGATATGTAGTAGTTTTCTTTATAAGTGCGCAAAGGGTATAGTTACAATTTATGTTTTTATGCAAATTAATGGCCAATATTATTAAGAAAATACTTTTCAGTCATTGAATAACTTTATATCTATGTTAATTCATATTTTAAAACAGAGTAGGCTACTATACACGGTTCAGGTATAACTCCAAATGCGCACGCAAATAAACGCACAACTGATTGTCACGAAGACTGACCTGCGCTTAAGTTTCGCTTTTGTTTCTCGTTTTCTGCACTTTATATAAAAGGCAGCGCATGGAGCATGTGCTCTTACTTTGATTAATAACTTTACGCTTTTGCTACTCGGAGGAGGACGGAGGAGAATTATGGAGAACTTTAGGCAGATTCGTTTGGATACATCTTTACGCACACGCGCTCCACGCTGGATATATTTACCAATGAGGAGCAGGGTTTTTGCGGAGTTTTGGTTCATATTATGTTTGGCTTAAATTTGACGCGGACACTGCAGGCTGTGACTGGATGTGGATTTATTATTACGCACTTTGGCTTTGAGACACTATAAACGCCCCGCACTGGAGACTGGGTGTTTTCGGGTGGATACAAGTTTCACGCTGCACCTTGTTTCTTCAGCTCTTCTGTTTTACCGGTAAGAGACACACTGCACTTAGTTTGGACATATGTAAGACATGCTCAACATGTTAAACATGAGCGCTGTTTGTGCAGTACATTTGCGCAGAGCGCAGTACTGACGCGTGAACACCTGCACTACTGATACATTGAAGTGAAATTAAAGTGTGTGTTGGCTCATTGACGCGGGCATTTAATGAAAGGGACCGAAAGTGGGCACCGAGCGAACTTTTGTTTTTTTTAATACCAGTTATTTAGTACTTACCAGTACTTACCGGGCCTTTTCGGTCGATGCCTACTTGAAACAGAGTTTCGATACCCAACACTATCTGCGCAGACTATAGGCTCGAGCAAGTCCAGTTCTATGGTGTACTGGCACTAAAATATTTGGAATGTGAAATGTGCAAGTGAAAGTCAGTTTCTTAGCCTGTGGGCGAGGGTCCAAGGGAAGAACTTATAAGGCTATATATTTGTGAAGCTCATGAAGCCAAAATTTACTTTAAACATACAGAAAGTAAATCAGAAGTAATGCAAAGTAGTGTAACTCCATTACATATGTGGGGCAATACTGCATTACAAAATGTTACACTGCAAAAGGCAATATGTATCACAGTTTCAGATTAACTTGCTCATTGGTCCCAGCACTGGTCCCAGATGACAGCAACCAGGACTATAGATGTTCTGTCATATTTATCTATAATCACATTAGTTCTAGTTGTCACCTGCCCATATGGGTCTGACAACCTGAGACACGTTGAGGCACTCTTAGATCTCTGAGTGGATACAAGAGAGAACAATTTAATGAGAAGACCAATGATAATAATTTTCATCTCATATACATACAAATTTGGACACACTTTTTCATGTATGCTTCTTTTTTTCCCTCCATATTTACACTGTGGAGTGTAGTCTGAAATGATTTAAACTTGTTTTATATATTTGAGATTCTGCCCCACTCTCTCAAACCATTTAGTCATTGTGGTCATGTTATGTTGGTATTCATATGAAAAAAAAAGTTTTTATATGCCTGTGCTAGAGTTCTAGTCAAGACTGCGTTAACTGAGGCCAAGACCTGTCCGAGACCTCAGGGTCCTGAGACCAGGACAAGACCAAGACCTCTGAGGGTCGAGACCAAGACCACAGCCCATCGAGACCAAATCATGACCATCTTTGTCATTTTTGACATTTATTTGGATTTTACAGTTATTTTGGCACATATATATCAATATTTTTAGAAATCTATCTCCATTTTATCTGATAAATGTTAATTTAAGATTAAATTAAGACAAGCAAACTGTACTGTACTGAACACTGCCCTTTTTTAGACTTTCACCCACAGTTTGAGAACCCTTTCTTTAAGAAAACTTCCATTGGTATTTTACACAAAACTGCTTCAAAGTGAATACAGTGGGTAGGATTTTTAAACCCGTTTTGTCAAGTTTCTAACTGGAGTTACATTCACTTGCTGGTTTTGCAGTGGGATTTACCACATTTACCAAACGCATGTCGTGACAAACATAGATGCATTTTGAGCACTTTTATTAGGCAACCTTCAACCACATGTAGCAGTAGTGCTGCTTTGTGCCAACAATGTAACATAAATTTGGATTCGTTTTAGTATTATTTTTCTAATCTGTGGGCATTGAAGAGGGAGCCCGTTTGTGCTATATGCAGGGAGGAACGAGAGCGCGAAAAGAAGGAGCAGATGACGTGAGGCAGATGGGCAGGTAGAATGTTTTAAAAAGTTTAACCTGCCCTGTGATACATTCTGGTACGAGAGGTACACGCTGTTGCGGACAAGGCACGGGCGCTGGGGGCGCTCCACACAAATGCACAGGCTGCAGCGAGACACCCCGCACGCCCCCGCACACCGGTACAAGTTTATTGCCGAGAGCAGTGGCCGTAATGAAATATGATCGCACCTGTCTAAAGTCAGACCTCGAGTCCGAGACAAGGCCGAGTCCAAGCGCCTTCAAGACCGAGTCCAAACGTGGTCGAGTCCGAGACGAGACCAATAACTCGTGTAACCTCGCGAAACCACAGCCGTGCGTCAACGCAAAGGCGGTTCTACCGGCAGCTTGCAGCAGGAAGTACACGCGCAGCTCTGGCTCTGTTTCTCAATGAGAAAGACGATCAAATTTGACTGGGCGCGTTTAGCCGCTTGTATCAGGTCTACAGTTAAACTAACAGCTGAACACACTTGTATTTACCTTCTGTACAGGCTGACCACGGCAAAAGCCACGATTTTAAAAAGTCAATTTTAAAGCTCTTATTAACAGTCTTTCTGGACCTGGGCCCTTTTACATGACACAGATCTGCCCCAGGAGCACGTTGTCCTGACGGTAAAGGCACAAATACAACCAAAGATTCATGCTCTGTGTATTTTGATGGGGATACGCGTAGAGTGTCAAAATTAGGATGGATCCTATTTTCTGAAATCTACGCGTGCAGGACACGTTGCTCCATTCGTGCGTCTAGCACCTGCAGTGAAGCCGTCCTCATTCACTTTCCATGCATTCTAAAAGTTAAACGTCCAAAAGTTGCAGTTTTTACGCTTGCATAGAGCGAAATGTGCATGCAGTCAAGCCAGGCCCTAACAGCTGAACAGACTTGTATTCACCTTCTGTACAGGCTGACCAGGGCAAACGCCAGGATTTCAAAAGCAAATTTTAAAGCACTAATTAACAGTATTTCTGGACATGGGCTCTTTCACACGACACTATGGCCATACCGGCTTGTAAAAGCCTGATCCCGTCAGATCTCAGAAGCTAAGCAGGCTGGGCCTAAGTAGTTCTTGAATGGGAGACCACTAGGAATTCCAGGTGCCACAGTGGGTCGCTGTGTCCTTAGGCAAGACACTTCACCTGCATTGCCTAGTATGAAAGAGGTGTGAGCGTGAGTGATGGTGGTGGTCGGAGGGGCTGATGGCTCAGATTGGCAGCCTCGCTTCCGTCAGTCTGCCCCAGGGCAGCTGTGGCTACAGTAGTAGTTTACCACCACTGAGTGTGGAGTGAATGAATAATGAACTGTAAAGCGCTTTGGGTATCTTGAAAGACGCTATATAAATGCTATCAATCAATCAATCGACACAGATCTGCTCCAGGAGCATGTTGTGCTGAGCCAGGCCCTAAAAAAAGGTCTAGAGTACTACGACACTAGCCTGTGCACATATTTAAAAATATATAATTAACTGAGCACCATTTTGTTTTTCCGGGCAAGTAAGTCTGGGTGTCGGACAAGTAAAAAATTATAGCCACTTGCCCGGTCAAGTACTTGTAAATGCTTAATGTCAAGCCCTGCTGTAATCTAGGATTGGGTGCATCATATGACAAGGCAACAAGACTTTTGTCTTGCCAAAATCTGACCTTTCTGTGTTCATTAAATGATCAATCTTTCTTCAGTGAAGCAAATTTATTTTAGTATATTGAGCATAATTTGGGAGGGTTTTAGCTTTCATATGAGACATTTCTAAAACCAAACGATTAATTTAAAGTCAGGTTATAAGCTTTTGTTTCTACAAAATGGATAAGCGACAAGACTTTTGTCAGGGACTGTATATGTGTGTGTGTGTGTGTGTGTGTGTATATATATATATATATATATATATATATATAGCTTGAGAGTTCTGCGCAGTATCTTTGCTGTTCCCAGCAAAGATACTGCGCAGAACTCTCAAGCTCCCAGGCCTCTGGTAGAGGACCCGAGCTCAATGAGGGTGAGAGAGACCTACCACCGTGGAAGGTGAGAAACACATTTTTTTTTTTTTTTATAGATAGATAGATATAGATATATGTTCACATTCGATACAATTTGGTACTATATATTTAAAATGAATTCAGTACAAACTAGAAAAGCACTCAGAGAGCGCAGACCTCCGCCAAGGACTACAGTTCCCCTCATATTAATTATATTTTCCATAAATATTTGTCTCGTATCTTTCAATTTGGAATATGAAAGAGGATCCGATTGTCCATCCCTGAGTCAAATTTCATGGGGTTTGGTCAATAATTAACTGAGATATTGAGAAACAAAGTTTTTGGCCCCATTTACCACAATGTTAACTAAAATTTCAAAGTGATCCAGAATCCTGGATTTCTTCCGGATCACCCCCAAAATGAAATCAGTTCTTCCTTTTCACATTTCCAACAAATCCTAAAAATTTCATCAAAATCGGTCCATAACTTTTGAGTTATGTTGCCAACAGACAAACAAACAGACAGACAAACAAACAAACAAACAGACAAACGCCAGCAAAAACATAACCTCCTTGGCGGAGGTAACTAAAGGCTTTCGGACACTTACTGAATGATCAGTGTAATTTTCACACACACAGACAAAAAAACAATAATGGTGCATTGAACTTAACTGAAGATGACTGAGCATAGGACAGTGCTTTTAGTTTAGTGCACGCGACTATAAAAGAACACATCACACTGTAGCAGTGCACACTCATCCACAGATTAAATGAGCTCCACATGTCCGAGCACAGAGGGACATATGCAGGTTAAAGGCTCAACACAGAAATACTGACATGACACTGTCACACTAAAAGTCTCTGTGCAAAGTGAATATGGAACACAGCACTTTCATCAAAAACAGTGAATATGTCAGATGTGTTGCGTAAACAAGTTTCCTTCCTCTAAACAGGCAACAGAATTGTCCTACAGTCACAAAATCATTTGGTAAAATATACAAAAAAAAAAAAAAAAAGACTCTTAGCGATATATCGATACAGCAGCCCACAATATTGATTCTGCATCATCAAATTAAACGAAATGATATATATAAATATTTTTGTGCGACCCTCCTAAACAACACAATGGCGGAGATGTAATATGTAAGGTTTGTGGAGCCAATCAAAAACATATAATTAGAAGGTTCAACATTTGTGAATCAGAAGTTTGGAGATTTCTTTCCAAACAGTGAATCTCTCACAGAGTTATATAGATGTGTTTCCTGTTTCCAAACATTGGGAGATGCACACACAGTCAGGGAGCAAGAGATGCTAAGCGGCAGTGTAGTAATTACAGGTCCTATTGGAGCTCTGTACAGTGTATGATTAAAACCTGTTTTCTAGTTGGCTATTGTAGACTTGTGCGTGGTTTGTGTACTTTTGCTGACACCTTTAGAATAACATATCATGTTGTGTTTAAATCTTAATTGTTTACTCTGCTCTCATAATAACATTGTAGTCTATAGCCGCAGGGAGGCTAGCTAGTTACGTCTCAGGTTGCACCAGCACCTTGTTTTACCATCACTGTTGTTTATTCCTGTATGTGTCTGTGTCTCTGTGTATCTGCGTATCTGTGTCTGTGTCCCTGTCCGTCTATCTGTCCGTGTATGTGTCTGTCTGTCTGTCTGTGTATGTGTCTGTGCGTCTGTCTGTGTATTTTTTGCTCCTCAGCTGCACACACAGCTTGTCTGTGACATTGCCCAGAAATCCATCTATAGGCCCATAGAACTCTTCAACACACTGCATACACTTCTGCTGTATAAGTAGATATTGGTGTTTTTCAGATTCTAGAACGTGATGATGTCATACTCTCACATGGGACGCAAGAGCCAGTTTTTCCTATTGATTACATTGTATTTTCCAATGAAATATCCAAAAATTAATTTCACACATATGGTACTTAATCATTTCTATCAATAACTAGACCCTAGAACTTGATATCTAACAACATTTTCTTTTATTTGAGCAATTTTAGTTTTAGCTGCCCCCTGTTTGTATTAAGTAATATTGGCCTATAGAATGTTGTGATGAAACTGACATCAATCAGACATTTCTAAACCAGGATTCAAAAACAAAACCAGAGTACATACAAATACAAAGTATTACAGACATATTATGCTGCTAACAGGTGTGGGGAGGGGCACTGACCTGAGGGGCAGAGGAGAGGACACAGGCTGACACAGGAGCAGGTTATCGTACGGAGACAGCTGTGACAGAAAGCACGTGTTACATTTCAGACAAACTCCAAACGTTTGTATTTCTTTGTGATGGTGACAAGGGAGCTGTTACCTGGACGAGGATGCGCGGTCTCTGAGGCGAGGGGAAGGGGACGTTGTGCATGAAGCTGGAGATGTGTCTGTGCACAAACAAACAGATCATTCATCTTTGGTCCTGGTGAAAGTGTATGATAGTGGTATACTGCATCAGAGTCAGTCAGAGCTTTTCCAGACGCCCAAAGTCACTTTACAGTTTGGTGCAATTGGTGGTGGTAAACTACTATTGTAGCCACAGCTGTCCTGGGATAGACTGACAGAAGCGAAGCTGCCAATCTCACCACCATCACTAACACACCACATGTGGGTGAAGTGTCTTGCATAAGGACACAACAGCGTAGTAGTGACTTCTCCATAGGAAGTACATATCTATGGAGAAGGACGAGTTGGAGTAGTAGTATTAGTAGTACTCACTTCTCTATAGACAGTACAAGGGCCCCAGAGATGGAGGAGCGGCACTAGTAGTAGCCGTAATAGTAGTAGTAGTAGTAGTACTTGTAGTAGTAGTAGTAGTATTCACAGTACACACTTCTCTATAGGCAGTGTATATGGCCCAGAGATGGGGTAGTGGTAGTAGTAGTAGCAGTAGTATTAGTATTAGCAATACTCACTTCTCTATAGGTAGTACATGAGGTCCAGATATAGAGTACCGGTAAACAAAGGTTAGAAACTTCTGGAAGACAGAGAAGAAGGGCCAGTGGGAGAGGACACAGATGGACTTTTTGACGTGGAGTGTTCGGCCAGACACAGGGCGGCGGTCCACCACACTCAGCATGCCCAGGCGCACACACTGCTGCTCAGACAAGAGCTCACGAGGAAAAGACTCGTAGAACTCAATCGCTGCTCCATAAACCTGAAAGAAGGACACAAACATGAACACAAAAGACATTTGGAGCAAAAGCATGAAAAAAGGACTAAACCAGGAACAAACAAAGACTCAGGCAGTACTAAACCACAAACCTAGGCTATTGGATAATAATAATTATTATTATAGTATAAAGGTGGTTGAAGTGGCAGTACTAGTAAGTATAGTAGTACACCTTGTGGTAGTGAGGTATTATTGTAGCCAACCCTGCCCTGGAGAAAACCGACAGAAGTGACGCTGACAAACTGCTCCATTGGCCCTACAACTAGACAATGTGGGTTAAGTACCTTGCCACAGGACACAAGAGCAGAACTTGATCCAAGTGGGAATTGATTGTGCAACCTTCGATTTGACGGACCACTACTCTAAACGCTGAGCCACTGTCACCCAATACATATTTGGTGGTGACAGAGCATGTTAATGATCAGGGTGGGTGAAGTGTCTTGCCCAACAACACAACAACAGTTTGCACTACACCTGGATTTCAACCATTGTCCCATTCCAGCCATATGGAATGTAGTAAACAAACCACAACCACAACTAAACTGAGGAAAACTGACAGAAGTAAGGCTGCCAGTCTGCACCATCGACTCGCCCCACCACAACACTCACACCACATACATACTAAGCAAAGTGTCTCGCTTAAAACTTGTCAGAGTTGGAATTGAAACACCAGTCTTCAGGTTGGTGTGCAGTGCCAAATCAGTAATCATAGGAATAGTATTAGTAGCAGTAGTAATCATATCAAAAAGTAGTAAAGCACCCAGTGGAAAAGTGTTGAAACTTTAGACAATGCATCTGGTTTAATCCACTGTAAGTGCTATCTCCATATTAGTAGTAGTAGGGGTGGGCGATATATCAATATTTTAAATATATCGAGATAGTTTTTAAAATCGATATGAATTCTGACATATCGTATATATCGATATAATGCTTATATTTAATTCTGATTTCGCCGCTTCGCTTGTTTGTCTTCTCTCTCGTCGCCTCCGCGCGCTCCCGCCTCCCTGATTTTGTTCGCTCGTGTCTCATTCACTCGTCACTATCACCCTGAACGCCGAAAGTTGGTGTCAGTGAAAAACTTCAAGCACCACGAACCTTTTCCATCATTTACAGACAAAACTATCAGCAGCACATCCTCATATTCCACCGAGTCGCGTCCTTTAGCCCGAAAGAAGCTAAACGAGCTGAGCTGCATGAGAAGTGCTGTTTATGCAAATGAGACATGCGCTTAAGTTTCGTTTTTGTAAAATGTAAACACACGTGCGCAAAACTGCCTTAAACACATTATTATCTCAAACGGGCTGATGTGGCTCTATAGTCGTTATCCTTTATATCTTGTAAAGTTTAACAATGTAAAGTTTATTTATGCAGAATATTTTAATTAATAATCTGCTGCAGTGTCACTTGTACAATAGTGTTTGGAAACATTGGGTTTGATCTGCAGTGGATTGTGGGATTAAACCTCAGAGCTCCTTACTGCTGGATATGGATCTATTAAAATAAGGAATATCCCGAGCTTCCTCTGCTAAATGAGCTCATGGTTATGGTTCTGGTTTGGATAACAGAGTTAATGCAAAGATGAGCTTGTGTTGAGTTGTTTTATTTATGAATGAAAAGAAGGAAATATGTATTATTTCTTTTATTTTACAATTAAATTATTATTTATGTAATTAGGGTTTTTTGTAATCTTAAATGTTCCTATATGAACTGCCAACCTCTTACACTTCAATTAAAAAAAAAGACCTTGTGGAATTTGGCAGATTTGTTTTTGCAGTTTTCAGTTTTAGGGGGTTATTTTTTCTTGAACATATATCGAGATATATATCGTATATCGAGATATAGCAAAATATATCGAGATATATTTTTTGATCCATATCGCCCAGCCCTAAGTAGTAGTAATAAGTAGTATCTGTAGTAGTAGTAGTATTATCTGCTGCACCTTGTCCCCAGAGGCAGACGTGAAAACAAACGTGGAGAACACAGGCAGCTGGTACTTTGAGTTTTGGGGCCAACTCTCAATGGTGACGCCCATCGGGAGACAGAAGACTGGCACCGACTCAGGCAAAGGGAAGGAGTCTAGGTCCTCAGGAGGGTAACGACTGATCAGGTCTGTGGAGAGGAGAGCAGAGGAGAGATTTCAGGTCTGTGGAGAAGGAGAGCAGAGAGGAGAGAGTTCAGGTCTGTGGAGAGGAGAGCAGAAAGGTGAGAAGAGAGAGAGAAGGGTGAGATGAGAAAAAGGAGAGTGAAAGACTGACCAGGTCTGACCAGACCAGGTCTGATGAGGGAGACAGAAGAGTAGTTAGGTGAAAGAGAGGAAGACTGATACTCACTGGCCTCGTACACCAGGGCGTTAGCTTTAGCCACAGCGCGCTTGTAACACAGGAACAAAGCCGGACCGAACTGTGGAGACACGAGCAGATTCAGAATCTGTGTGCTGGATCTATCCAAATACAATATGGAAGACACAGGGATAGGAAGGATGGGAGGCCATCAGTCCCACAGAGTGGTGGGAGGGCATCTGACACACAGGGCTACAGGAGGATGGGAGGGCATCTGACACACAGGGCTACAGGAGGATGGGAGGGCATCAGTTACACAGGGTGATGGTGGGAGGGCATCTGACACAGACCATGCCAGTGTTGAGGTTCTTCTCGACGCGTGAGAAGGTGTGTGGGGCGCTCTCTCCTTTGGCGGGTAGCAGCAGAGCAATGTCTGTGACACCCAGAGCGTGGAGGCCCTGGCTGCAGTCCAGAGCCCTTCTGTAGGTGATGAAGACGCGATGAGTGGAGGGCCCTCCAGAGCTCAGAGAAGCTGAGCGACTGTAAGGGGTGGTCTCGATCACAAACCAGCCGGGCTTCAGAGCCTCCTTCCCCTCATAAAGGATCCTGGAGACATACAACACACACACAGAGCTCATCACACCCACAAAACATTTACAAGCAGTGTTGACACGGAACTAATATTTCAAACTTGATACTAAAGAGAGTGTTTTGTTTTGATGCCACCGTGAGCAGTTCCATGACAACTGGCCCAGGAGGTACTTTCTTTTATATTACCATGTGGCCTTATACTTTGTTATCAGTTTCACTTTTCATCTATAGAATTGGTGTTTGCACACATGATGTGGTTTTCAGAGACAGATCAGTATGGGCTGATACTGCTCTTGTAAAGGTCTATCAAGTGAGCAGTAGAGTCTCACCCAAGGTCGAGGATGGGTGGTTTGTGGTGCCCGCGCCTGTAGCACAGGAACAGATGGGGGTTGTTGATGAGGCCGGCACTAAGCTCGGCAGAATGACCCCCAAGTGTCCGCTCGATACAGGTGAAGCCTTCGGGCACTCCCTCTCCTAGCCCGCGGGCGATCACCACCAGGTCTGTCACAGGCTCCGCCCCCCTTACGCCCCCCGCGCCTCTCCCCTCTTCCTCCAGGGGGCGCCAGGGCCCGCGCGGGTCCAGCCCTGCCACCACGAAGTAGTCCACAAGCTGCGGGCATCGCTCCTCCGTCATGACTCCGCTCTGCCCTGAACTGGAAAAGAAGAACCAAACATGATCGTCCAATTAGATTTGTTTATTTCAGTGACATGTGAAACAAAAGAGCTCATTGGTTACATATGACTTATAAATAAAATGACATTTCTCTCTCCTCAGATAAGCAGAGTTTACTGCTTCACTCATCGATTCTGCACACATTCATCATGTTTTTAAGTCCTGTGATTTTTTTCCTGACCACATATTCATCTAGTATTGAAGAAATGTAAATTCAAGATCCCAGGCAACTTTAGTTCAAAATTTAGTCCCAGTTTAGTCACAATTTGAATGTGATGTTTATGCAAGTGTGAACGCACCTTAGACATTCAGTGGACCAGATCCAGATTTTCAAATATATAAATAAGATATAAATAATTAATAAATAATTTCAAATATAATTTCATATTATCCCCATAAATATGGCAATACATTAGCAGAAACATGCTCTGACCCAGCCCTGGTCAGCTGCAACAGAGAACAGGCCTAAAATAGCATGATGTAAAGCTCATCTGCTCCGTATCATCTACAGGTCTGCTCCTCTCAAAGTTTCGTCCATCTACACCTGAGAAATTACACCAGGAAGTCCCCAGGCAGTAACAGGAAGCAGCTGCTGTCCACTTCCTGTTTTAAGTTGAACTTTCACCCTGCTCTTCTTCTCCTCTCTTTAACACGTCACTTTCACCGCAGAAGTTTCCGAAATGCAGAGGAAGGAAGTGCGGATGTCATAGAAACATACAGCCTTTAGTCAAATCAACTCTGCAGCAATCTGAGGGGCATTTGTGCATTACTAATACTACTACTATTACTATGTACTACTCACCATCCTAAAATGTCAATATCATTTTCGATTCTAAGTAATAGACTCAATATCAATTCAGATTCCTCGATGATTTTCCACATTCAATGGTAGTGCGTTCTTTTCTATTCCCATGTGTCTTATCTGTGGGTGATCCTCAGTGGTGCAGTAGCTTCTTAGATTTAGAAGGTCATTCTAAAGACACTGAGGAAAGGTTCTATTCTGTCCCGTCGATGGAACTTTTTTTAGTATTTATACCAGTGATCAGTATCTATTTTTGACACTACTACTTTTAGTATGGATTAATATGTGATTTTCAATATTTTTGACGATCCTCGTTACTATGTACTTTACAGCAGGGAATCTAACAAGAACCTAAGCTGATCTAAGTCAGGTCTAAAAGGGTGGAGGGTTTTCAAAAAAGATGGTGGCAAGCAGCATCACTTCATTTCAGTAAAAATCTCATATTTGTGGGCCTTTTGCAGTTATTTTTGCAAATGATTCATGGGAAATGTCTTCCACCAGGTCCAGCACCAGGGATCCTCTCGCTGTGAGGTGATGGTGCATCAATTCTCACACATGTGCAGCCCCATGTTCTGTTCTGCAAAATCTCATGTGATTTCATCTGCACCTGTGGATTGAGCTGTGAATGCCATTTACACCACTTTAAACTTCACTCAAACAGTTATTTGCAGCTCTACAGATGATAAAGACTAACTCTCTTGTTTCATATGAATGAAATAAAACACAACTGTGTTGGTGATGAGGAAATAACATTAGAACAAAGATCAGAAAATAGAGTCATGTGGACCCCTTAAAAACACTGATCACTGACCATTGAACATGAATGACTCCATCTTGATTCAAATTCAACACAGCCCTAACCAGAATGTAAGCCAAACATCTTAACCGCCTGTTGCCTATATTCTACCCAGGTGATCCAAGTGTCATGCTCAAAGGCACAAAGACAGTACTCAGTGTCTGAAGTAGGGATTGAATCCCATCATTACTGTTGACGTACACATTTACACCACAAGAAACGCTCAAAATGTCAAAAGTCTGTTCAAAGTTCGACGTCCGAAAATAAGTCTCAGACTACAGCCTCACTTCCTGTTTCACTGTGAACGACTGTCACCATGACAACACCCTAGAAACCAGCCAAATGACAGGTGGAGAGGGTCAGGAAAGGGTTAGAGCAGAGGGTCAGAGGAGCAGAGGGGAGGGTCAGGACAGGGATAGAGGAGAGGGTCAGAGGAGCAGAGGAGAGGGTCAGAGAAGCAGAGGATGGCCAGAAGGAGAAGAAAGACAGTTGATCTCACTTTTAGAGTTAAATGTTTCACAGGTGAAGTGAAAACACATGAGGTTTTTGAAAGAATAAATCGGGCGACTGAACATGTGACTGCAGAGTCTCAGTGGTTAATTGGACACTTCTATGGATCCTCATATGAGCATGTACTGATGCTAAAGTCCCATTGACATGACAGAAATGAACCTTTCTTGAATGTCTTTAGAATGATGTTGAGCTCTATCAGAACAAGAAGAAGAGCACATAGACTAGTATACACACATGAACACTATGAACCTACTGCACCACTGAGGATTATACACATATAAGACACATGTGAAAAGAAAATTCTACCATTTAATGTTGAATATGTCATTATATTATCTAAAGAAGTGTTTATTTTCATCATGTTTTCAGAATCGGTATTGAGTAGCAAGTCTTTTCCTTAGTATTGAAATCAAGTTTGAAATGTTAGTATCGTGACAACAGTATTTAATTATTACACAGTACAATTCTTTAATATAGTGCTAAAATAATTAAAGGTACTCTTTGAAAACACATCAGATCTCAATGTGAAAAAATGTACAGTATGTTGGATACAAATCTGGACAGGACAATGTTTTAGAAACAAAACGATGCTCCTCTTTTAATGGAAATGAACAACAGGGGCACTAGAGCAGCACCAATGTGACAAGTCCTAAAACACGACTGGTTTGACATGTGTTTAGTGCTGCTTGGACAACACTCATCATCACTACTGGGAGGATGAGGCTGTTCCTGAACCCTACACAAGTTACACAGATTGTCTAACTTCTCCAGGACGGCACATCCGGACAAGTTGCATGAAGATTTAATGTGTCTCCAGCACAATCTCCAGAACATGGAGGATTTTTCAGAAGACAGACAGTTCCTCTAGGAGAGCTGGACAGGGTTGTAGAAGGTCCTGAACTCATCAGCAGGATCCATATCTGCTCCTTTGTGCAGGAGGAACAGGCTGAGCACTGTCCCTACAGAATGACTCCAGAATGACCTCCAGCAGGACACTGGTGTGAATGTCTCTGCCCAAACAATCACAAACACACTTCATGAAGGTGACTTGAGGACACCACGTCCTGTAGTGGGCCCTGTGCTCACCGCTCAGCACCATGGAGCTCCACTGGCATTTGCTAATGATACCAGAATTGGTAAGTCCACCACTGGTGCCCTGTGTTTTTCATAGATGAGAGCAGTGAATGATCACCTGATTTAAACCTGATAGAACACTCTGGGACATTATGTTTGGGTACATCAGATGTTGCCAGGTTGCTCCTCAAACTCTACAGGAGCTCAGTGATGTTCTACAGGAACACAGATCTGGGACGACATCCTACAAGACTTCATCCATCGTCTCTTTAGGAGCAACAACATCGTCAGACATGCACACAATCATTATTTCACTTTGATTTTCAGAGTGTCTATAAACTGAAGCCCTCTGTGGCTGAAAATTTATTTCCATTAAAAGAGGAGGCATCCTTGTTCTAATGTGTATTATAAAGTTTCCTTTAATTTCTTTGAGCAGTGCAGTTGTTTAAACAAGCCACTTCTGCTTTGCTCCATTGTAATAATATGTCACTGTCACTTCCTGTACTGACGAGAGCTGCAGACCGTTACTAGAACAGTATTCTGTTCAATGTAAGTCTATTTTATAATATTTATTTCTTTTTGTTCTTTGTTCTTGATCTGTGTGTGGCAACACTGGAATCTGTTGTTAAATGTTAAAGCAGACACTTACTGCTTGTGTGTCTCTGTGGTTCTAATCTCTGACACCAGTGGATCATTGTTAAATCATTGTTAGATCTAGAACAACTTATTAAAGAAACAAGTTCTGCATTCGAAAACTGAGGTGTCCAATGGGAGCTGACGCCACCATAAACATCATCACAACAAAACGCCGCATGCTGCAAAAATGACCAAATCCTACATGCATCACAGATTAAGAAAATAAAACTGTAAAAGGGGTCGGGGGGGCGAGGGGTGGGTGACAGAGAGAGAGAGAGAGAGACAGTGAGACAGAGACAGAGGGAGAGGTACCAACTTCTCCAGAAAACAGATAGTCTTTGTCCACAACCAACAATCTACACACTATCTATATGGTGTAATTCTGCTGGTCAGTCCCACAGTCCAGTCCCTGTCCAGTCCTGGTTCAGACCTGGTCCAGTCCCTGTCCAGTCCTGGATTAATCCTGGTCCAGTCCTGGTTTATTTAAAGCCTGTTGCAGCTGAAAGAGGAGCCAGACTAAATTTAGTGCAGAGTCCTGAAGGCCTCATGTAAACAACATGTGCCACAGCCGCCCTGGGGCAGACAGGCTAACCACTCTGCCACTAACACACAGAGGTGAGGAGTCTAACCCAAAACCTGTGCACTGAGAGGAGCAGAGGGGGAGGTTTGTGAGGAGCTAATGAAAAACACATTTTTCTCTTGTAAAAGTGGAGCCGCCCAAAGAGTGAAATATCGATGAGATCACAGACAGAGAATTACACATGTGAGTTATGTAAAAGAAGAGGAGGAGGAACAGAAGAGGAAGAGAGGAGGAGGGGAGAGGAGGAGAGGAACAGAGGAGCAGCAGAGGATAGGAGAGGAGTGGAGGAGGGGAGGTGCAAAAAAGGAGAAGAGGTGCAGTGGAGGAGCAGAGATTTAGGAGGTTGTCTATATTGTGTCAGTTTCAGTGAGAAAAAGTAAAACATGTGTAACACTTACATAACACTGAGCGCTACTCAAGAAAAGATTTATGGCATAACCATTCTGCACAAAAATCCAACAGTGATCTTTCTGATTGTGATTCAATTTACAGTCAAAGTTTAAAAAGTAGGAACCACTTGAGCCACTGTCATCTGGCTCAGTCATTACTGCATTTTGTCTCTGCCCCAGGGCAGCCGTGGCTCTTGTGTCTTTGTCCCATCATAAGCTGTTTTACTGTCATCATGTGTCCACTGTATTTGACCCACTCCACAATCTCCGCATACCCTGCACAGCCAAAGACTTGAACCTGGGCCTGTGGCAAACCACTCTGCCACACGGCGTCTGTCTGTGATGGTGAAGGAAAAATGTTTTTTAGAAAGAGGAGGAATGTGGAGGACCCGGTCTGAAGCAGCACCTTTGTTTTGGTTTACGATCTGTGTTTTCTTATGGCTGCGCACAGGTGCATGCTGGGACATGTCAGATCGTATGGAGCGCCTACACACACCACAGGGGGCGTCGCAGAATAACGCCACTGTCTCTACGGCAAAGAGACAAACGCACACATTAGGTGTGTGTACTATACTGAAATCCCCGCCTGGACTGTCCGCGAGAGGTTGCAGCCGAGGGGAGGAGGAAGCGGCTCACATCAGCTTGGACACTCCACAAGCCCGAGAACAGCCAGCGCCTCAGATCACACAGAGTCTCGCTGACAGGACACAGCTTGTGTTTATTTGAAGCATTGCACTCAATAAAATGACATCAAACTTTGTGGATACAGCACATTGATACGTTAATCTCAATGCAAACATTCTCCTGTTTCCCCACACATCACAGACAAACCCACAGCACCAGAGCAAAAAACACAGAGCTCAAGAGAAGGTTCACACACTTTGGCCTGGTCTGTGGTCTGTTTGGCCTTTAGGTCGTCACGGTCATACATCACTCATGTGTCTGTGTTATGTCTGTGTGGACCCTTTTCTGTCTCATTTGAAGCATGTGTGTTGATAAAAAAGTATACAGATGTGAGGCATCACATTTCATCAAAACATATTGGGTCCAATCAGCTGTCCGTCAACAGTGAAAGCATGTGTGTAATAGCACTGCATTTCCCATCATGCCGTTGGCCTTTGTAGTCCATGAAGGTATTGAAGGCAGCTCCAGTTGCCTTTTTCCGCCTTGATCTCACAATATTACCAGAGCCTATGTAGCGGTGTCATAGGGCGGTCCACCTCCAGCTGCCCTCAGCGCCTTCACAGCCTACAGCCTACAGCCTTCACAGCCTACACAGCCCTGCTCATCCTAAACACACCTAATGAAACGTCCCAGGATCAGTGAAGGCATCAGTGAAGGCAGACATGCAATTACAAGAATTACAAACATTTGCTCAGTTCACTGATAGAAGTGCACATGCAGATGTATCTTCCTTCCTCTTCATTTCAAACTCATTTCAAACCCTATACCAATTCCAATACCACAATGATAATAAAAAAAACTCTTTCTTTAGACAATATGTGATATTCAACATTAATGATAACACTTTCTTTGATGTGTTGACCTAAACACATGAAACAAAAACTCAGCGTTCAGCGTTTTAAACTAAATAAACTAAAGTCAAATGATTTTTTCTCTAATATCCTCAGAAAGTGCTGCCATTATTCAGCCCCAAAGACGTGAGTGTTTCAGTTGAAAAGACTTTAAACCATGAGATTAATATGACAAGTGTGTGGAGCTGATGCCAAACAAACGCAGTTCATCTCAGTCCTGCGGAGGAGGACTGTGGCTCTAGTCCCGCACCTCTGCTCCTGTGTGCGGCTTCCAGGAGCACGCGCAGGCCGCAACTCCGCTCATTTAAACCCGACCCGGGGACCTGCTTCCATTATCGGACACAAGGACTTTAACACATCTTCCAGCTCTAAACCCGCAAATCCCCCCCACGACACAAACGGATTCCCCCAGCAGCGCGGGAAAAACGTGAAAACCGCAAACTCTAGCACGGGCGATCTGTTTAAAGTGCACGTAACGCCGGGGATGCCGCTGCCGTGTGCTACGTCATTTGACAGCTCCGTGGTTCCATTAACGGACGCATGCACTCATTTGTGCAGTCTACATTTGAGATTCAGTCAATATTTACTAAATGATTCATAAAGAATAAAGCCAGTGCACAAATGATAATATTTAACAACACACAGAATGCCCTATAAAAGCTGTTATCCCGCTGCACGCCAGGGACAGTTGAAATTAACAGACCTAGGGGCAGAAAATGCAGAACTATAGTTGCCATTTTGAATAATTAGATTTTTTAAAAGGCAGAAGCAGAGAATATTGTTGCATTTACGACTGCACTGGGGAATCAATTGTAATTAGTTGGAGAAAGCGAAAGCAGCGCTGGAGGCGGGTCCGGTGACAGACGCATCGCAGCTGCAGCGGTTGGCTCGGTTAGCATCAGTTAGCTACGAGGGGCTACAGCGGGCGGTTCTGACGGGTGTACCGGGCCCAGCGGCGATCCCGGGGCGGCACACGGGGCGGGCAGGGGGGGTCCGTACCTGGTCGGTGGAGCTGGTTCGTCCCTGTGTGGGTGTGTAGGAGCATGTTTAGGCCGTGGCTTCACAGGTCGCGTCCATGTTCGCAGCAGCAGCTGTTTGTGAAGCGCACCGCTGCGGCGCGCCTCACATCCGCTCACGTCACTCTCAGTAAAAGCACAAAGAAAAAAAACTTTTATTTTGACATGTTTACGGAAGTTCTGCTTTAGTTGTGGTTTAGATCTGTCAAAGACCCTGGAAGGATAATAAAATCATATTATAAATCCATTCAAAGACTTGGAAATATGATTACGGAAGCATTGTTGATGCTGGTGATGAAGAATGTGATGGTGTCACAGATGTCTCTATTACAGTGAACTTTACCATGGTATATCCAACTGATAAATAAATGTTGGCCCTGATTATTTTTATTAGTGGCTATAGTATATATACTCACGGTATTACAACAAAAAACTGCAATTGAAGAATTTTAGATGCTGCTGTCTGTATTAAATAATATTGCTGAATATTGTGATGCCATCTGAAACTGAGCAATAATAAGTATGTTATTTATCCACCAGCCTATTAAGGCTGCAATGATTAATCGACTACTCGTAAGTAGGGCTGGGTGTTATCGGTTCCACTATATGTATCAAAAATAGAGCTATGGTCCAACAACTTATTTTGTATCCCTGATAAATACATTTTGTTATATTAACAAAAATGAAAAGTTAATGTGCAATATTTACTTCAATTTAACATTTGTGGCCCTTGTTATGGATTTTGATTCTTAAATATCAGTATCATATATCTATATCTATCTATCTATCTATTGAGAGAGAGAGAGAATGATTAAAAAAATCATTATTAGATTAAACTATGTACATACACATAATAATAAACAATCTTGAATCATACTGAATATTTAAAAGCCTTCAGTCTCCAGATTTCAACCTTATTTGGTTGATAATGTATTTAAAAAAAAATCTCACTGAACAATATAAATAAAAAAATGTACCTTTGACTAGTCCACTACTGAAGCGATGGTTCGTTGCAGCTCAAATGCTCGTTATAAACCAGCTCCAAAATGAGAGCTACCAAGTGCTGTGGAGTGGATATTTACTGCCCTCTGTTGGATAAGTAAATGTTCTTTTTCCTCTTAATGGCAGTGAATCTTGTTCATGTTTTGACAGGCAGTCTGGGAGTCAAACACACAACCTCCGCTTATAATCACCTATTACTCGTGTGCCCGTGGGTTACATTTTAAAGGACTCTTTTGCGCTATTGTCTGATCTCTGTTCTAATGTAGTTACCTCGTCACAAACAGACCAGACAGAGTTGTGTTTTGTTTCATTCACACGTTTAACACACAAATCCTGCAGATTTAGGCCGAATTCTTCTCCCAAGCAGAACACTCTGATCCACCTTTTGATGTCATGTGGTGATACAAGAAGTGCAAATAGAATTTCCAATCTCTACTAAATGTAAGGTCAAAGGTAGCAGTTGACTTGAAATTAAACACTGAAAATGTAAGAGTTACTCTAACGTTTGAATGAAACAAAACAACTCCACGTATGTTTTGGAGGAGGTAATCGCATTATAACTTGGCTTGAAGCTCACAATAATTCATTTTGCTTAATAATAATAATAATATAATAGTCCTTATATAATATAAGGATTTTTCACTATCCAAATGATATGATATTTTAGTTTAAATTGTTAATTGCCACGGCGATGATCCTAATTTATCATCATTCTGAAACCCACTGACTCCAATGAATGAATAATAACAATATCAAGCATGAAAATATCACATCATTACAAAACATGTCACTAACAAAGTGAATTTATTTACTTCAAACTGATTGTCCCTGGAGTGCAAGAAATAAATTAATCCATAAACATACAGATTGTGTTAAAATTCCACTGACAAAAATATAAATTACAAATATAGTCTGTCTAAAATACTCTTCTTTTAAATGTTTGAAAAGGCACAGATCCCAAAGGCCTCACAGGGAGGTCAAAGAGGGGGCATTTTATATCTACAGGGTATTAACTGCTAACACATAACATATTTAGATCACCATGTATTTGATGAGAGAACAATGTTATAACATGGTCAAAAGCTCCAAAAATACATTTTGCTTAACACCCCCTCTTTAAAGCAGATTTATGTTCCAAAAGCAAAGCAATCTAATGAATTTGTCACAGAGCAATTCTGACAGAATAGTTCCCAGATCCCAGCTCCCATACATAAATACTGTAGTTGTGTCCTTCAGTAAAGCACATAACCCCTCTGTAAACCCTTTGAGACTTGAAGGTACAAAAACGCTGTATAAATTGACCATTTGATTGATTAACTGGATTGGTTTAGTCCCACTTTAGAGTTCAGTTGTGTTTTAGTCCTGGTTTAAACCATAGGCTGTAAAAAGAAGTGGAGTGAAGGAGTGTGACGTCACCCACGTTGTTCGGCTCCATTCAGAGGAAGACAATCGAGGCTAGTAGTTACAGCGGTGAATATGGAGCAGAGTTCTGTACTTGGAAATCTGACCATGTGTATCATGCAACCAAAGAGCCAATCAGCACTGGAGACATTGACAGTACAAACTCCTTCCCGCTCCCATTGCTCGTTTGGCAGAAATAGTGAAATTAAACATTTTAAGGTCAGAATGATGAGTCTGGCAGCAGCACGTACAGAGAGGGTGGCGACATGTTTTAGATAGAAAGAAGTGGTCTCTATATCTCCATGTCCAAAGATATATACAGGCTATGGTTTAGACCTACTTCAATCCTTAGTCAAGTACCTGCTCTGTCCTGATTTAGATGGCACATTTTTTGTGGTAGAATCCGATATGAAATGTCCTTTTTTCTTCATTTTGCAGTTCCACTAGCGTCCACCAGAGGGAGTAGAGTACAAACTCTACATCTCGTCGGCATGAGCGGGTTTGGATGAATCACGTTTTTCATCCAGTTTTAGTTTCAAGTTCTGCCCGGCAACAGGTGCAGAGCTGTTTTCTGATTGGTTCCCCTGTAATGCTGGGGGTTCTAGGCTCGGCTGTAATTGGTTGACGGAAGTAGTAGGAACATCCTCGGCTCCTGATTGGCTGACGTCAGCGAGTTCAGGGTCTGACGCTGGGTCGTCATTGGCTGGAGGCTGCAAGGAGGCGGAGTCTGTCAGGATGTTTCTGGAGATAACTGAAAAAATTATGGAAAAACAAAAATTGCACAGGAAAAATTAGGACCAACTTCTTTTTCCCCAAATAATTTCAATTTAAATCTATTTGTAAACAACCAATTTTATCGTGAAATTAATAATTTATCTTTTTTGAAAATATACGACTAAACAGGACGTGTTGGAAAAGCTCTCAAAACTCTTCTGTATCTCTGAATATCTGACCCAAACTGCTCTCACAACACTACACCTACAGGGGGAACTCAAGCAAAAACTACTATTAATGCAGAACTAGGAACTATACTTTTTATAGACAGACAGATTCAACTTGTGAATCCTGATTGTAATCTGCCTTTTTACAGATAAATACCAAAAAATACCAAATCATCAGTTCACTCGTTCACTAATTTGTGCTCTTCTCCCGTAGAAATCCTTATCATCTACATAACATGACTGAGGCACCAGCCCTTGAGATCAGAATATGAATCTGTATTTTGAGACATTAGTAAAAATATCACTTATCTGTACGATAAAGGCTTTCAGTTTCAAGAATTATTTCCTGAACATGAGCGGTACAGACTTTGCATCAGTGCACTTTAACACTAAAAATAGTTCTTATAGTCTTGCGTCTGCTGCTAACCACATGCATTTACTGACAGGAGACTGGCCATTAAACATGACGGAATCTCTAATTCAATTCATTAATTCTTAAATATATCTGAAATAACCACTCATAATATCATTCAAATGAGAAAACAATATGAAAGTCTATTAAAGTGGCTTCTTTTCCATGCATATGAGCAAATATGCTCCAGTATAGATGCGGTGTGCAAAAATATTGAAATATTAATATATAGTATCATTTAATGAGATGATACAGTATCAATATCGTGGGCTACTGTATCAGTATATAGCCAAGAATATTTTTTGGTATAGTTCACTTCATTACAGAGCCACAGGTTTGTTGCTTGTTCGGAGGAAGGAAACTCATTTATGTAACACATTTGACATTTTCACTGTTCTGATGATTAAAATAAGCGTGTTTCATATGAACTTTGCACAAGAAGTGGTTTAACAAAGAAAAGTCTTTGTCTTTGTTAAACCACTTCTTGTGCAAAGTGAATATATACAATATATTAAAAGTAGTATCACAGTCATGATTTAGCCATTATTGAACCATATTGAATCGATTTGAAATACATCGTATCGAACCAAAAGTGCTCTTTATCGAGATATGTATCATATCAGCAGCTCCCAGATACCCAGTCCTAGTACAGATATATTGTATAAGCAGCCCTTGAGGTAAGATAAGGTGTGCTGTCAGCATCTTATTATAAAGTGTTTTATTGTCAAAAAACTCAGGTAGTTGTTGCAAAACTCTGCTCTGGTCTCAGAATAGTGAAAAGCGCTCAGAAACTCATCACGGTGAATAATTGGGATGCTCTGATTGGGTAAAGTAAATGAGGAATGACTTTGGGGACCACTCTAAATGGTTTAAAATAAACAAGCTCTGTTTTCAAGTTTTAAGACTAAAAAAAAAAACAGGTAGAGTGACTTGAATCTCTTGTAAATGTTTGAGTGAATGCAGATTACCTCCGATGGGCCTGTAGTCATCTGCAGCTGAGCGTCTGAGAAAGGGACTGAAACTGGGCAGAATGATCAGACCCAGAGACACAATAATGATCTGTGGAAAGAAAACAAACTTTAGCTCAGATGTCCTCCCCTTGTGTCAGATGCCCTCCCCCATGTCTCCATGGCATCTTACTCTGTAAAAGCTGCTAAACCTGTAGTTTAGACCTCTACAAACATGTTCTGAAATGTGTGGGACTCTTGTGTTAGTTTAGACACTCATGTCTTTGGGTTGTGTTTACAGTGTGTGGTGCAGTGGCATGCATGTCCAGCAGGGGGCAGTACCAGGAGGCAGGTGCTGGTCTGAGCTCCTTTTGAAACAGTTCGTTTGATCAGAGCCTGGAGCTGTCGGAGCTGTGCCAAGAGAGACCTGGAAAACCACAGCAGAAATACTCAGTAAAATTAACCTTCTTTTAATGTCCAGTATTATAATATGAATAATCCCGTCTAAAGCAGAAAGTTGTGTTTTGTTTCAGAAATTTGTCAGAGTCTGCTTTTCATTGCTTTGAATTCCTGTTAAAGTGCATGCGTCTTGTGTTTTTTTGGGTAGGTCCCTCTCACATGTTGCTCTTCTCCAGATGCTCCACTGTCCTCTGCAGCTCTTTGTTCTGAGCCGAACACTCTGCAGCTCTGAAACAACAGCACAACAGTCACAAACATATGGAACGATCAAACCTTTGGCTTCTCTGCAGTGTTCGAGAAATTCCATTTCTGTGATGAACTGAGCACTTACACTGCAGCTCAGTCCTTGGTATCTTGGCCTTATCAAAGGTATAATACTCCGTACAACGAAGCCTAGCCAGACTGGAAGAGACTGGAGTGAACATCACTATCACAGCTGGGTCCTGTACTCATGCAGATCTTCTCGTGTTAGAACTCCAGCCTCAGGCCTCCTGCTTTTTATTCTGTACTGTTCTATATTCTGTAGTATGTTCTGTATGTATTGATACTTTGCAGCTGATGTCATCAACATTCCCTGGGGGTGTGATGCTAACTGGAGGTGCTGTTCAGTCTGAAGCTCTGTTACAATCACCATCTAGTTAGCATTAGCCAACAGCTTTTCAATTAGTCACGTTCACCTTTTTGTTGAAAATCAAATTCCTAAACAGACCATGACCACACTGAAAATGTACTGTTTAAATCCATTTGGGATTTTTTTCTTTCAGCGTTTTCAGACTATTTTGAAACATTTAGCAGTGTATGGTGGAATGTTCAGCAGTTACGATAGTGAAACAATACCTACATTACCATAGACATATGTGTAGAAACCCCCAACAAGATGTCACTGCAAAGTATCAGTTTTGTATTGTGAGAAAAGCACCTGTTCTCCAGCTCGTCCACATACTCCTTCCTCCTCCTGCGGCTGTCCTGAGCCGACTGTTTGTTACGGATTTTCCTGCGTACTTTCTTTAGGATCCTCTCTTCCGCCTGAACACACGCACAATGAGCACAAAGTCAATTTACCTTCTACAAAAACGTGTGCAGTTTTTGTCGGTGTCAATATATAATACAATATCACATTTCATAGTAATCAGTACTTAGACTTAGACCCAAACACATTCTGCATCTGTGTATGAAGCAGCTTTCCTATTGTGTTCACCTGGTGCTACCTGGACACAGCTGTGATGCTGGTGATGACGATGCACACGATACGATACACAGGTCACACAGTACAGTACGAATCCTGATACAGTGCACTTTCGATAGATACAATTCGATAAGATATGACTTCAAATCCATTGAATATAGTTGAAAAAAAAAAAAAGTCTTTTAGGCCCTTACTAAGAGATGCATTGCGCAACTCTTCTGGTGGAGGGTCCATCACCTGCTTGTCTCAATGGAGATGTTATTGCTTTGCCAGGAATGTTCCATGGTAAAACACAACTAGCATTTATTCATAACGGGTGTTTCTATTGCTCAAAAAAACAACATGTTAAGGCAACAGAATTAGGGTAGGACGTGATACGTTTTAAAAAAAAACTTTAACCTACTCTTTTTGAGCAACAGAAATGGTCACAGCTGTGATGCTGCAGGGCACACAGGGAAGACACTTCTGGCTCTTCTTCTCCTCAAACTGTCCTGACACAGATCTGCTGACCCTCCCTGACCAGTCCTCCTGTTAAACGGCACTCAGACCTCTGACTGAGACTCAAAGCCCACTGAGAGGCGCATTTCAGACATACACCTTAGTGAGGGGCAGGTTGAATGTTCATACCTTAGTGAGGGGCAGGTTGCTGGGCAGAGACACTCCCTCTTGGTTCAGAAGTCTCTGCTCCTCCTCTGTCAGCTGTAGCTCCGAGCTCATCTGTGGAGAGAACAGGGCAGAAGCACCAGTGAAAAATCATTAAAAAATTTTCTCCCAAATGACAGCTTTAAAATGACTCATATTTATTTTATTATTTAACGGTATCGTACGTAACTTTCTGGAGGTGGCACAAAACTGCATGATTCCAGTGGAAGTTAAAAACTCTGCCTAGTTTCTCAGACCAGTAGCATCAGACTCAAAATGGCTTCTGGATGGGAGTCAAAATGGCCACGTTTACATTGTGTTTTTAAAATTCCGAATTAATTGTTCAGAATTAAAATGTTCTCCTTGGAGTTTACATGGAAATAATAATTCCGAATTGTTTACATGGAAAACACGTTTTTTTATTAAATTCCACTCAATGTGGGGGTGGGGAAGGGTTCTGATTGGACAGGGGGCATCTACGGGAGGAAACACACACTGCTACTGGCTTTTTGTCATCTCGGTTATGGCACGGACACAAACATGATCCAAACTTTTTCTGCAGTTGTTCTCATGATAACTGTGAAGCAGCAGCTGGAGAATTGTCTCATCACGTTTTACGTCTGCCAGCTGAGGAGGAGAAGGGAGGATAAAGACAAACTGAGTCAACGGCTGCTCTACCTCAGCCCACTCCTGCATCGTGCCTGCAAATCCAAAGAGCCATGGATGAAAGTTCGAAGCCAGGACTGGTGGAACCGGATTGTCCGGATCTTGTTAAAAGAGCGACCCAACGAGCATGTGCTGAACCACACACTTACTTCAGACTTATGTTTAATTCCAAATAATCATTTTCAATAGGAATTAAGTGTCTTATTCAGAATTAAAGCTCTCATGTAAACGTGGCCAGTGTCCAGATGACCTCTAACCCCTGAATTCTTTTTTTTTTTTTTTTTTTTTTAACCATGGACCCCTCCTAGATGGAACTGGGCTTAAATAAAGCCACGTGCAGCTCTCACCTGGTCCAGGGACTGAGAGGAGCATCCAGGACGAGGAACCAGCTCATTCACCACACAGGAGTCTGAGAGGAGCAACTGAGACCACGAATCTACAGAGGAGCCAGAGGAGAGGGTCAGAGGAGCAGAGAAGAGGAGAGGGTTGGAGAAGCAGAGGAGCAGAGGAGGGTCAGAGGGTCAGGGGAGCAGAGGAGAGGGTCAGATGAATCTCCTCACCCAGTTCTATGGAGATGACGTTCTGTTGGTTGCTGTCGATGTCAGTGACACCGTACACCACCTGGTACACTGTGGTCTGGTTGAGATCCTGGCTCAGAATCTGGTCCTGGTCCGGTTCCTGGTCCAGTCCCTGGTTCTGGATCTCCTCACAGATTCCGCTGTCACTCCCTGAAGAGTCTGGAGTGGTTCTGGAGGGGAAGACCTCGTTGGGGTCGACTCCATGAAGCAGCTCCTCTGTCTCACTGTCCACCAGAGTCTGAGGAACGAGACTGGACTTTACACCAAGAACCTTTAAGAGACAAGACACCAAGGCTATACGATTCATACTTTGCAGCTGACGTCAACATTCCCTGGGACTGTGCTGCTAACTGTAGGCACTGCTCTGTCTGAAGCTGTTAGTGAAGGTGTTAGTGAGGTGACTTTAATCTGAGCTTTGTTTTAACACAATGTGCCCATAAAGAACTGACTTAGCTGATTTGTGTGGCTTTCTTTAGTTATAAAAAGTGATCTTCAGTCTTATTTGAAAGGATCTGCTAATGAGTACATAGTGTGGTAACTGCGTGATGCCCCTGCAAAGTACTAATATTGGAGTTTTTTAGATTCTATGAGGTTTCATTTTAGCTGCCTCCATCTGTATTAAATATGATTGGACGATAGAGTGTTGTGATGTAATCTGAAACAGCTACATTGCAATCGATTCAAATCAAAGTCAGAATCTGAGTTGGTGCAATTATCAAATCGCAAAAGCTACAATAATTGAAAGAATAGAACAACATATACCTGTAGTTTAGACTTCTTCAAACATGTTCTGAAACCGTGCCTGTATGTCAGATGCCCTCCCTGTGTGTACATTAGGGCTGGCTACCATGACGATACACACGATACGATACACAGGTCACACAGTACAGTACGAATCCTGATACAGTGCACTTTTGATAGATACAATTCAATAAGATATGACTTCAAATCCATTGAATATAGTTGAAAAAAAAAGTCTTTTAGGCCCTTACTAAGAGATGCATTGCGCAACTCTTCTGGTGGAGGGTCCATCACCTGCTTGTCTCAATGGAGATGTTATTGCTTTGCCAGGAATGTTCCATGGTAAAACACAACTAGCATTTATTCATAACGGGTGTTTCTATTGCTCAAAAAAAAAAAAAAAAAAAAAAAAAAAAGGGTCAACAACATGTTAAGGCAACAGAATTAGGGTAGGACGTGATACGTTTTTTAAGAAACTTTAACCTACTCTTTTTGAGCAACAGAAATGGTCCTAAATATGTACATGTACAAACCATTATGTTTGTAATGTACTTTGCTCAAACAAAAAAAAAGAATTGCTAAAAAAAATATATATATATATTATTGTTATTGTTATTGTTGTTATTATTATTATTATTATTATTATTATTATTATTATTATTATTATTATTATTATTATTATTAATACTAATTATAATAATTCTCTCTGTGAATACAGATGTCTCTCCACAGATCTGAACTACAATGTAGCCTATAGCCGTCTCCCTTGAGACACATAGGTTTAATCTATAGCATGGAACATTCTAACTAGAGCAACAACATCTCCATGAAGAGAGACTGACCATTCACCTGAAAAGTTGCACCTTTAAAGATCAGCTTAACAGACACACAAAAAACACAATAAAGGTGCATTTAACTTCCATTAACTGAAGATGAATGAACACTGCGTTTAGTTTAGTTCATGTGACTATAGAAGAACACATCACACTGCAGCACTGGCCAGTGCACACTCAGACACAGCTCCACATGTCCAAAGACAGTGTGCAAGTTAAAGGCTCAACACAGAACTACTGACATGACACTGTCACACTAAAAGTCTCTGTGCAAAGTGAATATGGAACACAGCACTTTCATCAAAAAGAGTGAATATGTCAGATGTGTTGCGTAAACAAGTTTCCTTCCTCATAATATTGATATATCCCTCTGTCTCAGACACCCTCTCTGTTCAAGCTGCTAACCTTGTAGTTTAGACCTCCACAAACATGAAATGCATGGGAGATCATTAGTTCATATTTCAGTCTCTCACATGTGAATGCCCCTGTGGCTGTTTAAATGTGCAATCAAAGTCTACTCTTGTCAGAAAAATCACAATTTATTTTTTTCAAAAGCGCACAGCCCTACAAATAATGAATGGCCTCTTACAGTTTCTGCCTCTACAGCCCACTCCTGCACAGCCTCGGGAAGGTCCATGAGGAGTCCAGAGGAGCCGTCAGGTGCAGTGACAGGAGCAGAGCTGACAGGAGCAGACAGATCCCAGCCCTCAGTCAGGAAGAGTACCCCACTCTCTGCATCCATGTCCTAAAAATATAAGTGACAAATTACAACTACAGGTGCCAAGAGGGTCTAAACTTAACAATCAATTATGGAATCAATAATAGTCTAATGGTGTAACTCAAGTTTGGAGAAATGCCTTGTTTATGACTGTGTGGATATAAAGCAAAATATAATTACAATATACTACAATTCACAATACTTAAAGAACCCATATTATGCAATTTTCCAATCTATAATCCAATTTCATTCAAATCTGATTTCATTTGATCAAATTTCCATTTATAATGTTGTTTCCTTATCAAAACAAATCTGGAGCTGTGTTTTGTTTCATTCACACATATTTAACACACATATTTAGGCTCTCAAAAACCAAACATTCTGTTCCACCTTGTGTTGTCACATGGTAATACAAATACAAAGTGCTCCACTGTGTTTTTAAACTCCACACACTTTCACGTGAATCATCTGGATGATTGAAGACTTGGATATGCCAATCCATCTACTGATCTAAAGATAAAATAGCTGTTAACTTGAAAATTTTCACTTCATGACATCACAAGGGGGAACAGGGCATTTTGAGCTTTGGAGATGTAAGCACACAATAAATGATTACTCAAACAAGTGTGAATGAAACAAACAAACAAACAAACAAACAACTCCAGGTATGTTTCTGGTGAGGTAATAACATTATAACATGACTTAAAGCTCACAAGAGTCAATTTTTGTAATGCAAACATGAATTTGTCTTAATTTTAGTGAGAGTTTTATCAAAGGACCGACCTTAAAAGAAAACCTTGAACTGCGCACGCTGCTGCCTTATCACCTCTGTATCACGTTAGAACCTTGTGTCCCTAAATTTGGAGCCGCGTTATCTAAACTTTGACTAAAAAGAGTCAAAAGTATGAAAAGAGTCTGTAGAGAAAAAAAACATAAACAAAAACGTCATTGGACCCAAACTGTGCAGCTCGTGTTCGTTCTCACCGGTGGCTGGTTGTTTGCTCAGGTGTGGGGGGGGGAGGCCTGATCCTGGTGCAGCCGGATCTGCAGCTTGTCTCCGGGGCAAAGACGGAGGAAGGACCGGGGACAGGGATCGAAGGGACAGAGATCTGCGGGAGGGGAGGCCGGTGTTCGCTCTCCACTGTCCGGGGCTCGATCACCGGCTCCGGTCGTTCATCTCACCCGCGCAGCGGGCACCAGAGAGCACCGGGAAAACGCAGCAGCTCAAACCTAGAACAGGCTCCTCAGGTCGGCTTCGGCTCCACGTCCTGCGCGGTGTTTTCCGGAGAGACACGGAGAGGGACCCGGAGGTAGTGCGCCCTGCTGGAGGAACACGGAACTGTACTGGTACTAAACTCCTCCCTCCAGGACTGTCAAACATTCTGAACAGACTTCATAGTGTCAAGAACACATCAGCTTAATGTGGCTTTGTTATTCTCGTCTTTCAGTAGGAGAATTTGCCTCATTCATGAACAGTGGATTCACAGTAAACAGCTTTCTTGCCATGCATTTATGAAGAGATAAATGAATACACCTCATTATGTCAAACTGTTGTTAAAGCTCTCAAAGAAAGTTAGTAGAATTGTATTATGTGTTCACCTGCCCAGGGAGTGCACTGGATGGAAAGTGGCAGCAAGATCTGGTGCAGTTCATGTTTTCTTCAGATGCTTTTGTACATGATCCTTGACAAATAAATAAATAGAAACTACAAACTAAATGCCACACACAAGCCATTGTATTTTATCACATCCTTCCTTTCACTCTTATTGAAGTGTCATGCCAAAGGGCACAGGAGCAGTCTGAATAAGCTCTGTAGCTGTAGAACTGTTGCAGTCCAGGTTTGAAATAAACTTGGTTTAATTACCCAAGCTTTGAATGAAATACTGTCTGAAATGCCATTAAAATTGTGTAAAATAATTGTACTTGTACTTTGAGTATGCATTGTGCGTACTGAGTACTGCGTACTGCTTTACTCAAACACATATAAGTTACTCCTTTAACTGTACTTTTACTTAAGTGCAAATTGCCTGTATGCCTTCCACCACTGATTATTGCATCAAACCCACTTTAATCCTGCTTTAGTATAGGCTTAGTCCACTTTAGTTCGAGTTTGATCCAGGTTTAGTCCAGATTTAGTCCAGGTTTGTCTGGTCCAGGTTTAGTCCAAGTCTGGTCCAGATTTAGTCCAGGTTTAGTCCAGGTTTATTACGAGTTTGATCCAGGTTTAGTCTAAGATTGGTCCACATTTAGTCCAGATTTAGTCTAGGTTTGGTCCAGGTTTAGTCCGAGTTTGATCCAGGTTTAGTCCAAGTTTAGTCCAAGTCTGGTCCAGATTTAGTCCAGGTTTAGTCCTGCCTTAGTCCAGGTTTAGTCCTGCTTTAGTCCAGGTTTAGTCCTGCTTTAGTCCAGGTTTAGTCCTGCTTTAGTCCAGGTTTAGTGTTGCTTTAGTCCAAGTTTAGTCCAAGTCTGGTCCAGATTTATTCCAGGTTTAGTCCTGCTTTAGTCCAGGTTTAGTCCTGCTTTAGTCCAGGTTTAGTCCTGGTTTAGTCCAGATTTAGTCCTGCTTTAGTCCAGATTTAGTCCTGCTTTAGTCCAGGTTTAGTGTTGCTTTAGTCCAGGTTTAGTGTTGCTTTAGTCCAAGTTTAGTCCAAGTCTGGTCCAGATTTAGTCCAGGTTTAGTCCTTGTTTAGTCCAGGATCAGTCTGTAGTCTTCTCTTTCCCTGTTCGTCTCAGTTGTTTCACTTTATAGCTGACATCGTATGCAGGAAAACAAACAAAAGAAGTCATTGGAAGTTTAACGCCAAACTTTTACAACATGATGACTATTGCAATATAGTTAGAAGAATAATTAAATATATCTTGAGAAATGTTGCTATTATAGGAAATATCAATAAATGGGAATTTATAAAATTCAAAATTAGAGAATTTAGTATTCAGTTCAGTAAAGATTTAATTAAAAAACAAAAAGAGTATGAGTGTAAATTAATATATGAAATCAGTAAATGTTGCAGTAATAACAATTTGACTGCTCAAGAAAAATATAGAGCCATGGAACTGCAAACAAAATTAGATCAACTTTATATAAACAGAGCACAAGGAGCTTTTGTAAGATCCCGTGCAAAGTGGATTGAGAAAGGGGAAAAAAACTCCTCTTATTTCTTCAATTTAGAGAAGAGAAGACAAAAAATAAATTATATATCTAGCTTGTTAATTGATGAAAAGGAATGCAAAGACCCTGTAGTGTTAGAGAATGAAGTTTATAGGTTTTATTCTAAGCTGTATTCCTCTCAGTTTTCCCAAATAGAATGTGATGCTTTTTTTGATAAAATCAATCATCTGATTCCTCAGACTGAGAACACTTTTAAAGAATCTTGTGAAGCGATCTTGAAAATTGAGGAAATAGATGCAGCGATTTAAAAAATGACATCAAATAAGTCACCAGGATCAGATGGACTCACTGTAAATTTTTACAAGTTCTTTTGGGAAGAGGTGAGAGAAATTTTATTCAAAGCATTATTAGACTGCATTGATAATGGGGAGCTCATGACAAACAAGGCATAATCACCCTTATACCTAAACCAGGGAAAGATAAAAGGCAGTTAGATAACGTAACACCGATAACATTGTTGAATATAGACTATAAAATATTTTCAGGGTCCATTGCATCAAGGCTTAAACTCGGAGTTTCAAATATAATCAGTGAGACACAATCTGGATTCTTAAAAGATAGAAATATACACAATAACATTAGGCTAGTTTTAGATTTACTGGATTATAGTGATTTGATTGAGGAAAAAAGTTTTATTTTTTTCTTAGATTTTTATAAAGCATTTGATTCTGTGGAGCATCCTTTTATTTTAGAAACACTCAACCGATTTGGATTTGGAGAAAAATTTAGGAATATAATTAGTATTCTTTATAAAGATATAAACAGCTCTGTGTCTTTAAGTCATGGGACATGCAAAAGATTCAGCATAAAACGAGGCATAAGACAAGAATGTGGAAGCTCACCTTTGTTGTTTATAATGGTTGCAGAGATGCTAGCCATTTTAATAAAAAATAGTGATATTGCTGGGATTGACGTCGAGGGCAAATCATTCAGCTTGCTGATGACACTACCCTCTTTCTAAAAGACAAACATCAAATTCCTTTGGCACTACAAATCATTACTAACTTTTCTAAAGCCTCAGGTCTTCAACAGAATTTAAACAAATGCGAGCTATTGGCTCTAAAGGATCATCCACGGCAATCATTATATAATATAAAGGTGAAGAAAGAGGTGAAATATTTAGGGATAGTCATATCAAGAGACAAACAAGTTTCAGACAAAGCAAACGTGTGTGATAATATTGACAAATGTAAACGTACTTTAAATAGATGGTTACAAAGAGATATAACCATTTTTGGTAGGATACTATTGACCAAAATAGATAGTCTCTCTAAATTAATTTACCCAGCATATTCTCTTCCCATTTCAAACAGGATGATCAAATTATTCAATAGCATTCATTTTAACTTCATTTGGAAGAATAAATGTCATTACATTGGCAAAGACGACATAATTAAACCATACGCGGAGGGAGGTGGAAACGCTATAGATTTTGACATTATGAATGGAGTTTTGAAACTCAAATGGCTGAAGCTCTTTTTAAATAATAGTTGATCTATTTGGTATTACATTCCCAATCTAATCTTCAATAAGATTGGTGGTATCAACGTTTTCTTAAAATGTGATTTTGAGTTAAACAAATTACCAGTGAAACTTTCAAATTTTCACCAACAGGTCCTTCTTTATTGGAAATTAATTTTTAAGCATAATTTTACTCCTCATAATAGCCCAGTGTGGAATAACAGGTACATATTGGTTAACAGAAAATCTATTTTCATCGAAGAATGGCACACTAAAGGCATATGGGCTGTAGCTCATTTCCTGGATGATGAAGGACTTATTTTACAACAGTATGATTTCTGTCAGAAATTTCAAATTCAGTGTACCAAAAGAAAATATAATCAAGTTATAAAAGCTATCCCATTACAGATTAGAACTATGGCTGGGCAGGATATGTTGTACTCTAGTAATTCTCCTGGACTGAGACAACTTTGCATTGAAGGGTGTGAATTTTGTGATTCAAAGTGCAATAACAAATTTTTGAGATGTTCCTTACTAAACGATTCCTTTCCCAAGCCAGTTAAAAGAGATTATATTCTTAAAAGGAACTTTGAAATGAAAGATATTAAAATAATCAGAACTAAATATCTTTCCTTTCCAGTTCCACCTAAAGTAAAGGAGATACAATTTAAAATTTTGAATAATATTTATCCAACCAATGAATTCCTAAAACAAAAATTCAAATTCGAAACAGATAAATGTGTGTTCTGTGACACAGGGGAAGAAGACTTGGAACATGTAGTTTGGTACAACAATTTTGGTTTGATTTTCATTCATTGCTTCAGTCCAGGGGAGTTAAATTTGCCCCCCAACAATAAAATAAATTTAATTTGGTGTATTAAGAGAAGATACAAGGAAGGAATTTGGAATTAATAATTTATTATTCTTAGGAATTTTTTTTTATTCACAAATGTCGATGTTTTAAGGCAAAACCAAATATAACTTACTTTAGTAATGACCTAAGAATTTTTGTTGATTCATTGAACCTGATTGAAAAAAGAGAAGCTGGGTTTCTTGTATCTTTTTTAAATGATGCCAATTTGTTCCTTTGATTACATGCTTTAGAATTTGCCCCCATGGTTTATTCGTGAATGTATTCTTGTTTACATTTTTCTTCTTCTTTGTTTTTTTGTTTTTTGTTTTTTTTTTCTTACTCGGTTTGGATGTGAATTTTGTATGGTGACTTTTCGTTTGTATCTGGGAAGTATTAATAAATAATAAAAAAAAAAAAAACTTTATAGATGGCGTATTTGTGAAAAGCGGATATTCATGTGCTCTTATTGTGAAAAGCGGATATTCGTGTGCTCTTATTATGAAAAGCGGATCCGTGCGTCAAACGTGGCGCTGATTTGACGCACGGGAGAGACTGGGATCAGCTGATGACGTCCTGACTCACACTTCCCGAACTCCTTGCGCTCGGGACCGAAACTCTCCGGGAAATTCACGCAGATTGTCGCTTCGTTTTAGACACTTTTCTGGACTTTACCCGCCGCTTCCTTTCGCTTGATCCGTCTCTAAACAAACCGTATGAGCGGAGGCTAAACCCGGTGAGTTCAAATACACTTGTTTTTTTTGGTCAATTTTGTGTTTATTTGGCTCGTCCACAAGTTTGAAATGGTACTCTGTGTACTTTTCCTATTGATAATTAATCTGTTATTCACTTTATTTTGGCTACAGCGCGTTTAAGATTTTGAAGCGTAAATCAAAGTAGCCAGAATAAGAAGGATAGAGGAGTAAGCAAAGTTCCATAGTTGAGCTTTAGCTGTCCATTAAATGCTTTTATATGGTATCCTATAGCAGGGACCGCGGCACATGGCTCTCGTAAACGTGTAATGACCAGCGCGTAAACATTACATATGGAATGACACTGCACTAGACTTTGGTCCCGTTAAAGAGGGACTTTTGTGTTTGGCCCCGGTGTAAAAATCAATTCGGTTTTTATGTTTATGTACTCAGAGAAACGTGGGCGCGAGTCAGTCACAAGATGCACAGTTTAAACCAGAGCGGAGGGAGATACGCGCGTCTGCCAGGCCTATTCCACTGGATTCTGAACATATTAGTGTATTAGTCCTGCTTTAGTCCTGCTTTAGTCCTGCTTTAGTCTGCTTTAGTCCTGGTTTAGTCCTGGTTTAGTCCAGGTTTAGTCCTGCTTTAGTCCAGGTTTAGTCCTGCTTTAGTCCTGGTTTAGTGCTACTTTAGTTCTACTTTAGTCCTGGTTTAGTCCTGGTTTAGTCCTGCTTCAGTCCTGGTTTAGTTCTAGTTTGGTCTTGCTCTAGTCCTGCTTTTGTCCTGGTTTATTCCTGGTTTATTCCTGCTTCAGTCCTGTTTTAGTCCTACTTTAGTCCTGCTTTAGTCCTACTTTAGTTCTACTTTAGTCCTGGTTTAGTCCTGGTTTAGTCCTACTTTAGTCCTGCTTTAGTCCTGCTTTAGTCCTGCTTTAGTCCTACTTTAGTCCTGCTTTAGTCCTGCTTTAGTCCTGGTTTAGTCCTGCTTTAGTCCTACTTTAGTCCTGCTTTAGTCCTGCTTTAGTCCTGCTTTAGTCCAGGTTTAGTCCTGCTTTAGTCCTGCTTTAGTGCTACTTTAGTCCTGGTTTAGTGCTACTTTAGTTCTACTTTAGTCCTGGTTTATTCCTGCTTCAGTCCTGGTTTAGTCCTACTTTAGTCCTGCATTAGTCCTGGTTTAGTGCTACTTAAGTCCTGGTTTAGTCCTGGTTTGGTCCTGCTTTAGTCCTACTTTAGTTCTACTTTAGTCCTGCTTTAGTCCTGGTTTAGTTCTACTTTAGTCCTGCTTTAGTCCTGCTTTAGTCCTACTTTAGTGCTACTTTAGTCCTGGTTTAGTCTTACTTTAGTCCTGGTTTAGTCCTGCTTTAGTCCTGGTTTAGTCCTACTTTAGTCCTGCTTTAGTCCTGGTTTAATCCTGCTCTAGTCCTGGTGTAGTCCTACTTTAGTCGTGGTTTAGTCCTGGTTTAACCCTGGTTTTGTCCTGGTTTAGTCCTGCTTTAGTCCTGCTTTAGTTCTGGTTTAGTTTTGGTTTAGTCCTGGTTAAGTTTTGTTTTAGTCCTTGTTAGTTAAAGTTTAGACTTTTGGTTATAACTGAATTGGGAGTCACTAATAGTCAAAGGAATTTCACATTTAGCAAATTTGTTCTCTGATGGTTCTCACGAGGTTCAGAATGATGAGAAATGACGACTGTTGCCATAGCGACAAAGAATTTAAAAGGAAAATATAATGATGAAAAGTCAGGAAGCCATGAATATAGAATGAAGTACTGTACAGAAACTCAACTCGACTTCATACATTACATTTGTGTGAAGCAGTCGTGCCTCAAACATGTCCAGAAGAATCAACAAGGCTGAAATTTGAACTGATAAACACAAGAATCACATTTCAGAAGAGGTTTTACAGATCTAAACTACAGGGACAGCAGCTTTTATGCTCAGTAAGACAGAAGGAGATTTTGTTTGTGGAGGAAATGATGGGTCTTCAAAACCGGAGCCTTCTGTTAATCGTGTCCATTCTGTTCAAATGCTCCAATTCTTTGGATCAGAATGCACGTTCACTTTCACTTTGTGTTGGTGGGTGTCAGGTGGACGGCTGCGGCGCGACCCCTCTGCAGCTCCCAGGTCTCAGGTCAGAGGTCACAGAGATGGCAGTGCCCTTGTGGAGTCGCTCTCTGGGAGTAGCTCCAGCTCTGGAGGTGAAACTGGGGGCTCTGGCTTTGCTCCTCTTCCTCACTCTGATCTTCGGCGTCAGCCCCATGTGCCTGGTCCGCTGCACCCACAACCCAGGTACAGGCCTGTTCCACCTGGATTTGGACTCGTTTAGACCTGGGTTAATCCTAAATTAGACCTGGGTTAATCCGGGGTTAGATCCTGGGTTAGTCCTGGGTTAGTCCTGGGTTAGTCTGGGTTAGTCCTGGGTTAGACCTGGGTTAGTCCTGGGTTAGTCCTGGGTTAGATCTGGGTTAGATCCTGGGTTAGACCTGGGTTAGTCCTGGGTTAGTCTAGAGGTTAGTCCTGGGTTAGGGGTTAGTCCTGGGTTAGACCTGGGTTAGATCTGGGTTAGTCCTGGGTTAGATCTGGGTTAGTCCTGGGTTAGATCTGGGTTAGTCCTGGGTTAGACCTGGGTTAGTCCTGGGTTAGATCTGGGTTAGTCCTGGGTTAGTCCTGGGTTATCTGGGTTAGTCCTGGGTTAGATCTGGGTTAGTCCTGGGTTAGTCCTGGGTTAGATCCTGGGTTAGATCTGGGTTAGTCCTGGGTTAGATCTGGGTTAGACCTGGGTTAGTCTGGGTTAGGGGTTAGATCCTGGGTTAGTCCTGGGTTAGACCTGGGTTAGATCTGGGTTAGTCTGGGTTAGACCTGGGTTAGTCCTGGGTTAGATCTGGGTTAGTCCTGGGTTAGACCTGGGTTAGTCCTGGGTTAGTCCTGGGTTAGACCTGGGTTAGGGGTTAGTCCTGGGTTAGATCCTGGGTTTAGTCCTGGGTTAGATCTGGGTTAGTCCTGGGTTAGTCCTGGGTTAGTCCTGGGTTAGTCCTGGGTTAGACCTGGGTTAGATCCTGGGTTAGATCTGGGTTAGTCCTGGGTTAGACCTGGGTTAGTCCTGGGTTAGACCTGGGTTAGTCCTGGGTTAGGGGTTAGACCTGGGTTAGATCTGGGTTAGTCCTGGGTTAGTCCTGGGTTAGTCCTGGGTTAGTCCTGGGTTAGATCTGGGTTAGACCTGGGTTAGTCCTGGGTTAGTCCTGGATTAGTTCTGGGTTAGTCCTGGATTAGTTCTGGGTTAGATCTGGGTTAGTCCTGGGTTAGTCCTGGGTTAGACCTGGATTAGTTCTGGGTTAGACCATCTAACAGGCTGTGGAACCAAGTGTACAGTGGATTACATTTGTACCGTGGTGGATAATAATGTTTAAAAATGATCTTGACCCAGAAAAGTTTGCTTCAGTTTGCTGTTCTGTGATAATGCCCAGGTGCAGGTGTGTCCTCTGCTGTGGGTCTTTCATCAGAACTGTAGAACACACTGTCCAGTCCCTGTCCAGGTCTGGACCAGGATTTCAATTATAAGGGCCACATCACATTGGACTCTAGGTGATTGTACATGGACAGATTTAAGACTGGTCCTGGACCAGTTTTAGGACTGGTTTGCAGACTGGTTTTAGGACTGATTTTGTACTGCCCTTGGACTGGTTCTGGCCTGGTTTTCCACAGGTTCTAACACCCCTGTCTCCTCCTCTTCCTCAGAGCTTCGGCGTCGCGTGCTCAGTCTCACTAGTTGTTTTGCTGGAGGAGTGTTCTTCGCCACATGTCTCCTGGACCTGCTCCCAGACTATCTGCAGGGCATCCAGCAGGCCTTCAGCAACGCCGGCATCACCGTGAGAGGAACATTGCTACAACGGGTTTTAGAGGGTTTAGAACGGGTTTAGAACACTATTAAACCAAAACCAATCTTGGTTTACATCAGGTTAGTCCAGGTTTAGAACTGGTTTATCTTCTTGTGGTAAAGGCCTGGTTTTGATCTTTTTAGTCTTTGTTTAGCCCTGGTTTGACCCTGGTTTAGTCTTGGTTCAGTCCTAGTTGAGCCTTGGTTTAGTCCTGGTTCTGTCCTGGTTCAGTCCTGGTTCTGTCCTGGTCTAACTCTCATCTCTCTGGTTACAGTTGCAGTTCCCCCTCCCTGAGTTCATTATGGCCATGGGCTTCTTCTTGGTGCTGATCTTGGAGCAGATCCTTTTGTCCTTCAAACCCTCTTCCTCCTCCTCCTCCTCCTCCTCTTCCTCTTCAGTTTATGACGAGCGACGCCACCTTCTGGACTCAAACCACGTGCAAACGCCTGACTCCGCCCCTCCGCACAGATCCAGCCAATCAGATGACTCCCACCACCACCACCACCACCACCAGCTGGACTTCACGTCGCAGTCCGCCCTCCGCGCCTTCATCCTGGTCTTCTCCCTGTCTCTGCACTCGGTGTTTGAGGGCCTCGCCGTGGGTTTGGTGGAGGAGGAGAAGGAGGTGTTGGAGCTGTGTTTGGCTCTGGTCATTCATAAAAGCATCATAGCGGTCAGTCTGTGTTTTCGCTTGATTCAGGGCAGGATTCGGCGTTCAGTAACCGCTGGCTGCCTGCTGCTCTTCGCCTCCATGACCCCTCTGGGCATCGCTATCGGGGTGGGGCTGACGGAGGAGACCAAGAGCTCTCCCCAGCAGCAGATCATCAGGAGCTCTCTGGAGGGGATAGCGGCCGGGACCTTCATCTACATCACCTTTATGGAGATTCTGCCTCACGAGCTCCAGGGGGCGCCGAGGAGCAACATGCCCAAAGTGTGTATGCTCTTGCTGGGCTTCGCTCTGGTCACCGCTGTCCTCTTCATCAAACTCTGAGAAAGAACACAACACGGCCCTGATTGGACATGTGAAGTCATGGGCAGATGAACACCAAAACATGGATATTTTATAATGGACATTGTACTGAAAAAGTATATGTGGTAACATAAAGCCTGGGCCTTAAGGGGGATTCAAGGATTTCAGTTTAGGATGCGCCGATCAAGTTTATTCAGTTCTGAGATTTTGATCCTATAGCTTTAAGTATCTACCAATACCAACAGATGCCAGGGACTGAAAACAGCATTTATTTCCAAAGATAAAATAAGACAAAAGTGTGTTATGTAGCTGTTATTTATCCCTACACTAACTACAGAGGCACTTTGTGTGAATACATGTTCAAACACAACTGTTGTTTACGTTGTATATGTAGGATATATATGATTAGCAGGAAGTGTCAGGAGCCCAGACACTTCCCAAACAACAGCCAAATCAATGTCTGTCGCTTTTATTCAGATAATATAACAAACACAAATGTTTATCACTTTATTTGAAATAAGAATGAGAGCACATCAAATGGCCTCTACAGCATCCATCATGTGTGTGTGTGTGTGTGTGTGTGTGTGTGTGCGCGCGCGCGCGTGTGTGTGTGTGTGTGTGTGTGCGTGCGTGTGTGTGCGCCATATAAATGCAATAATTCATTCATTTCAATATAATCTCATTAGCAGAGGTGGGGACTTGCAAGTTGTGATTTGGACTCAAGTCACTATTTTTAGGACTTGAGACTAACTCTAATCCAATAAAATAGACTAAGACTTAGGACTCGACTTGGATTTGAGCCCTGTGACTTGAGAAGACTTTCTATTCTGACCGTAATAATTCACACTAAGATCTTGACAAGACACTTAAAAAGAAAAATTTGCATTTCTACAACTCTTACATAAATACTCATATATAAATATACCAGTTTAGTTTAAAATTCATATAAATTGCAAACTTTGGTTGAAATGACTTGAAGCTCAAAGCAGACGACTTGGACTTGACTTGGACTTATGGGTCAGTGACTCGAGACTCGACTTGGACTTGCCTGTCTTTGACTTTGGACTTGACTTGAACTTCAGGTCAAAGATTTGAGACTTGCAGATTGTGACAGGCAGATTGAAATGTCAATATTTTAATACTGATAAGGTATGGAAAAGTATAGATATTCATGCCAAAATAAAATGGATGATTACATTTCTTAAATTTATATGAATCACTTTTGGAAATACTTTTTTTATTTTATTTATGTTTTAAACCTGTTCAAACCCGTTCAAACGTGTTCATAATGAGCTAAACGGTTTATGTGAGGGCTTTTCTGTACTCACAACTGCACTCATATCTGATATTGTTTCAGGTTATCAATACTTTGACTGAAATGAATAATTCTAGAACAGATAACATCTAGAGTGATAGTAAGGGCATCTGGTTTAAATGAGCCAATGTGAGACTAAAATATTTTGCATGTAGTTTACATTCGTGTTTAAGATAAATTAAACTTGACCCAGGTACACAGACTTCACAGATCTTTTTATGCACTTTGAAGAGTTTTATGTTTTTGGTGTGTGTTTTAAGACATCCATAAATGTTCACGCACTGGAAACAGTCACATTCTTTTTTTGTCCATTTAAATCCATGTTTCTGTTTTTTGTTTTGTGTTATACTAAAGTGACTCTTGTGAGCTTTAAGTCATGTTCTGATGTTGTTACCTCAGGAACAGACCTGGAGTTGTGTGTTGTTTCATTCACACATGTTTGAGGAACTCTTTATCTGTCTGTCTACATCTCCAAAGCTCAAAATGCTTTGTTACACCTTGTGATGTCATCGAGTGGTAGTTTTCATCTTAAGAGCTCCTTTTAACTTTAGTTAGTAGAGAATTGGCAATTCCAGGTCTGAAATGATCTGAATGATTCTAGTGAAGGTGTGTGGAGTTTAAAAACACAGTGGAGTACTTTCTGTATTACCGTATGACATCACAAGGTGCACCTGTTTTGGTTTGACAGAAGAACTCAGTGTAAATGTGCAGATTTGTGTGTTAAACATGTGTGAGTGAAACAAAACACAACTTCAGGTCTGTGTGTGATGAGGAAATAACATTAGAACAGAGATCAGAAAATTGCATGATATGGGACATTTATCATCTGTAAACATGCACATATGATTGACTTTATTAATTATTTTGGATTATTTTCAAATGATGAATGAATGCCTTGTCTGTAAACCCACTGACGTGATGCTTGTTTTCCTGTATGGTTTTAGCACAGACCAACGATTGGGATCGGAAATCAAACCTTAAACACTACAGTGTATCACGGCTGTAAAAACGGTTACTATTTTTGCACAAAAAATCATGTTGTATTGAATAAAACTTTGAACTTAAACAAAAAGCACTCTGTCAACAAGTGAAAGTAAATGTTGAATTTGACCTTTATTCATACAAAACAACTCCCAACAGGTGAGCCGATCTGTGCTGTTATGCCACACGTACACTATGCGATATTTTTGATGGTTTCACTCAGCCCCAGCTCAAATTGTATGACCAAATCTAAAAGTTTAAACGTTCACAGCTCACAATCTATGTTCTCACACTATACAATCCAAGGCTCGGCATACACTGCGATTTTTGGCTTTTTTTGAGCAGATTTTTCACCGTCCGACTGTTTTTAGGATCTGGCCGAGTATTGTCTTAATTGTGTGTCGAGCTTTGTGTAACATGGGGTAACGAGAACCGATTAATCCCTCACGACCAGCTCCCGATCGCCAATTGTGGGTCGCACGAATTTCAAACCTGTTTGATCACAGGCCCCTGAAAATGTGCTCTTCAAATTCATTTTGTTTTTTCCTTGAGTTTTCAGATGATCTTTGAACTTTTTTTTGCTAATGCATTGCGTCACCATGGTAACTGTTGAACATTCCACCATAGAAATATATTTAGAACACCCCCAGCATGACGTCAGTGCACAGTATCAGTAATGCAGATTATGTGGTTTAAGTGAATTGTGTCAGGGTCAAGGCTGAACCATTGACTTTGTGCATGAATGAAAACATCCTGGACTTAGATCAGAGCCAGTGTGACCCTATAGACCCCAGTCACACAGTCACATAGTCACACAATCACACAGTCACACAGTCACACAGCCACACAGTCACACAGTCACACAGTCACACAGCCACACAGTCACACAGTCACACAGCCACACAGCCACACAGTCACACAGCAACACAGTCACACAGTCACACAGTCACACAGCCACGCAGCCACACAGCCACACAGTCACACAGTCACACAGCCACACAGTCACACAATCACACAATCACACAATCACACAGTCACACAGTCACACAGTCACACAATCACACAATCACACAGTCACACAACCACAGTCAGACAGACACAGAGGCACAGTCACACAGCAACACAGTCACTCTCACACAGTCACAGACTCACACAGTCACCCAAACACACAATCACACAGTCACACAGTACCACACTCACACAGTCATAAAGCCACACAGTCACAATCACATAGTCACACTCACACAGACACACAGTCACAGACACACAGTCACACACTCGCCCCTCAACCACAATGTCCCTAGTTTCATTCCCACACAGTGATGTGCCCATTCACACCTGGAGAAGAGTCCAGCGAGGTCCTGACCTGGATCCTGGTCCTAGTCTTGGCTCAGGTCCTGGCCTTGGCTCTGGTCAAAGTCTTGGCTCTGGTCCCAGTCTTGTTTTTTGGTCTTGGTCTTAGCTCTGGCCCTGGTCTAGTCTTAGTCCTGGTCTTTGGTCTTGGCTGTGGTCCTGGTCCTCGTCTTAGTCCTGGTCCTGGTCTTGGTTTTTGGTGTTGGCTCTGGTCCTGGTCTTAGTCCTGGTCTTGGTCTTTGGTGTTGGCTCCGGTCCTGGTCTTAGTCCTGGTCCTGGTCCAGGTGCAGAGGACAGTAGCTGCTGGCGCTCTGAGTCTGTGTTGATGTTGGAGATGGTTTTGGCTCGAGGTGAATGGTTCTTTTCTCTGCAGCAGAACTCAGACTAAAAACAACTCAAGACTGTCAATGCCAACGGAGGGGTCAGCACAAGGGTCAGGGGTCAGCATAAGGGTCAGGGGTCAGCACAAGGGCCAGCAGAAAAGTAATGGTCAGCAGAGGCCTGTGTGCTCTGTACAGGTCAATGACGCTGCTCTAAAAATATAGGAACTGTAGGCAGAGCAGTTGAAAATGGTTTAAAACTTTAAATGTTTAAAGTATTACACAAAACTGACTCTTGTGAGCTTTAAGTTGTGTTCTAATGTTGTTACCTCTTCAAAAACACACCTGGAGTTGTGTTTTGTTTCATTCACACATGGGTAACATTTTATTAGTCCGTCTGCATCTCCGAAGCTCAAAATGCTCTGTTCCATCTTGTGATGTCATGAAGCAATAGTTTTCAAGTTAACAGTTCATTTAGCCTTTTCTTCAATAAATACAAAAAAAACCCACACACTTCCTGTGTTACTACATGGCATCACAAAGTGTTCACAAAAGCCTAAATGTGCAGGGTTTGTGTGTTAAACATGTGTGAATGAAACAAAACACAACTCCAGGTGTGTTTGTGATGCGGCAACAACAGTAAATAGTGTAATATGGGCCCTTTAAATTGGATCTATTTACTAGTATGTTCTGTAAAGCATCTTTGATTGTCCAAAAAAAGTGCTGTATAAAACTGATGCATTATTATTCATTATTATTTGTAGTAAATCAAAGTGTAACATGTTTTTTCCTTAAGTGAAAAATGTTTACATAAATGTATTTTGTCATACACAAATAAACCATTTTTAATTAAAAAAAAATTACCAACAAAGATAAGCTGTTATTTTTAAATGTAATGTTTTTGAAGTATGATATCGAGAAATATAGCGATAAACGATAATATACAAACATCAGAATCCTACAAAGGATTGAGCTCCAACAAATCAAATCAAATGAAGCAATAATTATAGAAATGAACTTATTCAACCATCTACAGCTCAAATCGTGTTGTTTTACCATAACAAACAAAAATCTCTGATTACTGATGTTATTATTAATATGTATTGTTGCTGCCTGAAAAATGAATTTCCTTCAGGATAGTAAAATATTATCTAACTATTTGAGCCACAAAATATGTTGTTTCATCTATCATATATTGAATGCTAAGTTGATAGTAACGGTTATTATTGAGAGTAATTATCACGTGCACACACTTCTCATTGCACATCGTACAACGATAAACTGAGTATTGTATCTACACCGACTTTTAACTTCTATAAAATGTGTTTTTGAGAAAATGTCCAAACCTGCTGCAGGTGCGTAGAGGAGCCAGCAGAGGGCGCCACACACCGCCCCAACACACGCAAAGATCGTCTGTGTCTCCATCTCTGAAAGAGCTTACTCTGTGTGGGCTCTGAGCTGTGGGAGTGTCCCTCGTTTGGCCTCATTTGAACCTGGAACACGTCTCCATGGAAACAAGACACAAAAAGACAAGAAAAGTGTGGAAGCGTTTTGTTAAACAAAGACGATCAATATTAAAGGGCCCATATTAGGCCATCGTTAGATCTATGCTATAGCCTATGCAGTTTCCTCATCACAAACACACCTGGACTTGTGTTTTGTTTCATTCTCTCATGTTTAACACACAAACCTGCACATTTAGGCTGAGTTCTTCTCTCAGACAGAAAATACTCTGTTCCACCTTGTGATGTCAGGATACAGAAAGTGTACTGTTTTTTTAAAGTCCATACACCTTCACTAGAATCATTTGGTAATTTCGGACCGGGAATTGTCCATCTCTACTGAACTAAAGGTGAAGGAGCTGTGAACTATTAAATGCCATTTGGAGATGTAGACAGACTAATAATAAAGAGTTACTCAGACATGTGTGAATGAAACAAAACAACTCTAGGCTTGTTTTTGATGCGTTAACCATATTACAAGATGGCCTGAAGCTCCATTTGTCGTAATATTGAACCTTTAATAATGAGTCTTTCTACAGATTAGCGCTTGTGTTTGTGTGGTGTGTAAGCGCGGCCTCAATGACAGAGTGACACCTCACGTCTCTCTGTTCCACTGCGTCACGCCGCCTCCGCCGCTCGGTGCCGCCTCCGCCGCTCTGCCGCTCTGCCGCTCGGTGCCGCTCTGCCGCTCGGTGCCGCTGCTCGCTCCGCGCTACAGACATGTCCGCCACGGGAACAGGCGGCTGCGGTCCCGGGCCAGGACCCTCCGCGGGCTCCGGGACCGGGGCCTCCAACCCCCGCAAGTTCAGCGAGAAGATCGCGCTCCACACGCAGCGCCAGGCCGAAGAAACGGCCGCTTTCCAGGAGGTGATGATGGACATCAGCTCCACCAGGGTGAGTACAGCGGGGTCAGGCCAGAGAAGGCACCCCGAGCCCGGGGAGCTCCGGAGGACTGCAGCGCGGTTATAGTGAAGTCAGGTCTAGTTTAGGGCGTTTATTTACAGTCTTATGTTTGTATTTCACACCTCCTAGTGCCAGTGTGGTGCCCGTGTAATGCCAGTGTGGGGCCAGTGGACTGCAGACGTGTTTAGCAAGTTTGATTGGTCCAAACACAGCGGCGCTAGAGCGGATCTGTCCTGATCATGTGTGTCAAGTGTCAGGGCGCTGGAGCTTCTGAAGTTTAGGCTGAACATGTTTGTGCGCCGTAAAGCCAGCCTTTGTAACGGGCTTGAAGGAGAGCTCTCTGTTACACTGCGGTTAAAAGCCTCGGATCGTAGATTTCACACTTTATGACAGGAAACGGAGAAAACACATAACCCGGGCCATTTTATTTGCCCAATAATGCATCACTTATGCCTAATTTAACTACCAGACATGTGCGCTCTCAATTTGGGGACAAAGCGCTTGTATTTTATCACATTATTCACGAAAATAACAGAGAAATGTCACTTGGATGCGCTCGGTGCTCAGGGGTGCTTCTTTCAGCAGTACACCGGCGGAGCAGAGGCCTAACCCGGGCAGCTCTACCTCTTCTCCCGGCGGGGTTTTCGCCGTTTTCATTGACCCTTTACCGCTTAAAACGCACAGACACGAGCGCGACCGCAATTTGGGGCTCATTTACACCGAGGAAGGCTTTAGTCGAGCGGCTTGTGGCTCGTTTCCGACGCCGTGTTAGCCACCGTTAGCCGCAGATGCTAACTTGGCTTGTTTACTAAATTACGTAGCTGTCATCCTGTTAGCCGCGAGGGAGCAAGAGTTTAACCCCGAAAGAAAAACCTCAGCCCCCGCCTGTGCTCTGCTATCACCGCGGACAAACGGCACGGGCAACAACACGACTTTAAACCAGACTTTTAACAGGATTCATCATGTTTTATTCAGAAAAAGAAGGGAATTAAATAGAATCAACAGTTGGGTTTGTCGCCCACCGCCCCTCTGTGGAGGCTGCGGGGCATCAAATCCTCGATAAATATGAATTGGACGTTTTTTTAACCACATAAATAAACGGAATCTGCAATATAATAATAATGACACGGAAAATTTTGGCAGCTTGTCTTAAAGTGTGTAAACGCCACTGGCTGTGCGCGCGTTTGTAGAGTTTGAATGGGCCGCTCAGTCTGTGACACATTGAAAGTGAAGGGCTGGAGTTTGAATGGACTTTTGTGAATATTGAGACTGTGCAGCTGATGTCATCAACATTCCCTCGGTGTGTGAGGCCAACTGTAGGCACTGCTCTGTCTGAGACTCTGTTACTCTAGTTAGGCTTTAATCTAAGCTTTATTTTAACACAATCTGACCATAAAAGTAGTGACTTAGCTGAAAGTACACAAAGCTGATCTGTGCTCTTTAGTCAGTCACTCTCACATTTTTGTTGAAAATCAAACTCCTAAACAGGACCATGAACACTCATCTTGGTAGTTTTCTGATTCTAGAATGTGATGGTGTAGTAGTTTCAGATGGGGGGAATCCAGTTTTTCCTATTATACTACATGCATAAAAAAACAGACAGGACACATAAGTTACATACAGATAATATATATACAGTATATTTTCAGTGGAGCATTTTTGATAGGAAACATACAATAATTTTAATTTACTTTTAAATTTGTTGTTATTGGTTTACAATTTTAAATCAGCTGGTAAACAGTTCCACAGACTGGCCCCTTTAGAAGAGAAAGAGACTGACCAAGAGTCGTCCTGCACATAGAAACAACACAATTACCACCAGCAGTACCTCTTGTGTTCGCTCTGTGTGTACAGTTTATGGTCTTGGCATATTCTGAATACAGTGCTGTATCACAGTTAAGACACATAGAAATTAAGATTATTTAAGTTAAGACACTTAAAATTGGTAAAATTTTCAAAGTTAAAATGTTTTTATTATTTTTTTTATTTTGCAGTGGTGCCAGTGTCTGGGCTTTTTGTCAAGGACCTTAAGGGACAGTTTGTAAAATGAACAGAGAGTCTCAATGTGGTTGAGAAGGCCTGTGACCATGAGGTGATACAATAAGAGAGATGCGAAAAGATCATTGCATTCATGAATAGTTTTGATGTCTGGAGCATTAGATCTTTACATATGAAACGAAAGCAATTAAGACTAGTTTTAATCTTCTTTGCTAAGTATTTAGTGTGACCAATAAATCTTAATTTTCATCCAGAGTGAGGCCATTTGTATTGTATTTTGCCATGAAATATCGGAATGGCAAATTCCCAAATATTGATCTTGATCATTTCTATTTCTGACTAGACCCCAGATTATGCTGTATTACAACATAAATCTGCAGTTGAACAATACTGATTTTAGCTGTGCTCCATCTGTATTAAATAATATTGGCCTATAGAATGCCATGATGTCATCTAAAACCCAGCAGTTGTTCACAGGCTTTAAAATGTGCTGTTTAAATCCATTTTATATTTTTTCTTGAGTTTTCAGACTATTTTGAAACTTGTTTTGTCTTTGTTTGCTAATGTGTACATTGGTTCACCATAGGCATACATGTAGAACCCCCCAACATGAAGTCGCTGTAGAGTATCAATAGTCTGCGTTGTTCTTCATGTTGTAATGGCAGGTGTCTCCAGCAGAAGTGAGACAATGTGTTGGTTTCTATTTGAGTTGCTGTTATGTCTGATAATATTGAAACTACTTTAGTATAGCCCTGACACAATAACCTCAAAGCAGGATCATTCCAGTAAAGCTTTTAATAAGTGATCCATATAGTCCAAAAATGTGACCAGCATTAATGAACTTAGTGGTTGTGTCTGTAATGTGTCATAGACCAGCGCAGTGTTTTCATGTAGTTGTTCAAGTATTGAGCCTGATTCCTTTCTATTACATATTGAACCATAGGATGATCATTATGGTGACAGGCCCAAAGCTGTCTGGCCTCAGGTATGGACCTGAGCTGTATAACTCACAATCATGTCAACATCATCATGTCATAGAATTTGAGGATTTCAAGATGGTTAGTGCTTGATAATACGCTCTGTAGGGACACTCTGCTGTGACTGGTAATTTGAAGTGATGAAGTTTAGGAACAGGGTGAAAATTTAAGTCAAGGTATAGTTTAAGTTTATAGTTAAGGTTAGGGTTCGGTTAAATTTAGGAAGAGTTAAGGTCAGGTTTTAGTCTAGGCCTCTGATTTATAGTTTTATTCGTAAATCCTGGTTCTGCTGCAGAGTTCTGTCATTAAACACACTCAGCACAAAAGCTTTCAAGGGAATGAGATCTGTGTCAGCGCCTCATGAAGCAAAGGACGGGCTGAGAGGAGAGGGTCAGAGGAGAAGAGGAGAGGGTCAGAGGAGAAGAGCAGATGATGCAGAGGGTTTTCTCACAAAAATTGTATAAATGCTGATGCCGTTTTATGTTTAGTTTATTCTTTGTCAGGGTCCAAACACAAATTCATTAATCTTATAAGAGAAAAGATGAACTGCACCAGATTTAGCTGCTGCTGCTTTCCATCTGCAGTCTCTCTGGGCAGGTGCAGTCTCTCTGGGCAGGTGCAGTCTCTCTGGGCAGGTGCAGTCTCTCTTGGGCAGGTGCAGTCTCTCTGGGCAGGTGCAGGCTCCTTGGGCAGGTGCAGGCTCCTTGGGCAGGTGCAGGCTCCTTGGGCAGGTGCAGGCTCCTTGGGCAGGTGCAGGCTCCTTGGGCAGGTGCAGGCTCCTTGGGCAGGTGCAGTCCTTAGGCAGGTGCAAGCAGACTAAATGTACACATTCTGTTACAGTTCCATTAGAAGAGCTCACCAATAATATGAGTAAAGTACAGTAATGTAACACTTGCAACTTGAAAAAATCCTAATGGTTTCCTACAAATATTACAAAGTATTATATTTGAGTTGTTACAGTGCAAAAATGAACTTGACTAATATTTAATGTATATGTAAATTCCTCTTTCTCTCTCTCTCTCTTTCCCTCTGTCAGCTCCAGGCCCAGAAGCTGCGTCTGGCTCGGACACAGGGCCCGTACTATGGAGGCTCTCTGCCCAACGTCAACCAGATCGGGAGGAACCCACAGGACTTCCAGGTCTGTCAACACATGTCTGACTGTCAGCCCCATCACTGCTCCAGCCTATTGGGAGTGTTCTGAGTAGTAATGAGGGATTAATACATTATGTCTCTGTACACTTCTAGCCCATTGCTCTATACTTCCATGGTCAGTCCCAGATCCACTCTTTGTCCACAGAGCTCTTTTCCTCCTGCATATGCAAAGGGATGGCAGGGTTCAAACCCTTTCATTCCTGGAGCACAATATTGGCCAATTAGTATTGGTGCTTTTAGGTGATACCGATATAACTCACATGAATATCAGCCAATACCTACACTTGGCTAGTATATTTGCATTGCTATTGTGAATGAACTTCAAATCTGCAGTTACTACAGTTCCTTTTGAAATAAGAAAACATTTGTATAAGTGTATAGATGTACATCTATATAAAATAATTGCTATTATTTCATTTAGACCTCAAACATTTGTGATTCTGATTTTGTTTTCAAAAGTGGAACTGTCCTAGTTGAGGTAATAAACACAGAGTTTCCCATTAGTATTGGAGACTATCTCTAGTCTAGTCTTTGCCCCCGTCGTCGGAGCAAGCTGACGAAGTTATACACATGATACATGTCCTGAGAAGTCCCATTCACAGGACAGAGAAGAACATTTCCTGAAGCTTTAGAATGATGTTGAGCTGTAGCAGAACAAGTATAAAAGCACATAGACACATGGACCACTGTGGCACCTGCTGGACCGCTGAGGGATTACACACATAGAAGACACATGGGAATAAAAAAGAAAGTTTGAAATTTTAGTATTGTGACAACGTGACTTTAAACCTGTGTGAAACATAACCTGGTCTGAGCTGTGTCTCGTCTTATGCATGTAAACAGAACCGTACTGATGCATGTTTGTGTCTGTCTCAGGGCTCGTTTCCGTCGGCGCTGGAGTCCAACCGCTCGACACGACATCACGGTTTAGTGGAACGAGTCCAGCGAGACCGACGCTTCATGTCCCCTGTGCGGCCGTATCGCAACAGACCTGTATCCTTCACAATACACACTGTATAAACAAGTGGACTGAGGGACTGTGACGTCACCCATTGTGTTTGACTCTAGACAAATGAAGCTCATCGAGGCTGGTGGTTATAGGAGTGAATTTGAAATTCCACACAAGGTGCCTGAATGGTCTGTTATTAATGTTCATATCTTAATTTCGGGACAAAATAGTGAAAAAAAAAAAAAAAAGGATCATGTAGAGCAAGTTCAAACCAACATTTTAGGAATGACGAGTCTAACAGAGTAGATTTTCAATAGAAAGTGAACTGAAGCCAAATCGCACCCATGCTCACGTCCTAGCAGACTAGCTATGTCCATTTATATATACAGTCTACGGTTCAATTATTGTCTTATTACAGCACTCTTAGAACACTGCTCTGTTGTTAGAAATGAGCCTTCACCATAAGAGCACTCACAGACATCAGTAATAGACTGTAATAATGTCTTTTAGGCCAGTGAGTTGAAGTCCTTGTGCAGAGATATTTAGATCCAGCTCTTATCTGCTCTCACTGTGATATCTACTTCATCCGCTACAAGTGCCCCTCACACAGACACACATGCACGTTGAGTTTACATGTTTCTTAGGAGCATTTCATCGACTTCATTCGTTTCCTGGGGACTGATCCTAACCTTAATTAGAGTTACTGTTCATCTAACCTTAACCTAAACCCTAACCTAAAACTATTTTCACTCATATCTGAACTTTAAACCATGTAGTTGATTTAATAATAGTATTTACATGTATTGTCTTCATACAGAAGGCAGGTCCCGATGATGTGAGTGTGTGTGCTGTTTTTCTGTTTCTGTTTCTCTGGCCCTCCTCAGAGACTTTCAGGTGCAGTGGAAGAGTCACACAGTGATCGGACCTCAGTAAAAACAGTCCCACCGGCTTCAGTACAATCAGCTTATGTGTGTTTGACCTTTGTAGTTTGGGTGTTCCCGCTGGACGTTTGTTACACAAATGAGACACTTTTCAACACTGGTGTCTATCAGACGTGTAATATCAGGTCTTTTGTAGTGTGGGTGTCCCTGTTGGGTGATGCAACAGAAAACAAACACTACATAAATTGAATTAAGTCAAAGTTTTTTAAAATTGATGTCTAGTGCTTTAAAGGTCCTAATATTACACAACATTTACTCTTGTGAGCTTTAAGCTTTGTTAGAATGCTGTTACCTCCTCAAAAACAGACCTGGAGTTGTGTTTTGTTTCATTCACACAGTTTGAGTAATCCTTTATTATTAGTCTGTTGACATCCCTGAAGCTCAAAATGCTCTGTTCTACCTTGTGATGTCATGTAGTGGTAGTTTTCAAGTTAACAGCTACTTTTTTTAATCTTTTGTTTAATAGAGATCAGCAATTCCAAAGCTGAAATTATCCAAATGATTCTAGTAAATGTGTGTGGAGTTTAAAAACACAGTGGAGTACTTCCTGTATTTAGTGTTACAGTTTCAGTTTGAGATCTTAAATATTCAAGGTTTGAAACACAACTCTAGGTCTGTTTGTGATGAGGAAACAAGATTATAACATGGATCAGAAAATAGAGTAATATGGGCCCTTTAAAAGTGAACTGCAGCTGTATGTAATATTTCATTTTTTAAATTTAAAGTCTGCTTTTTTAATCATTTCTCATTCTCCACTTAAACTAACTGAGGTGAATACAGGTTTTTGGTTTTCCTTATTTTTTTTTCCTTATTCTTCCTTGACCGTGGTGTTCTCAGGTGGACAACTCTCCGTACAACTCGTCGTACCTGTCTCCGCCCCCTGACCCCAGCTGGAGGAGGTAAACGCGACATCACATTTACAGAGAAATAAACATGATTCACTTAGGCTACATCCACGCAACTGCAGCTGCACTTAACCAGGGGACAAATGTAAAGGGTTTGTTTCATTAAAGAGGGGGGTATTGACTTTTTGGAGCTTTTTGCTATATTTCTACTGTTGTTCTCTCATTAAAAATACACCTGAAGACGTTTTCTACCACAGCAATGGCAACAGTTAAATCACATTCTATATCATTTACAGTGACAGTGAACTGGCTTTTTACATTCAAAGGTTTGTAGCCACGGTAATGGTAACGTAACGCAGTAAACAACATCACATTGTTTAATGCTTACTTATATGCCACTCATGTATGTTTGAGTAATCTAGAGATCTCTCCCAGGCCCTATTTGGACCCACCTTATGGTTAGCAGTACGGGCCTGCACGAGGCACCACCCATAAGCCCAAACAACGCTGATATGATGTGCAGTAGTTTTATTAGCAGGATGCACGCTGATTGTGCTGATAGTGCTCTGAAGGGGGAGTGGGTTAGTACAGGGTGCAAATGAAGGGGGAACTCCAAGCATCAAAAACAAAACTGAAACTTATAAACTATTTTAATACGTTGTTTTTGGGTGAATACAGCATTTTCAAAACAATAAAAGGTAACATGAAGGTGATCTAAATATGTGATCTGCTCCATAGAAGTGCAATACCCCTCTTTAAAATGCAAACTCAGGTGATTGTGTGGTTTAAAGTGACTGCATGTGTGTGTGGATGTAGCTGAATTCCTGTTGGACCTGATTGATTTCTGAAGCATCTTGGATTCTCTGCTCTCGCTGCTACAAACCTTTGCGAAGCCTCTGATCGTCAACTCTATAGCCTGCCCCAACCTTTACACTTAAAATCTGATTCATAACTGTGGCGTAGGTCAGGTTTAAAGTCTCTCTACCTGATTTTTGCAAGAAAAACAGAACTAGTGACTTTTAATTGTACCTCATGCATTCAGAGCATCCTAATTATTCACCACAATGAGTTTACAAGCACTTTTCACAACTCTCACGGACCAGAGTGGAGTTTTGCCGTGACGTCAATGCTAACAACAACTAGCATGCCAGCAGTGCACTTAGTGATTCTCTGACAGTTACAATTTATAATTAGATACAGACAGTTCATAGTTGACCATGAGCTGCTTATACAATATATCTGTACTGGGATTTTGCTCAAATACATGGAAAAAAACGGGTATAGGCTCTTAAAGGTTCAAATGAAATGTCCATAGTCGTGACATGAGGCTTCACAAACGCTCTTCTTACTAATGCAGTGATCTAATTCAAACCCGCTCGTAACCCCAGTCTAATCTGCTCATTTAATCTGAATTTATTTCCAATTAATTTGGTTTCCGCTGCATTTTCTGTTTTTCTTTGTGACTAAACCTGCCTGCAGAGAGAGGCTGGCCACTGGGTATCACCATTTGGTCTTTTTTGGGAAATTTGAACAATCAAAATGGTTGACGCTAAAGTGTTGGGTCAGGAGGGATGCACTGCTGTGATTGGTCATTGGAAGTGATGAAGTTTAGGAACAGGATTACATTTAATTAGTAGAAGTAACTCTAGTGCTTCTATATTAAACCAAATTGATCCTTCTGAGCTTTAGGCCATATTATAATGTTGATACCTTCTCAAAAACAGACCTAGAGATGTGTTTTGTTTCATTTACACATGTTTGAGTAAACCTTTATTATTATTCTGTCATGTCCAAAGCCCAAAAGGCTCTGTTCCACCTTGTGATGTCATGAAGTGGTAGTTTTTAAGTTAACAGATATGTTTTAGTTCAGTAGTGATTGGCAGTTCCAGAGCTGAAATTATGCAAAAGATTCTAGTGAAGGTGTATGAAGTTTAAAAGCACTAGCACTATATGCAGAATTTATGTGTTAAACGTGTGAATGAAACAAAACACAACTCCAGACTGTTGTGATGAAACATTATAACATAGATCAGAAAAAAATTATTTGTCACCTACAGCCTTATCTCGATTTACACCATAAAATAAAACGTAGAACAGTCCAAAATATAACCTTTTAGGCCTGTTTATAGTCACTGTTGCTAACACATTACTGTGGCAACCAGAGCTACGTGATCACTTGTGTCTGTCCAGACCCGACTATGAGCACTAACTGATCAGATCTGTTGGCGATGTGTATCTGGGAGTGGACTGGTGGTTCAATGGTTCTTGGTGTCACATGTTGCTGGTGTATATTTTGGTTTGTTTTAATGAAATATTTTAACAAAATACTAAGAAAAAGAAAAGAAAAAAATAATTTCTCCCTGGTTCATTTGTGCTGAGGGAAGATGTTGGAGAGTTTTTATTTCGTGTGGATAGAATCAGTAATTCCAGGTATTAACTGTGAGCCAGGTCCAGATGTGTTTCCTCTGTATGAGACGATAGGCAGTTGAAATGTGGAGCTGCTCCTGTTCAGTTTGTGGGTCTTAAATGATAAGAGGAGGTTGATTTTTTGATGGACATTTGTCAGTGTGTGTCATTCCAGAAGTGTTTTGTTCTGTTCTAATCAGAACTGCTGTGACAGTATATTAATGACCCATATTAAATATGTGGATGCTAATACCTGGACATCGGGGATATCAGGGGATTTTATGTTCATGCTTAGGGCTGTTTGCTGATATGATACATGCCTCGATACATATCTTAATACAGTGCACTTTTGATTTGGTACGTTATATTTCAAATTGATTCGATACTGTTCAATAAAAAATAAAGGCTAAATCATGGCTGTACTAAAAGTCTTTGTTAAAGTAAAAGTAGAATAAAGTAAATATGAAACATGCTCATTTTTATCCTCAAAACAGTGAATATGTCAAATGTGTCGCATAAACGAGTTTCTTTTCTCTAAACAAGCAACAAAATTGTTGCATTGTAACAAAATAATTTAGTAAAATATACCAAAAATACTCTTGGTGATATATCGATACAGCAGCCCAAACCGATACAGTATCATCCCATTCAGCGGTACGATATATGGATATTTAGATTATATCAGAATAAACATTTGTTGTTATTATTACAAAATTAAAACTTAATTTGTGAGCTTTACTACGTAAATAATGTCACTCTGAGCGTTCCCTTTAAAATGTCAACAGTCAAATTACACCCACAACTGCAAGTGTAGAGAATGTCTACAAAGAGCTGGATTCAGAATCATTTACCGTGGGGAATGAGTGCATGATGAACAGCACAGTGGCAGAGTGGTTAGCATTTTCACTGCACAGCAAGAGGGTTCTTGACTCGTGAGGTATATGCTTCATCTTTTTCTGGGTTAGTTTGCTCTGGTTTCCTCATCAGTAGTTACAAATATAACTACGGCTCTATGAAACCCGGATGACCGCCAGAGGGCTGTGCTGAAAGCTCTTCATGTTCCTTGCACATGCGCAAAGGGAACACGACTACACAACCAGTCGAAAGTTTGGACACACATTTTAATTCATGTTTTTTTCTTTATTATGCCAACATTTACATTGTGGCTAAAATATAAAACATAATTAATTCAGTTTTTTATTTGATACAGAATTCCATACATTTTACTTCATATATTCAATGTCTTAAATATGAATAGAGTAAAGATAAAGAAAAAATTTAATATGTTTAAAGGTGTGTTCAAACTTTTGACTGTTTTTTTCGGTCCTCCTGACCAAGATCAGCCTTAGATCTGGTCCACTGCTCCTGACAGCTTTGACCTTTGGGACCATGATGGTTCTTTCCCTGTAGAGTTACATATTTTGTAGATTTTTGAAAAAAGGTGGCAGCCATTTTCTCTCGTCTTCTTCGCTTGCTCCCGTCCTTCCTCCTTCACCTTCTTTAGTTCTTCCTGGGTTCTTTGCTTTCTTTCTGCCCCCTGGTGACTTCAGAAGGTTTAACGTGTTGTTCTTGTCGATCGTTGAAAAGGAATTGGTGTGGAAACTTCGCGGGGGACAAAAGCCAGTTGTACCGTCTCCCCTCTGCGGCACTGAACAGGTGAATCTCTCTCAAACTGGGTGCCAATCCACATCAGCAAACTCTGGATCTGTCCTTCTCTGGTTTATCCTTATATTTTCCACAGATTTTTCCTTTTTCTCAGTTGTTTTTGGTGATGCAACTTAAGGAAATTATTGTATTTTATTGTCAAATGTGAAAAGGCGAGATGTTTAAATGTTAAAAAACAGTATCATTTCATGGAATTACTGAGAAAATGTGGTGCAGAGGAGGAGGGACAAAAATATATGGTACAGAAGAGGGAGGAGGAGCAGTGTGTATGTGGTACAGAGCAGGAGGGACAGAAAATATGTGGTACAGAGGAGGAGGGGCAATGAATATATGATACAGAGGAGTGACAGTGAATATGGTACAGAGGAGGTGGGACAGAAAATATATGGAATAGAGGAGGGACAGTGAATATGGTATAGAGGAGGGACAAAAAATATATGGTACGGAAGAGAGAGGAGGGACAGTGAATATGTGGTACAGAGGAGGAGGGACAGATAATATAGAGTACAGAGGAGGAGGGGCAATGAATATATGGTACAGAAGAGAGAGGAGGGGCAGTGAATATGTGGTACAGAGGAGGAGGGACAGAAAATATCTGGTACAGAGGAGGGAGGAGGGGCAATGAAGTTGTGGTACAGAGGAGGGCACTTTGTTTCTCACTGTATTGTCATTAACTTAAATATTTCATAGAGGCAGTAATTGTCCCTCACACTCCACAAACTGTATGAATAAAAGTGTGAGTATATTTTGTATCTGTGCCGTAGTCTGAGGCGGATGTGTGGACACCAGGATCCATCAGGTTACAGGCCGCACACACCTTGCCCTCTGTACCGCCAACGTGGACTTGATTTTCTCTTTTTTGTTTTAATTTCAGGACAAATTCCGACTCTGCGCTCCACACCAGCGTCATGAATCCTCCCGCAGCGGACCCCTTCACCACCGGGGGGCACACTCTCACCCCACAGAACAGCCGCAGGACAGGTGAGACTCACACCTGCCACAGACTGAGTGGACCCCATGTTCACGCCGTAGACTGTATAAAGAAGTGGACTCAGGGAGTATGATGTCACTCGCGGTGTTCAGCTCGAGTCAGATAGAGCTCATTGAGGCTGGAAGGGGCAAATTTGGAGCAGAGTTCCTCATTTGGAATTCTAACCGTGAGTATCATAGCAACCGAAGAGCCAGTCAGGAGCGAGGCTGGTGAATGTAACGGACCTTCCCACCTGCATTGCTGGCGCTTCAGGGAAAGAAGGCACTTGATTTGTCTCTTATTAAAGTTAATACCTAAAGTTATAAACAACATAGTGAAATAAATATTGGAATGGAAAAGAAAAATGGAACACAGCAACAGGTTAGCTATGCCCTTAAGGGTGCTATTCATGTTTATGTCCCAAACCAGGAAGACATTTGGAAACATGCAATGACAACTTCCAGTGTAGTTCCCGGCACAGGGCTGACCGACCGACTGTGATCAAACCCACGGAACTATGATAAAGCCATGGATTCCATGGAACCTACGTATGTGCTGTTTGGAATCTTCTGGAATTTGGTGCGCTCCGAACACACTGGGTACAATCACATGCACCCAGTGTGCTCGGAATTGTGTGTCAGTGGAGAAATTATGAAAACTGAGGTATGGTTGGAATTGTTGATTAGCCGAACATAACGGAACACTACAATGTCATGGTGAAGAAAAAAACTGGGATATTTTCTCATGTTTCCTGGATTTTTCCTGTCAGACTTACGACCGCGAACAGAGCCCACCCGAAGTTGTCGCATGTTTCCAAACGACGACCAGCCTGTCCTTTCTATATTCTGTACGAATCCAGAAGGGTCTGGAACTGGACCACAGAGTATGAAAAACTTCCGTTCAAAGTTGAGACTGTCCCACCACAGCCACTAATCTGTAGCATGTGTTCCTCAAATGCAGAAGACATCGCCTCTCTGAAATTCTTGTAACATTCAGGACAAAGTATATCACTTCTTTTACCTGAAGTAAATAAGCAGTCATGTTTTTGACATGAATAGAGCATGTAACCCTCTGATTGGTTAATCCAACTGTCAATCACACCCTCAGAAATAAAACCTACTAGTCTTTGTGAAGTTTAGTCAAAGTGTGTGGTTCTGGCTGAACAGGTAAAGTCTTCTACTTGTTCTGATCCAGCTCAACATCATTCAAAAGACATTCAGGAAATGTTCATTTCTGTCCTGTCAATGGGACTTTTTTAGTATTGATACCTGCTCTAATGAGGATCTAGTTTTGACACTAGTTTTAGTATCAATTTAGTATCAGATTTTTGATTCTTTTAACAACTGTAGTCCCAGATAAGAGGCTGTGATTGGGCCATTTTAAATTTGGCTTGTTCTCTGATGTGCTGTGTGCTCAGGTCCCTCACTCTCTTGCATTTCAACAGAACTGTGCCTCCTGTTGGCACTAATGGGTAAATTCTGTAAACATTTTAAAAAATGTTGTTCTTTCCAGGTCAAAACGATGGAGAAAGAGCCAGAAGTGAGTTCATTCTAATAATCTATTATTCTTATCTATATATAAGTGTAACTGGAGTTTCCCACTGTGCTTTTTGTCCCACAGTGTTCCCGTACCCAGTTCCTCCCATCGAGGAGAACGTGCTGAGTGAAGGCAAACTGCTCAAGCCCTGGGACGCCAAAAAGGTGCAGACGCTAGCCACTTTAAATTCATGCTATGATGTTGACTATCTAATGACGTGCAGTAAAACTCACAGATTTAGGAATCTCACTGTTGTTATATGTTCTGAAGTTCCTTCATTGTTTTTCTGTTGTAGTTGCCAATGCTCTCGTCTCGACCCAAATCCTGTGAAGTCCCAGATATAAAGTAAGTCTCTTTCTACATTTTACAGTTACATTTTATTTATTGGGTTTCTGAGGTTTCATGAATGCAGCATAAACTCTTGAGCTGCGTTCAGATCACTGTCACAGTCACACCACAGGCCTTTAGGACACCTTTGAATCTGAGCCTTGAGACTCTTGAAACATGTCGCTGTGTGAACGGCTAAAATGTGCAGCGGAAACATTGAACCCTCATTCCCCATAGACTTAAACCTGACGCCTCCTGATGGTCTGAACACAGCATTACAGAGTAAACTTATGGCATTTGTCCTGTTTCTGATACAGTTTGGTTTTAGAATCCATGCTATCTTTCATTTCAGCTTCATCAATTGTCCAAAAGCCATCATTTTTTCTTATAAAATATCAACAGTAACATTACAAATAACATTACTGAGACTGTTTGAAGAAATACAAGTTGAGAGTATTTGACTTTACAGTGTAACCTCCCAGAAAATGCTTCATATACTCTTGTTTAAAAAGAGGGTATTATGCAAAATGTTTTGTTTTTTTTAGATTCTATAACACAGATGCCGTGTTATAGAATAGAATGCCTTTTATTGTCATTATACACATGTACAATTTACACTATACACATGAACAGTGAGATCAAAAGCAACTCACTCTCCAGTGCAGACATGGTAAATGGTCCTTTTTACACAGCGCTTTTCCACCTTCAAGGCTCAAAGCGCTTTATAACAAGGAACCACTCACCCATTCACACACACTCACATACTAGTGTAAGGTAGGTTAAGTGTTTTGCCAAAGTCAACATTCATCTGTGGGAGCTGGAATCAGTCAGTCCCCCCCACATGACTATTCTCCATAAATATACAAAAACAGGATACAAAACTGTACACAACAGCTTAACAAACCTGATGTAATGTGCGGTAGTTTCATTAGAGGATGCACGCTGATTGCGTTGTGATGGTGCTCTGAAGAGGAGTGACTTAAGTCTGGGGAGCAAAGTGAGGGGAGACTCACTGCATTTCAAATGAAAATGAAACTTGTCAAACATGTTAATATGTTGTTTTCGCTAAAAGGTTACATGGTGATCTACATATGTTTCTGTGTTATTACCCCATTGAATTCCTCTAATTTTCCCTGTTTCTATATTTCTGCCCGCTCTCCTTCAGTATCTTCACGTCTCCAGAGCAGCCCACAGCGGTCTCTCACAGCGTCCCCTCTGCGCTGAACACCGGAGGCTCATTACCAGACCTGTCCATCCTTCACTTCCCCTCGCCGCTCCCCACGCCGCTGGACCAGGACGAGCCCGCCGCGTACCCAGGGCCCTCCTCTCTGAGCGGGGGCAGCAGCACGGGCAACCTGGCCTCTACCCTCACTCACCTGGGCATCACAACCGGGAACACAGGGCCAGGAGGCAACTACCACCAACACATGCAAGGTACAGTCACTTACACTCACTACTGTCAAGTCTCTTCTATGCTTTATAGTTATAATCTATGATACTCTTTTATTGCTTATTGCATGACGCCATATCAGATCCTGGTTTCACTGCTATCAGCTCACTGTCATGCACTTACTTCGTTCTCCAATTTTATTTTCTTAGTTAGTGAATTCAGCAACATTGCATAGTCATTTCGGTACAAATGAAAAAATAAATCTGCAGCTATCAATAAGAGGGACAGAGCTTTTGTTGTGATGATGCAGCTCCCGTTGGGCACTGCAGTTTTCTAATGCAGAAGTCTAGATATTTGTTCTAAAATTGTTTTAGATGCATAGTTTGATTTAAAATGTGAAAATTCTAACATAATAAGCAGACACAAGCATGGTGGGTCTTCTTTTGAAGGAGGTTAGTGAAGTGTAGTGTGGGTTTGCCTTCAAATACACAAACTTTGCAGTTGTATGATTCCATCTGTAACCACACTGCACTTTGAGTATGAGGGTATGAGGAACAAGCAATTATTTTTGCTTTTAAGTTTACATATAAGGTTTCAGAATGTTTTCCTGCTTTAGGCTTATTGTTTCTGTGGCATTAAGTAGTCTCAGTATTACTGTGAAATTACTGTGTAAAAAAATATTGCACTTCAAAAGTTGTTATGGTGACCGGCCTTGTTGAGCTCTGCTGTGATGAGATCTGGGTTAATGCAGGGCAGAGAGTTGTCACGCTACTAACAATTCAACCTGGATTTTAAAACTAAAGAATAGACCCCCATACATAGTCAATACTGATTCTGATGCCACAAAAGTTTTAGACTATAGAATGTAATTTTCAATATTAAATGGTAGTACTTTTCTATTCCCATGTGTCTTATGTGTGTGTAATGGTCAGTGGTGCAGTAGGTTCATGTTGGTCCATGTGTGTGTACTAGTCTATGTGCTCTTCTACTTGTTCTGATACAACTCAACATCATCCTAAACACATTCAGGAAACGTTCATATCTGTCCTGTAAATGTGACTTTTTTAGTATTGATACAACCTCAAATTTATTTCTGGTTTATTTTAAAAGGGACCCTGTGCAAATACATGTATCGTAGATTTAGACAAACTCTTTCTAAAATCTCATATAAGAAGAGGTGCTTGACACAAGATTTAGCCAAATCTCTTTTCCTTCTGCAGTCCCGGCACAGGTTACAATCAGTGAATCCACCCATTTAAACCTGCACTCTCCCATTCTTTCATTTCAACACATCACACTCACATTTCCACACTGATCATTTAAAATGACCTACCAGACATTGACCATACAAGTCTGCATTATGATTTTCCACATACAAATACAGAAGAGTGGACACAGAGCAGGCTCTCTGAAAGGACTTTTCTAATATTTGAAGTCCCTCTGCTCAGAAGAGAGTTTCTGTCTGGGAGCTTGTTTCTTTCTTTAATGGTCTTATATGAAATGATTTTCTAGTTTTGATATTTGTTTATTATTGTTTAGTATCGATTTCCCGATACTTTTGACAATCCTAGTAGATAGGCCTGTCACGATAATTACTATATCGACTTATCGTTCAGTACATGACAGGTGAAACATTACATTTTAGGGGCTAATATTTATCATGGGTACTTTTTCTTAGTATTACTGGGAAACTTTTTCTGTACTACGAAAAGATTTAAGTTTTATTTTAGAATTATGAACTTCTATCACTCCTTATGGAGACAAACTTTAAGTGTTGCTTTCTGTCATTTATTGATCGCAGCTCATGTATTTAACAATATTGTACATTTAGAATCGTTTTGGCGGGATAATTTTGCTTTAACGCTTTGGTTTCAATATGATCGTTTATCGTCTTTGTTTTACTTAGCGATGTATGGCTCTTTAAAATGTGTTATGAGGACAGGCCTGCTAACAGAGACACTTCTATGCCCTGGTTTAACTCAGAGATATGAAGAGGTGGAGAGTATTTTTAGCAGCATGATTTCACCTGCTGCTTTCACCTGGGACAAAGAAACAGGCCAGAAGCAGCTTCTATTTCAAACTCTACAGACGACATTGAGTTTGGGCCCAGACAGCTCGGAAATAACAGCTGAAAATATCGAAGCAACCGCTGAGGCCATGCTGAGGATTAGGGCTGAACTATCTGGGAAAATATCTCATTGTGATTTTTCTGACAAACACTGAGATTGTTTAGATTTGTGATTTCTGTAATTAATTAAAGGATTCTGTTCAAAGTTCACATTTTATTCAGCATTTTATGCAACACGTCCAGAAGAATCGAGAAAAAGACTGAAATCTGAACTGACACAAGAATCACATTTCAGAACGTGTTTGTACAGAGCTAAACTACAGGGGGAGCAGTTTTTATGCACAATAAGACAGAAGATTTATACAAAATAATGGCACATAAAAATGTGTCATTTGCTAATTGTGTCATTCAAATTGCAATTTTTGATTCAGTTGATTCAGCTCGGATGGGGATGGTCTGATACTTGGTCCAGTAGTTGTGTTTATTGAAATAGGGCTAAATTTAAAATGAACTCAAACTAAATCAGGTCTTAATGGAGAATACTCAGAAGTTTTTGTGAGTGTCTGTGGTGAATGCAGCAGAAGTGATTAAATCTGGGGAAAGCCCAAACCACAGACGTTGCATTTAAATGTGGAAACAACATTTCAGATCATATCTACAGAATGGAGAGGCCACTTTCACATGTCCAAATGTCATCAAAACTCTGTCTGCAGCTTTTCTACTTTGTGTTGACTGAAGAGGCACTTTAGGGCTGGTTTAGTGTTATCCTGCAGTCTCATTTATTGAAGAGGGGCTATTTATGATATTTTTTTGGAGCTTCCACCAATATACTACAACTTGACAAACCTGATGCGATGTGCAGTAGTTTCATTTGCAAGATGCACCCTTAATGTGTTGTGATGTCACTCTGAAGGGGGGAGCACGAGGAGGAGGAGGGGGGATGTCAACAACTAAAGTAAAACTTAAACTTGGTAATACTTGAAGTATTCAGTGAATATTGCATTTTCAAAACATGGTGATGTAAATATATAGGACTAAACTAAGGATTAACCAGGTACTAAACCAGGTCTAAGTCAGGAACTAACTCGGGGACTAAACTGGAGACTAAACTGGAGACTAAACTGGAGACTAAACTGGAGACTAAACTGGAGACTAAACTGGGGACTAAACTGGGGACTAAACCAGGACAAGGTCTAAATAAACTGGAGACTAAATCAGGGACTTAAACGTTTTGATGGTTTTGTTTGTTTTGCAGGCATGCTGGCGTCTCTACAGAGCACACTCAGTAACCCTTCTCTCCCTTCGTCTCTGAGTAACCCAAACCTCCAGTCCTCTTTGAGTGGCCATGCCTTCCCTGCGTCGCTCCACTCATCCGTCTCCAATCCCTCGCTTCAGTCCTCCCTCCACTCCTCACTGTCCAATCCCTCGCTTCAGTCTTCACTTAGCTCCTCCCCCTCATCTCTCAGCAGCCAATCACTGCACTGCCCCTCCTCTCTGAGCAGCCAATCCCTGCACTCGTCTCTCAGCAGCTCGTCCCTGCAGTCAGGCGGAGGAAACCCCGCCTATGGCAGCGGAGTGGGCGGAGCCTCGCTCAGCACGTCACCGCGGCGACGGGCACAGCTTTCGCCGCTGATTCTGCCAATGGGCGCCGAGTCTCGGAGGCACCACGCCAAGCAGTTCTCCCCGACCATCTCGCCCACGCTCTCCTCCATCACACAGGTACCACTCTTTTTTCAGACTGGTGTTATACCATTTATACTCTTTAATAAATGTAGTAGACTGAAGATGATATTGGACACCTACAAACATGCCCTGCTGATTAAAAGAGGACGTGGCAAAAGTCCCTAGGCTAGGAAACTATATACTTTTATAAAAAAACAAACACGCATAAACTCATAATTCTCTTCCAAATTTTCAGCCACGTACATTGCTGTTGCTGTTGCTGTCCCATGCAAATTCCTAAAAGCCACAACAAGACTTAGCCAGCTAACGAGGATCCTAATAAATAAAAGAAAAAACATGCTCTCGTATTTATGGTGTGAAGGAAACTGTAGCTGGGAATGACATGCTTCCCTGACCTTTGACCCAGTGTACAGTCTGCATTTCACTACCAAGACTTTTATCAACACACTGGGATTTTCAGAACAAATTAATAGTACTTTCTGTCATATTACCATGTGATTTTATATTAGTTTCCAGACCATTTTAAAACTAATGTCTAATTTGTCTCCTTTTAAGTAATACTTTTTCAGTATCAATGATGTTTCAGTATTTAAATTTGATACTAGTTTTTTGAATGTTCAGGTATTGATACTGTAATCTGACCTCTGTGTGTGTTATAGGCCAGGGTTTTAGGCCAGTAAATACGCAGTAATAATGTGTCATATCACAACTCTGTACACGACACTGCTCGTCTCCGTCTCACTGCAGCAGGAGACTATGGACCAGTGGACTCACTCTGCCACTGTGTCCAACAGATCAGTGTGTGGATGCAAAACAACTTTCTCCAGCTAAACTCAGACAAGACACAAGTCATAGTGTTCGGCCCACAAAAAAAAAGAGACAGAGTCAGCAATCTCCTCCAGTCTCTCTCTTTAAAACCTTCAAATCAGGCAGGAATTCTTGGTGTAATAATGAATTCAGACTTGAACTTTAACAGCCACATCAAATCAGTAACATCTGCAGCCTTTTACCATCTAAAAACAGGGCAAGGGTTTACTGTGTAAAGCAGACTTGGAGAGTCTCCAGTAGGTTAGACTATTGTAACGGCCTCTCACTGGCCTCTCCAAACGAGCTGTGAGACGCTGCAGAACATCCAGAACGCTGCAGCTCAGATCCTGACTCGATCCAGGAAGTCTGAGCACATGCATCCTATACTCAGGTCTCTGCACTGCCCCCTGTGGCTCACAGACTTTAAAGCAGCTCTGCTTTTACAAGTCTCTCCATGACCGAGCACCAGAGTACATCTGTGACATGTTAAGGCCATATGAACATCTGCACTGTGAGGAGCTCAGGGACAGACCTCCTGCTGGAGCCCAGAGTCACGACTAAACACGGAGAGTCACAGTTTCACATTCATGTCTTTGGGAACATGTGAGACAGATTCTACTGACTCTGTTTGACTCTGTTTAAATCCAGACTCAGAACAGTTCTGTTCAGCTGCATCTGACTGAAAGATTTTCATTCTGCTCTCTTCTCTCTCATTTAATGTCTCTTTTTAATTTGATGATGATTATTTATGGTTTGATTTATTTGTATTGTGGTTTTAATGCATTTCTTATTATGTAAAGCACTTTGAATTACTTTGTGTTCGAATTGTGCTCTACAGATAAACTTGTCTTGCCTTTTATGACCCCTCTGTGACCTTTCTGTGCGTGACCTATAACCCCTCTGTGACCCCTGTGTGACCCCTCTGTGTGCAGGGCGTCCCGTTGGACACCTCTAAACTGCCTCTGGACCAGCGGCTGCCTCCATTTCCTCTGAGCCAAAACCAACAGCGACTGCAAACGCAACAGATGCACAACCTGAGGAACAGCCTGAGCCACAACGCCACCTACGGGCCCACGGTACATACAACAGCACCCACAGAGCACAAACACCTCTACCGTATGGCCAGAACAGCTAGTAACAATAGAAAGTTGACTATATGCTCAGAGAACCCCGTGAGCGCTAAACCGAAGAATTCTAACTGTCCTTTGGCCCCCTCTTGTCTTGCAAATGTGGGGCTACGAGATGTTCAGGGGCGTCTAGTAATTTTGCATTAGTACTAAAACTATAATTGGCAATAAAATGGCTATGGCACATGTAAACAGAAACAGACAAGTGTTACCTCATTTATGTTTTGTTTTCTGACAGAAAAGTTATGTAGGTTGCGACGGTATCTGAAGCACACATTAACCCCTGCTCTGTGTCCCCAGCAGAGGGCGATGTCCCTGAATACGCAGAGCTCGCCTCTGATAAAGAGCGAGTCTTTGGACCAGTGCAGCTCGTCCACTTCCTGTCCGAACCAGCTCAAACAGGAAGTGGAGGCGGAGAGGGGTCGGACGTTACCACAGCTGCAGCAAATCAGCCACAACCTGGCCACTGACCTGGGCCTGTACAATGTGAGTCCAGAGAAACAAGGCACAAGTTTGCACTAGCTAACCTGCTAGCAGCTGTGTTGCAAATAGGAAGAGAGCGTGGGCACTAAATGGTTCCATTGAGCTCTGGTCTCTGATTCCTATTGAAAAATAGTGGCCCCTCTCTCTGTAACTGCTGCTGTCAGGCTCGGTCAAAAAATGTTCGTATTAACCTGGTCAACCCGGTCTACATGATCATGGGGTTTTTATTTTGCTGTTTTGTCAGTAGGAGGTCGCTCCCACTAACCAACAGGTTTGATTGACAGTGTTGCTAGGTGCCTGCCCCCTGCCAAATTAGTGGTGCGTTACCTTCAACAACCTTGTTTCTGATTGTCTCTTTGGTTTGCTTCGGATGTCGAAATATTCAACTTGGCTCCAAATTTGACCCTATAACTGTTAGCCTCAATGAGCTTCATTTGACTGGAGCCGAACTCTGTGAGACGTCACACTCATTCTTAGTCTACTTCTTTATACAGCCTGTGTTTTGGACCTGCCCACATTCTGCACAGAATCTAGAAGGGTCTGGGATGGGACCATAGAGAGACAAATGTCCAAACATGACGTGATCCAACCACAGCCGCTTATTTGTATCACAAATGCACAAGACATCTCCTCTTGTATCATTCAGAACAAAATATATCACTTTTGAATCCCCTTTTGAAGCTTGCATCTCTCTGATTGGTTAATCCACCTGTCAATAACGCCCAGTGAAATCTTTGTAAAGTTTAATCACAGCGGTGGTTCTGGCTGGACAGGTAACAAACACAAGGCAAAAGGGCAGCTGGGTGTTTTGAGGCTCTGATTTCTTCTATCAAACACTCACCCTTACTGTCTAAACTTCCACTATTTGAAGTAAACAAAGACTTTATAGGAAATGTAAATAAGATCCTTTCTCTCCATACATAAAGTGTATATGTAAGGAGGGGCTGCCCCCTGGTGGAGCTGAGAGGAACTTCATTACATCTTTTTATGGAATATTTTGTTTAAAAACTTGAAAAAATACTTTTTAACATAGAAGTCGAAACAACATGTTTTTTGTTTGTTTATTTTTGAAAAAGACAACCTTCACATGAGAATATTTGTCTGAGCACAGCAGCAATGGATACACTTGGGTATCTGCTCTAAATTCCTCAGATGCTACAAACTGCAGAGGACTGCAGAGGACATTGGAACAGGACTCGGCTGCCCTGCCATTCTCAGACCAGACAGCTTTGGGAAGCAGATGGTTTCATGCCTGGATACGGATGGGACAAGATCTCGTTTCACAAGCGAGACAAAATTGCCACAACAGATTTGGCAATGGTATAGCACTGGACATTTGTTTTCCATGGGTTTAGACACTGCCCCAAAAATTAAAGGAACACTCTGAAAACCCATCAGATCTCAATGTGAAAAAAAAATCTGTTGCATATCTATACAAATCTGGACAGGGCAATGTCTTTAAAACAAAAGGATGTTCCTCTTTTAATAGAAATGAACAACAGGGGCACTAGAGTGGAAACAATGAAGCAAGCCCTAAAACACGATTGGTTTTACATGTGGAGGTCATTTCAAGTTTCCCCTCTTGTTTTTTTTGGCTGCTTTGACTAGAGTGATCATCACTATTGGGAGCATGAGGCCAATCCTTAACCCTACAGAAGACGCACAGATTGTCCAACTTCTCCAGGATGGCACATGTGGATGTGCCGTTACAAGGAGATTGAATGTGTCTGCAAAACAATCTCAGAACATGTAGTCCGGTTCCTTATATACTTTTGTGGGAATTTTTGGGGGATTTGCTAACCTATATATTTTTGGAAAGGTTATAATATAAGGAGTCAGAAAATCAATGTTTGCATTTGCCCGCATGTCTTTATGGTGGCCATATTGGATTTAAAAAAAAATGGCCACCAAAAAACCCTTTTTGGAATATCTCAGCCTCTGAATAAGTTGAAATGTTGATTTTAACTGCTAAACCCACATTTTCAGGGTCAGGGAATGAAATGGTGCTAGTCACAAAGCTATAAGACCTACCCATATTAACCCATAGATGCATAAGTGGGTCAAAAATGACCCGGTTTGGTTGTTTTCTTGCAATTTCACTGTAATATTCACATGTAATACTCCATGTTCCTCCAAAAACATGTTTTTCTTGTTTGTTTTTTTTTATTATCCTGCTGAAATACATCAACAATATGGGTAAAACTAATTATAAACATCACATGCAGCTGGTCAGATAACTCAAAGAGTTTAAAAGTAGCTCACATTAAATTTGGATGTTGGATGTAAACACACACATTTAGACACAATATGATTACACAACTTTTTTATTAGACATTTTTTATACATCATCATTATCATCATCACTTTCATACAACCATAGACTGTATCTACGAGTAGACAGATCTAACGCTGTAGCTGCCGTGTGTCAAATAGGAAGTTCTCCAGGAGGCTCTTCCAGCTCCTTCTGACTCTGCCTCCAATGGACTTACATCAGGATCTTGTGGCTCCTCTCTCTGTACCTGCTGCACTGAGCCTTGACATTTTGGTCTTAAAATGTTTGTGTTAACCCACGACACATGATCCTGATTTTTTTTTTTTTTTTTTGCTATTTTGTCCGTCAAAAAAATCCTATTCATAATATAGAGTCTGGCTCCAGATTGGCTCCTGTAACCGTGAACATCACAAGCTTCATTTGAGTGGTACTGAACTCTGTGGGTCACACTCACTTAGTCCACTTCTTTTATACAGTCTATGCAACAACATGGCTTTGGAATCATCATCATTCTGACACTGGCTGCTGCACTGACACATGTCGGTACAGGATAAACCTTTAGTTTCTGGTGTGCAGTTCTGCAGTCGCCTTTGTACTTGGCAGTGGTGAACCGTGGACATGGACCCTCAGCCTTCATTAGGATCAACTGCTGCTATCATGACATCATTTATTTAAAGAAAACTAAATGAAGCAAATTGCACATGCACTTATTTCATATATTTGTTTAATAAACATTAGCTACTGTTCAACAAGATGGATAGATCCACGGCTGGCTGGGCTCCGAGCTCTGCCGCCTCCGATCTCTGCTCTGGCCGCGGGCTCTGAGCTCCGGTTCTTGCGTCATCCAAATAGGGGTGTCCTGCTTGTTTTTTGACACTGCGGTCTCGCTTATATTTGCTATCACAGGGTATTCACAAACCACCCTGCCAGTGATCAGATACCCTGCAGGAATCATGCACTGGCCAAAGGAGGAGATACAGACCACAGATGGTAAGACACAAAAGCTCCTGACCATGCATGGAGGGTTCCATCCCAAATCCAGCACCCTGACACTGTACACAAGCCGGAAGGAAGGAGGCCGAGGACTAGTGAGTGTGGGAACCAATGTCCAGGATGAAACATCCAAGCTCCTTGAGAACATCAAGGACAAGGCCCCGACAGACGAGGTGATCAGAGAAGGTCTCAGACAGTGGGATCCAGAGGAAGAGGTGCTGGAGGGACCATCATGGCAGGACAAACCCCTACATGGGGCGTACCACCAGAACATAACTGAAGTGGCTGATATCAAGAAATCCTACCAGTGGCTTGAGAGGGCTGGTCTGAAGGACAGCACAGAGGCTCATCCTGGCTGCTCAGGAGCAGGCCCTGGGCACTCGAGCAATAGAGGCCCAGATTTACCACACCAAACAAGAGCCACGGTGTAGACTGTGCAAAGAGGCTCCTGAGACAGTCCAGCACATAACTGCAGGGTGTAAGATGCTGGCAGGGAAAGCATACATGGAGCGACATAACCAAGTGGCGGGCAGAGTGTACAGAAACATCTGTGCAGAGTACGGGCTGGAGACCCCAGGATCAAGGTGGGAAATACCTCCAAAGGTTGTGGAGAACGACTGAGCCAAGATCCTGTGTGACTTCCAGATACAGACTGACAGGATGGTGATGAACCAAACAGACATAGAGGTGGTGGATAAGAAACAGAGCAGAGCCGTGGTGGTGGACATCACAATACCAAGCAATGGTAATATCAGGAAAAAGGAACCACCTGTCAATCTCACGTTCTAGCCTCCCCTCACTCATGAACAAGACCCCGAGATACTTGAACTCCTCCACTTGAGGCAGGGACTCTCCACCCACCCGGAGAGGACAAGACGCCTTTTTCCGGTCGAGAACCACGGCCTCGCATTTGGAGGAGATGGTCTTCATCCCAGCCGCTTCACACACGGGTCAAACTGCCCCAGTGCTGCAGGTCCTGGTTTGATGAAGACAACAGGACAACATCATCTGTGAACAGCAGAGATGATCCTGTGGTCCCCAAACCAGACCCTCCGGCCCCTGACTGCACCAAGAAATTCTGTCCATAAATACAATGAACAGAACCGGTGACAGGGGCAGCCCTGGTGGAGTCCAACATGCACCGGGAACAGGTCTGACTTACTGCCGGCAATGCAAACACAGCTCCTGCTCCGGTCATACAGGGACCGGACAGCCCTTAGCAAAGGGCCCCGGACCCCATACTCCCAGAGCACCCCCCACAGGACACCACGTGGAACGGTCGAATACCATCTCCAGATCCACAAAGTACATGTGGACTGGTTGGGCAAACTCCTATGAACCCTCGAGCACCCGATGGAGAGTGTAGAGCTGGTCCAGTGTTCCACGACCGGGATGAAAACCACGGTCAGATTCTGCTCTCCAGTCTCTGGCACAGACCGGGGAGGCTGAGAAGTGTGATTCCCCTGTAGTTGGAACACACCCTCCGGTCCCCCTTCTTATACAGAGGGGCCACCACCCCGGTTTGCCAGTCCAGAGGTACTGTCCCCGACCGCCACACGATGTTGAAGAGGCGTGTCAGCCAAGACAGCCCCACAACATCCAGAGACTTAAGATACTCAGGACGGATCTCATCCAGCCACGGGCTTTATATTATGAATAGGATTTTTTTGACGGACAAAATAGCAAAAAAAAAAAAAAAAATCAGGATCATGTGTCGTGGGTTAACACAAACATTTTAAGACCAAAATGTCAAGGCTCAGTGCAGCAGGTACAGAGAGAGGAGCCACAAGATCCTGATGTAAGTCCATTGGAGGCAGAGTCAGAAGGAGCTGGAAGAGCCTCCTGGAGAACTTCCTATTTGACACACGGCAGCTACAGCGTTAGATCTGTCTACTCGTAGATACAGTCTATGGTTGTATGAAAGTGATTATGATAATGATGATGTATAAAAAATGTCTAATAAAAAAGTTGTGTAATCATATTGTGTCTAAATGTGTGTGTTTACATCCAACATCCAAATTTAATGTGAGCTACTTTTAAACTCTTTGAGTTATCTGACCAGCTGCATGTGATGTTTATAATTAGTTTTACCCATATTGTTGATGTATTTCAGCAGGATAATTAAAAAAAAAACAAGAAAAACATGTTTTTGGAGGAACATGGAGTATTACATGTGAATATTACAGTGAAATTGCAAGAAAACAACCAAACCGGGTCATTTTTGACCCACTTATGCATCTAAGGGTTAATATGGGTAGGACTTATAGCTTTGTAACTAGCACCATTTGATTCCCTGACCCTGAAAATGTGGGTTTAACAGTTAAAATCAACATTTCAACTTATTCAGAGGCTGAGATATTCCAAAAAGGGTTTTTTGGTGGCCATTTAAAAAAAATCCAATATGGCCGCCATAAAGACATGTGGGCAAATGCAAACATAGATTTTCTGACTCCATAAACTATAACCTTTCCAAAAATATATAGGTTAGCAAATCCCCAAAAACTTCCCACTAAGGTCAAAAAATGACAATAAGGAATGGAGATTTCATGGTCCGTCTCATTAGAAGCATGTCACACCATACGTACACGCACGTGGGGGCAGCACAAGAGAAACATTTTGAGTTGCAGAAATTTTATTTTGGCAAAATGGACTAGGCTGCCACATCATTATTTCACTTTGTTTATCAGGGTGTGTATAAACTGAAGCCCTCTTTGACTTTATTTCCATTAAAAGAGGAGGCATCTTTTTGTTCCCAAGACATTGCCCTGTCCATATATGTACACATGTCCAGCATATATTTTTTCACATTGAGATCTGCTATTTTCAAAGTGTTCCTTTTAATTTTTTATATTTCGATTGGACAAACTGTGTCTTGACCCATTCTATGAACGTAGAGATCCAATAATAAAGGTCCAGAAGGCTGTAATTTACAATCCTGATGTTGAGTTTTTGCATTCACTGATTAGTATTATGCTTTAGTTGCAGAGAGTTGTGTATTCTTGCAGTTTGTGGATGTATTATGTTCTGAAGCTAAATGTTTGTTTCTTCTCCCTCAGGACGCTCTGTTTAACTCTCTCCTGGATGACCCATACCTGAGTCTGCAGCTCACAGGGAAGTCCAACCAACAGGTGAGACCACAAGAGGGCCCCACTCAAATCTTCTGATCCACAAATGTTGAACCTTCTCATTATTTGTTTGGGATCCACAGACTTGTCATATGGCTTAAAGCCCTTTCAACTGAAAACAATCATGTCTTGAAGCTATTGTTCAAAAGCTTTGAACAATTTTGCAATTTCTCCTGGATAATACTCAAACCCTCCTTACAGTTAGCAGTACGAGCCTGTGCAAGGCTCCGCCCACAAGCCTACATCACCCATACTCCCACACAACCATTTTTCTTAAATATACAAAAGCATGATACAAACTGTACACAACAACTTGACACACCTGGTGTGATGTGCAGTAGTTTCATCAGTGGGATGCACGCTGATTGTGTTGATAGTGCTCTGAAGGGGGAGTGACTTAGTGCAGACAGCAAACATGACAAAAACAAAACTGAAACGTATCAGACATGTCAATAAGTTGTTTTCAGTGAATGGAGAAACATGGTGATCTTAATATTATCAGTTAATACTCCATAGACGCACATTTTCTGATCTATGTTCTAATGTTGTTTCCTCATCAAAAACAAAACCTAGAGTTGTGTTTAGTTTCATTCACACATGTTTAGCACACAAACCCTGTATATTTAGGCTGAGTTCTTCTCTCAAACACAAAAGACTCCACCTTCCACCTTGTGATGTCATGTAGGAGACAACACCTGTTTAAGTGGGACAAAATCTGATAATGAGCGACATCTTGTTGGAAAAACATGTGTATATGTTTTTTTTCATTGATTTCCACTCCCTGTTTGAACTAGACACCATAATTTCTCTATTCTGCTCTGCTGCACTTCTGCCAATATTTAACACCACTGTGTTTTTAGACTCCACACACCTTCACTAGAATCATTTGCTTAATTTCAGTCCTTAAATTGCAAACCTCTACTGAACTAAAGGTAAAAGGAACCGTTAACTTGAAAACTACTACTTCATGACATCACAAGGTGGAACAGAGCATTCTGAGCTTTGGAGATGTCAACAGACTCATAATAAAGGGTTACTCAGACATGTGAGAATGAAACAAAATAACAACAACTCCCGGTGTGTTTTTGATGAAGTAACAACATTATAACATGACCTCAAGCTCACAAGAGTCCATTTGGAGTAATATAGGACCTTTTTAAACAGCAGATTCCACTACAGAATTCCGACCTGTCCTCCAGCTCAGGTTAAACGAGAGAGAATTGTGATGTCCCTCGTGTCTAATCCTGTGCCTGTGTCCCAGTTCTCCTCAGATCCTGGTTCTGATGGACTCTCTCTGAACCACTCGGGTCTGAGCTGTCACGGTTTGGACCGGACTCACTCAACTGTGGATCTCCAGGATCCAAACCAGAACCAGAGCCATGCGTACAACCAGGAGGCGCGCCACAACGTCCCCAACATCATCCTCACCGGTACTGCTAAGCTACCCTTGTACAACTGCTCATCTGCTTTTTGACAATATATAATAACTTGTCTTGGTTTACTGGTTTAGTCCTGGTTTATTCCTGGTTTTATTCCTGATTATTTCCTGGTTTATGCTTGGTCTTGGTTCAGCCTTGGTTCAGTCCTAGTTTAGTTTTCGATTAGATGTAATAGTCCCTGGGATTCAGTCTTGGTTTAGTCCTGGTTTAGACCTTCTTCAGTCTTGGGTTAGTTCTGGGTTAGTCCTGGGTTAGTCCTGGGTTAGTCCGGGTCTAGTCCGGGTCTAGTCCGGGTCTAGTCCGGGTCTAGTCCGGGTCTAGTCCGGGTCTAGTCCGGGTCTAGTCCTTGTTCAGACCTGGTTCAATCCTGCCTCAGTCCTGCCTCAGTCCTGGTTCAGTCCTGGCTTTATTCCTGGTTATTTCCTGGTTTATGCTTGGTCTTGGTAGAGCTTTGGTTCAGTCCTAGTTTAGTTTTAGCTTACATGTAATAGTCCCTGGGGTTCAGTCCTGGTCTAGTCCTGGTTTAACCCCTTCTTTGCTGTCTTTAGGGGACTCTCCTCCAGGCCTGTCTAAGGAGATTACCAGCGCTCTGTCCCATGTCCCTGGGTTTGAGATGGACCCCTTTTCTCTGGACGACCCGTTGAGGATCGACCCTTTGGCCCTGGACATGCTGGACGGTGACCTCATGTTAGCTGACCCTGCCGTGGAGGATTCCTTCAGATCGGACAGGCTCAAATGACCTTTCACCTCTCCCCTCTCCCCTCTCTCTGCGGAGGAGCCTAAACTGCGATCACACACACACACGCACACACACACACTCGGCCTTTATATCCGATCTCCTCCATGCAGCTACAACACGTCTGACCCTGTTTATACCTGAAATCCACTTTTTTTTTTTTTTAACAGTAACTTTTCAACAGAGCCCAGCAAACTGGTTCTGAAAGTAAAGGTCACATTTATTTGCCAAAACATCTTCAAACATGAAAATATAATAAGATGCTCTATATAACTTTTCTGGCAGGGTTCTCTCACCTGCTCATCTCCATGGAAATAAGAGAATCTTTATATGACCACAGTGGGGAAATTCCAGTGTTGCAACCACAGACTGTATAAAGAAGTGGACTAAGGGAGTGTGTCGTCACCCATAGTGTTTGGCTCCAGTCAAATGAAGCTCACACGGTTATCAGTTATCGGTCAGTTACAGGAGTGACTTTGGAGTCAGCTCCATATTAGGAATAGGATTTGCTTTATGGACAAAACGGCAAAACAAAAGCACCAGGATCATGTAGAGCGGGTTAATACAAACATTTTAAGACCAAAATGAGGAGTTTAACAGCGCCAACTGTGGAGTTGTTTATTGCCATAGTTAAGGGAAAGCAATGACATCTCCATGGAAACAAGACAGTGGCAGGTTCTACACCAGAAAAGTGGCATAGTGCATCTTTAGGAATTTGAAGTTATGGCATAAGCTAACCAGCTGTGGGCTAATCATTCTGTATATAGTTTTTCTATTTAAAATGTGGAAATATGCGCATATGTTATTTAAACATTTGAGTTTCAGATCTGTGTTAAGTCATATTGTGTTTTATGGTTATGAGTTGGCCCACAGCTGATTAGCTCCCATCCAGCAGTTACTCTTAATTGATACTTTTGCAGTGACATCACAATGGGGGTGTTATTTGTGTCTGTGAATGGCCAGATGTTTAGCAGTCAACAGTGTAGACACAATGCATACTTTAGCAAGCACTGACAAAAAAGTTTTAGGATAGTCTGAAAGCGAAAGAAAAAAATGCAAAATAGATTTAAAAAGCTATTTTTCCAGAGCCTTTGATCTGTGTGAGCGTCATGCTCCTGTTTAGGAGTTTGATTTTCAACTAAAAGGTGAAAGTGACTCACTGAAAAACTGTGATTTTTCTGTTATGTGGGAGGGGCGTGTCTAACAGCACACATCAGATCACCTGTTTCTGGTTAATGCCGGGCGTACACTGTGCAATTTTTGACCCTTTTTGAGCTGATTTTTCGCTTGTGCGACTGTTTTGGGGATCGGGCCGAGTTTTGACTTCATCGTGTGTCGTGCTTCGTGTAGTTTACATGGGGTAAAGAGAACCGATTAATGGCTCACGACCAGCTCCCGATCGACATTCGAAGGTCGCAAGAAAATCAAACTTGTTTGAAATCCAGTCGCCTCTCGTGAGGATTTCGCTCTGATGAAGTTGTTCCACGAACCGATTTGCCAGAATCTGGCAGACTGCGCATGCGTGGACACAGAAGTGTCTCAGCATTGTGTCTCTGCACATCTGTGGTTTTCTAATTCCGTGGTTTTCTTCTTCGTGGTTTTCTACTTCCGGAACAACAACTTTGACAACTCCGGTCGTAATGTGAACGTACAGTGTGAGCAGGCAAGTCGCATCCGAGCATCGGTTCGTTCAGTGTGAGAACATGATTCATGAGCTGTGAACTTTTAAACCCTGTGATTTGGTCGTACAGTTTAAGCTGGGGCTGAGTGACACGACCGAAAATATCGCACAGTGTACGCCCGGCATAAGTCACTTCTGTATGGTCAGATTGTGATTAATGTCTAACTTGAGTAACAGAGATTCAGACAGAGCAGTGCCTACAGTTAGATAGTGAATGTTGGTGACATCAGATGTAAAGTATCAATATTTATTTCAAAAAGTGACTTTTACTTTTGGAACCAGAAATGACCATCTGCACTTTCAAATTGGCCTAAAATATTTTCTGAAAATATCAAAATTTCAGATGAAGTCCAAGCTTCAGTCTCTAATATGGGTGCATTTAATTCTACAGCACTTGTTTGGACTCTTCACTCCCTCACTTATTCTCTCACAGTGGGTAATGTGTCTTGCTCAATGGCCCCACAACAGCATGCACAGCTAACAGCGGGAATCACACTGCCAGCCTTTTGTGAATGGGCAGAGTTTTGACCGCCACAGCTTTTTGCTCCTCTCCACTTTTCGAAATCCTGTTGCCTTTTTGTGAGATTTCACCACGAAAAGGCTCCGTCCGAAGTCACCTTTAGTTTTTCGAGTCTGTTTCAAACGCTTCTGTGGAACCGCAGCGCTACCAGCAAAAGGACAAAAACCAGAGCGCACAAGCTGACGCCCAGAGGGGGACACGTCTGATAATGCTTCTGTCTGGGACTTTCTTTTCGGAGATATTAAACAGGACTCCGCCCACTCCCGCATGACTTACCAATCAGAGCGAGGAGCAGAGACATGTGACCGGATGTGAGTTTTGTGCATGATATCGAGACATTTCTTTGGCAGTCGCTTCAGCGCTTGACTCACTGGGAATTTTATGGAGTTTTAACAACAAAAAAACTAGTTGGAAGCATGAGACAAATCAGGTTAACTGCTTTTCTATTGGATTCAGTGAGAATGTGGTCCACCTGATTATGCAGACTATACCTTTTTATATATATAAATATATATTCTACTATTTTCCTAACAACAAAATTTTAACCTTAGTAGAGTTCATACTAATACTAAAAAGTTAATCCTAACAATCGGGCTACGTGAAGTGTGTTGCTCAAAGGTAGAGGTCTTTGGAGGAATTTGCATAAAAATCACCTTTCGCTAAGAATCAACTGATGTAAAGGTTAAGGCCAAAAACAAAATCAGATCTTTACAGGAAATAAGCCATGGTGTAAAAACGATATCGCCAAGAAATCAGTTTAACTTTTAAATCATGTTTTACAAAATACTATTTTTTGTCAAGCTAAAAGGGCAGTTTTAAGAGTTTGTTATTAAAAAAAGACTGTATTTTACAAACTGTTAAATATATTTTAAGCAGTTTAAAGACCTATTTTCTCCCACAGAAATCTATTTATGTAAAATGACGTCAGAAGGAAACGCACTTTAACTCAAGTTACAAGTCAAAAAGATCTGAATATGATTGTTAAAGCATGACTTAAATGAAGTTTTTTATATGTAAACCTATGCTTATTATGGAGAGGCGGAGGATGACAGGAGCTTTGAAGTTACATTCACAGAAATTAGGGATGGGAAACCAAAACATCTATAGTTTTATTGCTTTGAGGTGAATAAGAAATGCACACCAAAACCAGCAGAGGGCAATGTTGTCTACACACCAATAGATTCTCCTGTCTGTCTCTTAAAGGAACTGTCTGTAAGAATATAGATTTGAAATTTCTTAAACTTATTTGACTTATTTGTGTCCCAAGATACAAGTTAAACATGCTCAAATCAAATAGAGCGTTTACTGAGAACTATTGTAATGTCTTAATTACAAATACATGAATGGCCAAGTTGTAATAAGCTGGTTTCAATTCTCCAATCAGAAAGCAGAATGAGCCTTACATGACTCTCGTTTGGGTTGCCAGTTCCAACACTGAAATCCAGTTGCTTTAAACCTCAAATGCTTCTCTCTGATCTGAAACCCCAGTGCCTGCAGCCATTCATGAGTCAGTGCTAGTGAAGCCTCTGCAGCTCACGGAGAGAATTCTGGAGATTGTGAGCTTCACATGAGGCCTGTTCCTGAACTGAGAATGAGACAAATGCAGGATGTGTCTCTGTCTGCAGGTGAAGTCTCTGGAGACACAGGTTTAGTTGTGGTTTTAAAACTGTACGAAGCAGGATACATACAGCTCCTTTTAAAGAAGCTCTTTCTAACTTTTCCGGAAGAGGCTCTGTCACCTGCCAGAGAGATGCTGTTGCTTTGCCTGTATTGTTCCACAGTATGGCATTAAACTTTGTCTCTTTATCCATGAAGCCACGCAGCTTGCAAGTTCCAGGCAGGTTTGGTGTCCCGTCCCTAATGTGTGCATGTCCTCGTCCTCTCCCTGACGCTCAGGCTTCTACAGGTTTAGTTCAGATTTAAACGAAAAACAAAAACAAGCAAACCCCCAAAACAAGCAGCTTTGCTTTGCACGAGTTACCTGAAAGATACATTTCTTACAAAAAATCCCTTAATTAAAAAACAAACAAACAAAAGAATAAAAGACCAACTGAGCCTAAACTGAACCAAACCCATGATGTTTGGGGAGGACTCAAGACTAAAACGAGTCATCTTGGATTATTCAAAAAGTGTGTTTGGAATATTTAAAGAGGGGGTATTATGTCAAAATAGTTTTTTTTTTTCATCTTTCATGATATTAATGCTGGTCCCTTATCAAAAACATGCCTGAAGATGTTTTAGAGTCATCCATGCATGTTTGAGTAATCTAGTGATCTCTCCTGGACCCTATTGAAACCCTGCTTACGGTTAGCAGTACAAACCTGTACAAGACTCCACCCACAAGTGTCCCCCATGCTCCCACATGACAATTCTCCATAAATCTACAAAAACATGATATACATGGTCATGGTCATGGTGCTGTACACAGCATCATGACAAACCTGATGTGATGTGGGATGTTCATTAGTGGGATGTACCCTGATTGTGTTTTGATTGTGCTCTGAAGGGGGAATGAGTTAGCACAGGGAGCAAAGGGATAATAAGAGCACGTAAATACCCCCTCTTTAAAATTAAAACAGAAGTTTGCCAAAGGTAATTAAAGCCAACAGTGACCTGAAACACTAAGATCCAACTTGGATTGAATAAACTCAGGATTAATTCAGGGCTGAGGCTAAACACAGAAGTTCAAGTGAGGCGAATTCAAAATAAACAGGTTTAAATCAAAGCTCAACTCAATAAATCCTAAATGAAGCATTTAAAGTTTAAACTGTGACATCTGAAGCCACTCACTGTGATTGACAGCGCTATGCCCCACCCCTTGCTCCTGCTCTTCTAGAAAGTTACTGAAGCTCTTTTGGGAGTTTGTTTGAGAGAGTTAAAGCCTTTAGCGGGCACGTCTTTAACTCTGAGCTGTGTCAGTGTGGGGACAGTCTGTTATCAAAAGCATCTTTAAAACTTTTAAGTGTGAATGACGCACTAATTTATGTCAACATATTCATCCGCCAGGTCTGCACTGAAAATAATGTCACTAATGTTTGGTTTGTTGGGGCATTTTGATCAGTCATATTTAAAGATGCACTATGGAACTTTTAAAGTAAGTTTGTCATCTGCTTTTCTCCACCAGAGGTGGCAGCATAGTCACAAACTGTACTCAAGTAAGAGTAACATTACTTCAAAATAATATTACTCAATTAGAAGTTTTAAGCAATGATTCAAGAAATTACTCAAGTGAGAGTAAAAAAGTATTTGGGAAAAGTACTACTCACATAAGAGTAACTTAAAGAGTAACTATTCAGATGTAACATGTTATTTATAATATAAACTGCATTTAATTTGAAGTCCAAAACCTGAAATAAGTCACTAAATCTGGTGTTTTCAAAGGACAGACACAAAAATGAGACAAACGAAATCAGATCTGAAGGAGCTACAAGAAACACAAATGTTCAAATCACCACAAGGTTTACTCAAGTAAGAGTACTGTTACTTATAACAGTAGGAAATGTTGCTTAAGTAGGAGTATGCTGCTAGAAAAGTACTCTGAATAGTACAATATTTCAAAAGTTTGTCAAGTAAATGTAACTGAGTACTCCCCACCTCTGGTCTCCATAGAGATGCTTGGCCTGGAATATTCCTCAGCAGGGTCACCTCTCCACAGATCTGACCTGGCCTTGTCACATTCCTTCCTGGTATCAGTGGAGATAGTGGTTTGCCTGGAGAGCTACACAGCACAGCATTAAATGATGAACATGAACATAAAAATGAACATGTTGGAGTCCAGCAGGTGGCGGACCTCCAAATGAAAAGTTACATAGTGCTTCTTTAATAGAAACCCACTGGATCAACTTTTGTCCACGTGCATTTAAAAATGATGCATTTCCAGCTCCACGTTTGACTTGTGTGTTGTGTTTTGTTTCATTCACATGTTTGAATACTTTTATTATCTGTCTGTCTACATCTCCAAAGCTCAGAATGCTCTGTTCCACCTTGTGATGTCATGTAGTGATAGTCTTTTTACCTTTAGTTCTGTAGATTTAAGGACTGAAATTACCCAAATGATCCTAGTGAAGGCGTATGGAGTTAGAGCAGTTTACCACATGACATCACAAGGGTGGAATAAAGTGTTTGAACTCACCCTAAATGTGCAGGTTTGTGTGTTAAACGTGTGTGAATGAAACAAAACACACCTTTCAGTCTGTTTGTGACGAGGAAACTCCATTCAAACATAGATCCAAAAATAGCATTATATGAGTCTTCTAACATATAATACACAAAAACACAAAATGTACAAAAACAGACTATGGAAGCGTTTTGTGCCCAGTCAGAAAGTGGTCTGAAAAAGAAATTGTTATAATATTTCAAATGTTGAAATGTGTTACCTGCAGGTCACCCAAGTGCGTCTTCAAGTCTTTGACAGAACCATATTTTGAGTGTTGAAATGTGTTTATTTTGTTTATAGAAATTCCCTTCACATTTACATTTAGAATAGTCAAATCCAACTGTTTTAGAGCTACTATTTATCTTATTTTATGAACTTAAAATTGTTACTGAAATATTTTTGTTTTGGGATATTTTTAATTTTTATGAGCATTTTTTTTTTTCTTTTTTTTTTTTTTTTTTTGTCAAACCTGGATTTTAAAGTAGAAGGAAACAGTCGGCGCTGGAAGCCGATTGGACGTAGTTTATAAAGAGGCGTGGCTTACAAAAATGTTCATGATTACTGCTAAATTTCTTACATTTCTTTGGATAGTAGATTTAAAGTTTTGCTTATGAGATTATCTTTAACAAACCTGTACAGTTTTAGAATAAAGGAGTTTCTAACACACACAGATCTGACACTGTGTAACACCAGCACAGAGTTGAATTGGACAAGATGAGTTGAGTAGAAGTTAAAGCACTGCAAACAGCCAAATCTCACTTACAGAAAAATGTATAGTTCATATTCACTGTTACTTTGACATTGTTAAAGCAGTGTTTCTCAACTGGAGGGACCCGGACCAAAAGAGCAGAGTTGTACGTCAGATGCCCTTCCACAGTGAACACCCAGGGACACTGTGTATATGTATAACATGCTCTTGGGTGAGATTTGAATGGCCGACTGTCTGGTTGGTGGGCAAATGCTTAACCTGATGAGAAACTGTCTCCTGTAATGCCCTTAATATGGAGAAGGGAACAGGAGTGTGCACTAGTGCCATACGAGCGGGACTCTCAGAGTGTGCGTCAGCTGAGAAACACTGTCCAGGAGAACGAGCTCAGAAGGGCCAAGTGACACTTTGAACACACTTTTCTCCACTCATTTCATTTCAAACTTATAAATGGAGCAAACCCTTTAAAGGTGAATTATGTCACTTTTCTAGTACAGGGAACACAAGCTGCTTGTCACCATGGAGACTGCTTTGTCTGGAATGATCCACAGTATGGTGTTTATCTATTTTGCATTTATTCAATTACAAGTGTTTTCAATATAAAACAACAAAACAAACAATATCAAAAACATAAACACTTGCAGAGTTGTTCAATTAATTGTAAATTACTTTGATTAATTTGTGTTTTTATTTGAGATTTTGAAACACTGCAAAATCAAGAAATCAAGGATTTCAGGGACAGGTTCACTCCTGACTTTCTCACAGGCAAATGGTATGTAAAAAAACAGATTCAAATGTAACTGAAGGCACTTTCTTTCCCCTGTTTGAAACAGATGGTTTTAAACTTATCTTAGAGATAAGTTTAAAACCATACCACGGAACATTCCAGTCAAAGCAACAGTATCTTCACACAAGCAGGTGGCGCCCCTTCTGCAGAAAAGTGACAGTGCTCCTCTAAAGCAGATCTTTAAAAGCAGATGCATTTGTGCTTTTGATCAATAACTAATTAGGCAATTGCTTCATATTATTTGATCTCTAGATTTTGAGTGAAATCTGTTTAAATCTTTTGGTCCAACCTGTCACTTGCTCCTGTCGGCCCTGCGTGTGTTGTACATTTGTTGCTGTATATTTGGTTTATATGAAGGTCGTGTGTGGCTCTGTTACTTTCTCGTTGCACTGTTGTGTATTTTCAGATGTTTGTGAGATGTGTTCAACGCCGTTATGCAACAAAAGCAGGATCCGTTTAAGGCCATATTTCATACTTTTTCATCTTTTATATTGTTGTGTCATTATGAAAGCGGCTTGTGTTTTTTAGGCTTCAGTCCAATTTTGTCTGTGCTTCTTTGTATTTGAATAATAAACAGCTGTGTTCACATATTTGTAATGTTAATAATAGCACGGACTGTGCATATGGACTCTGGAGGTTTTTAAACAGACAGTACCGCATTATTTTACACCAAATAAACATGAAACTACCCCCTGTCTGAGTGATGCTGTACACTGTAAGCATGTTCAGGTCATATATAGTGCTTGTGTCTGCTATACACTTCTAATCTCTGACCCCCATGGAACATTGTTATAATGTGAACATTTGAAATCACAATATTCCTCTCAAACAAGCTGATGTGGCTGTTAACGTCATGACAGCAAAGGGCCCTTCCTATGGAGAGCTGCACATCACAGAGTAGAGCTTTTTTTTTTTACATTTGGACCAAAATGACTGCACGATGCTGCCCAATCCTACGATGTTCCTCTGCCCCTCTGACCCTCTGCCCCTCTGACCCTCTGCCCCTCTGTTCCCCTGCCCCTCTGCCCCTCTGTTCCTCTGACCCTCTGTTCGTCTGGGTCTTTGTTAGCACAATCATGGTTGAACACCACATTAGTGATGTCACAGTGATGTGACTCTAGATATTTGGAGATTTCTTTCAAAATTCAGCAAAACTATGAAGTAAGTTGAGCCACTGTCCTGCGTTACTCAGATTCTAGAACATTTCAATTAAAATGTAGAAATGTAAATGGAGGACTGACGGTTTGTGGGCGATGGTTCCAGTGGAGGGGCTCTTCTGAGCGCGCTCTGTTCTCACTCCATCCCCTCCCTCTTGTCCAGTCAGAGAGCTCCAATGTGCAGCGGCGGACTGTGATTGGCTGAAACTCCCAGAGGTGAGAAGTGATGTGATTGGATCAAAAGTGAGACCGAGAGGGAGTGGCGGAGCTTGGGGACTATTCAGGGGCAGTCATAAGAGGCACACAGGACTAAAGCAAGTCTAAAACTGGACCAAACCAGGGACTAAAACAGGTCTAGAAGTGGACTAAACCAAAACTAAACCAGGACTAAAACAGGACTAAAGCAGGAAGCAGGTCCTGGACTAACATCAGGACTAAACAATCCGTGTATCATTCGTTCATTCGTTTTTCAATATAAAACCAAAAATAAGAAAACGAAAAAACAACAGTTTTCTTCGTTATTTGTCTCCAAAACCAAAATGAAAAAACGGATAACGATTCGTTTTTTCAGTTTTCGATTTTGTGTTTAAATGAAGAATGGAAAAAAACGGATAACGGCCGTTTCCCGTTTACGTGACTTCCGTGACTGCGATGCCGAACTTTTGCACCGCGTACGGACTGAATCAGGACTGATCCAGGTCCGAGACCAGACCGAGACCAGAGCGGGACTGAGACCGGGACCAGACAGGGACCAGAGCGGGACCAGAGCGGGACTGAGACCGGGACCAGAGCGGGACTGAGACCGGGACCAGACCGGGACCAGACCGGGACCAGAGCGGGACTGAGACCGGGACCAGAGCGGGACCAGGGCGGACTCCGAGCTTTGACTCCGGGCCTCCACGGGGTCCGAGCCTCAGCTTCGAGCTCCGGCCCTGCCGTGGGCTCTGAGCCTCCGGTCTGGTCCCGGTTTGGTCCTGGTCTTGTCTCGGTCTCAGGCCCGGTCTGGTCCCAGTCTCAGTAGCGCTCTGGTCCCGGTCTGGTCCCGGACCTGGTCCATCTGAACCAAAAGCTCTCAGTTCGATTCATTTTCATTGGTGTGAATGCGTCAGTCGGAGGCTTTGCACCACCTCGGAACCAGCCGCGGTTCTTGAGCGCGGAGGACCAGAGCAGCTCTGTCCCGGTCTCAGTCCTGCTCTGGTCTCGGTCTGGTCTCGGACCTGGATCCGTCCTGATTCAGTCCGTATGCGGTGAGACTGGGACCAGAGCGGGACCAGAGCGGGCCTGAGACCGAGACCGAGACAAGACCAGAACCAGACCGGGACCAGACCGGAGGCTCAGAGCCCACAGCAGGGCCGGAGCTCGAAGCTGAGGCTCGGACCCCGTGGAGGCCCGGAGTCAAAGCTCGGAGTCCGCCCTGGTCCCGGTCTGGTCCCGGTCTCAGTCCCGCTCTGGTCCCGGTCTGGTCCCGGTCTGGTCCCGGTCTCAGTCCCGCTCTGGTCCCGGCCTGGTCCCGGTCTCAGTCCCGCTCTGGTCTCGGACCTGGATCAGTCCTAGTTCAGTCCGTACGCGGTGCAAAAGTTCGGTATCGCAGTCACGGAAGTCACGTAAACGGGAAACGGCCGTTATCCGTTTTTTCCATTCTTCATTTAAACACAAAATCGAAAACTGAAAAAACGAATCGTTATCCATTTTTTCATTTTGGTTTTGGAGACAAATAACGAAGAAAACTGTTGTTTTTTCGTTTTCTTATTTTTGGTTTTATATTGAAAAACGAATGAACGAATGATACACGGATTCTAAACATTTAAGTTTTTCATTTTTTTATTAACAAAATATGAACAATGCATAACAAATTTACTTCTAGCAGGGCCCAGGAGAAATGACAAAATGAATCAAACATGCATCTATAGGGAACAACGCTAGAACAAGACTTAGAGGTCTTCGACTCTGCGGATGCGTCGGGTGAGCTGAATGTCGAGCACAGTCACTCTTTTGGCGTGAATCACACAGAGGTTAGCGTCTGAAAACAGCATCACCAAGAACAGCAGCCTGTCACAAAATATGTGTCAGATGCCCTCCCGTCCTCCTGTGTGTCAGATGCCCTCCCGTCCTCCTGTGTGTCAGATGCCCTCCTGTGTTTCTGTAGTGTTAGACTGAGATGGGAGCAGGTCAAATGTCTGCAGTTAATCTGCAGATGTTGTGGTGTGTCAGATGCCCTCCCAGATGTTGTGGTGTGGTTGGAGAATAGTCTCTATTCACACTTACATCACAGACCAGGAAGACGTTTGGAAACGTGCAATGACAACTTCCTGCGGGCTCTGTTCACTGTAGTAAGTCTGACAAAATCCAGAAAAATTTAGAAAATGTCCCAGTTTTCTTCATCTCCATGTCATTGTAGTGTTCCTTTATGTTCAGCCAATCAACAATTACAGCCATCCCTCAGTTTTCATCATTTCTCACTGACACACAACTCTGAGTGCACTGGTACATGTGATTAGAAGAGATGAGGCCAAATTCCAGATGATTCCAAACAGCACATACACCTGCAGTTTTCATTTTACCACTTCACATTTACTTCAGTGGGTTTAATCACAGTCGGTCGAGTCCAGTGTCGGGAACATCACATGTTTCCAAACATCTTTGTGGTTTGTGATGTAAGCATGAATAGAGTCTATGGCCATTGTCACTGACATGTGTGTTGTGTGTTGTGTGTTGTGTGTTGTGTTTGGTCGCTCACCTCCTGCAGAGCCAGCAGACCATTGACCTCCCACTGGTAAGACACTTGGGTAAAACTCTGACAGATTTCACGAACCTGAAATACGCATTAAGAACTGAATTCAGAAAGTGAAGTGTCTGCACCAACGCTGATCCAGGTCTAAACCAGGACAGAACCAGCACACAACAAAAACACCTATTCCTGGGTTTTAGTTTCCTGCTTAAAGCTGCTCCCTGATTTTCAAACCATGTAAAGAGAAAACCATCTAAATGCATTTATAGATGTGGGCTGGGACAAAGCTGAGGGTCACTGTGACTGACCAGACGGGCGAAGGGGCCTTTGCGCAGCAGCAGGTTGGTGCTTTTCTGGTATTTGCCAATTTCATTGAGCGCTTTGACCCCAGGACAGTACCTCGTCTTCCGCGGAGACCCTCCAGGGGGCGCTCCTGCACACACACAAAATTAAGACCGACTTTAGCCCTGGTCCAGTCCCAGTCCCAGTCCCCAGTCTAGTCCTTGGTTTATTCCCCAGTTTATTCCCTTTTCCAGTCTCAGGCAAGTCCCCGGTCCAGTCCTGGTTTATTCCCTCTGTCTAGTCCACGGTTTAGTCCACGGGCTAGTCCCCGGTCTGGTCCCCGGTCTGGTCCCTGGTCTGGTCCCCGGTCTGGTCCCTGGTCTGGTCCCCGGTCTGGTCCCCGGTCTGGTCCCTGGTCTGGTCCCCGGTCTGGTCCCTGGTCTGGTCCCCGGTCTGGTCCCTGGTCTGGTCCCTGTTACTTGAGGGTCCGCTCCTGTTACTTGGGGGTCCACTGCGCCTGGGGGGCCGCGGCGAGCTGGGGGGCGGTGGTATGGGGCCTCGTCGTTTGGGGTTGGTCCCTTTACGGCGACTGGACAAGGTGTTGTGCTTCATGACTTCACGACTCGGAGGGTCAGGGGTCAAAGAGGAGGAACCAGCTGCAGGTGGAAGACAAATGGTATTATTGAGTAGGTCTGGTACGATATATCGCAACAGTAGTAGTAGCAGTAGCAGCTCAGGTGGTAGAACGTTTGTCCACTGATCTGAAGGTTGGTGGTTCAAATCCCACTCTTGACATAAAACATCATTGGTTGAGCGGTCAGATCCACTGACCCACAGGTTGCTGATGTGATTCCAGCTCCCACACATGAATGCTGTTGTTGTGTCCTTGGGCAAGACACTTAACCCACCTTGCCCCCAGTGTCTGTGTGAATGGGTGAGTGGTTCCTTGTTGTAAAAAGTGCTTTGAGTACCTTGAAGGTGGAAAAGCGCTACAGAAAAATGTGACCATTTAGTAGTAGTTTAACAGTTTAAAAATATAAAGGCATAAGCAGAGTGTGTGTGTTAAACATGTGAATAAAAACACAAGTCCAGGTGTGTTTATGATGACATAACTACACTAGAACAGACATTAGAAAAAAACATGATAAGGGCCCCCTGTGGCCCCCCACGATTCACAAGTCTTTATATAAACACACCGAAAGAAAACAGTATCCAACAACTTTTGTCTTTTGACTCTGGACCTCGCGCGAGATTAAGTTTGAGCGCGATGTCAGTTTCCTCTCCGCCCCTTCCTCAAACCAGACCCCAGATCCGAGACACTCGAGAGACACGAGACACCGCGCTGGAATAACGGGCACTGGAGTTCGGAAAGGAGCAGGATGCAGGAGTCTCACCGTGAGTCTCCGGGAGCGGAGCTGCGCGCTCTGTTCATGAAACGCCACGCCGCTTTTGCGCAGGAAATGTGGGCGCTGTTTGAGCAAACTGTGACGCAACTGGAGAAAGAAGTGCGCGATTTACGAGCGGAAAACGAAAGACTGCGGTGCCTCCTGAAAAAGAGCCAAAAGAACCGAGTCCCGCTCAAGGCACAGACCGGTGAGTCCCGAAATGTGTAAGTGACTGAGCAGTGGTGTTTATCATGAGCAAGTGTTTCTCCATGGATGAGCAGCCAGGGACGAACACAAAGTACAACACAGTGTTGGGAAGTACCCATTCTGAATACTTCAGAATACTCATCGTGAGTACCTATATTCCAGTACAGTTACTTTTTCAGCTGGTGATGTTCAGAATACAGTTAGACCTGCTTTAACAAGAGCAAAGGTGCAGGCTCTATGTGGTTACACAGTTTCGGTTCAAACGGAACTGAATCAGAAACCACAGCTCTGCAGAACAAACTGAAACAAGACAAATCTATTTACTCATGTTTCACATCTTTACTAGAACATAATACGTCCATGTATTTAGCACACAGTCCTCTGATTGACCCCTGTAAGAGAGTGTGTTCTTGTTCTTGTCAAGTATTTATTGTGTGCATGTGGGGAGTATTGTTCACATTAAAGGGGGTCGTGTGGTGAGACAGTCCTACACCAGAAAACTCAAGTGCCTTCATTTACACACAGATAAAGAGTGTTTCCTTCTGAGTAAATCGTGCACTTCTATAACGGCTCTATAGGCTCTCACACACGGTGGAAATACACTGAACACATGGAAGTGACTGAGGTCAAACAAGGGTCCACATCACACTCATCTCTCATCTCTGTTCTAATGTCCTTTTCACATCACAAACACACCTGGACTTGTGTTTTGTTTCATTCACATGTTTAACACACAAACTCTGCACATTAAGGCTGAGTTCTTCTCTCAAACAGAAAACACTTTGTTCCACTTTGTGATGTCATGTGGTAACACAGAAAGTGTTCCACTGTGTTTTTAAACTCCATAAACCTTCACTAGAATCATTTGGATGATTGCAGCTCTGGAATTGCCCATCTCTACTGAACTAAAGGTAAAACTTAGATGTTCACTTGGAAACTTCAGCTTCATGACATCACAAGGTGGAACGGAGCATTTTGGGCTTTGAAGATGTAGACAGACTAATAATAAAGAGTTACTCAAACATGTGATGAAACAAAACACAACTCCAGGTCTGTTTTTGAGGATGTAGCTGTATTATAACTAGGGGTGTCAAATTATGCGTTAATTGCGATTAATTAATTACAGTCATATTTAGCGCGTTATGTTTTTTAATCGCGTTAATCTCATTTTTAATCTCTAACTTTACTGTTTCTCTATGCGAGTTGCTTTATTATAAAAACCTGTTTTATAATACACACACACAAAAAAAAACACATTTATAATTTTTTTAATTCGGTAATTCCACTCATTGCCAGAAACCCACACAAAACGCGCGCAGAGCAGAGCAAAGAGCGATGTAAACGTCATGTTCACGTTGACGGCGTCAGTCACAATGGACGAGGTCGTAGAGCCAGTAGAACAGAGGCAGCAGTGCACAGGTAAAAACACATTCGTGTCTTGGAAATTATTCTCCCGACGTGAAATATAAAAGAAAATAACTAATATAAAATCGCCTACAACTTAAATGTCACTGGTGAAAACCTGCATAGGCTCATGATGTCTGCACTACTGTCCTATACACAAACACACACAAACACACACACACACACACACACACACAAACACACACACACACACACACACACACACACAAACACACACAAACACACACACACACAAACACACACACACACACACACACACAAACCCACACACAAACACACACACACACAAACACACACAAACACACACACACACAAACACACACAAACACACACAAACACACACACACACACACACCAAACACAAACCCACACAAACACAAACAAACACAAACAAACACAAACACACAACAAACACAAACACAACACAAACACACACACACACAAACACACACAAACCCACACAAACACACACACACAAACACACACAAACCCACACAAACACACACACAAACAAACACAAACACACACACACACACACAAATAAACACAAACACACACAAACACACACAAACACACACAAACACACACAAACACACACAAACACAAACACACACACAAACACACACACACACACAAACACACACAAACACACACAAACCCACACAAACACACACAAACACACACACAAACACAAACACACACAAACACACACAAACCCACACACACCTTCATCATCGTCATTAACCTCAGAACGCGCGAAACACGTTTCCTTCCGTAGTTACAGCGCGGACACCGACGTGCTCCCGTGCGCCGCGTGTGGATCGTGTTTTCTCGCGTAAACTGCGCTTCCTCCTGTGCACCTCTAAACCAGAACTAAGACCAAGACTAAAACCAGGACTAACCCAGTCCAGGACTAAACCAGGACTAAACCAGAACTAAAACCAGAACTAAAACCAGAACTAAAACCAGGTCTTAACCAGGACTAAACCAGGACTAAACCAGAACTAAAACCAGAACTAACACCAGGACTAAAATCAGGATTAATCCATTCCAGGACTAAACTAGGACTAAAGTAGGACTAAAGCAGGTCTAAACCAGGACTAAAACCAGTGATCTCATATATAAAACATTTCTCTATCAATAATATTTTTAATATGGTTAAGGAAAGACTGGACTTTTTATTGTCTTTAAGTAGACAAAAGTTATTATGTTCAGATTTCCTCGTCTTTGCTACTTTACAGCAAACAGTTTCTTATTCATGGAGACTTGGGCTCAACAGCCAATTTGGAGAGATTTGTTAAACAATAAATGACTTTATAAAGTCACTTTTTTTTGTTCTATATCAGTCTTTTGATCTGCCACAATAATGTAATAATGAATTTAAATGAAAATACCTCAAATTGAAGCTTTTCTCAGCAATTTTTAGATGAGATTAAAATGAGATTAATTAGATTAATTAATTACAGATCATAATTAATTAATCTCTAAATTTTTTTAATCGCATGACAGCACTAATGATAACATGATGTAAAGTTCACAAGGATCAGTTTTGTGTGTAATACAGGAGCTTTAAATGCTTATGACAGGTTTTCATGTTGTTCTAATTCCTCCTTGTTTTGGTGGGTGATACCTGTGTTCAATATGTATCATAGTTTTGCATCAGTTAAGTGACAGTTTGTGGAAATACTGTGTGAGCTGTAAAACAGAATTCCTCTGCCTATGTCATCAGACTTTTTCTGACACTTTAAACCCACTTACCATCCACCCGCCCGCCGGCGGGCAATTTTCCAATAAAAATGTTCACTCTGTATATTCACCTTCATTATTGTTTTCACTACTGGCATGCCATACATCGTTTGAAAGCTTAATTTCTCAATAAAACAACCATATCATTAATTTTATGCCGTACAACGAACCCAAAACGCGATAACTTAAAAATTCACATCATAATCAAAGAATAAGATACGCGAAAAGTTGTACTCAATAAATCCGTAATAATCCACAGAAAAAGAATATCAAGTTGTTTTTTCCATAAAATAATTCCATGTGGGTAAATAATCCAGAAAATCCTCGTCCGTATGAATGGATGAAAGCGTGAATGAAAATATTATGTTGCCTTTCCGAGCCTTCTCCCTCTCTGAGTTCCGTTTCTCTTGGGTACGCTTGTTTTCCTCACACTCTTAGCTTCAAAATGAGACCCTCCCCGCTGTTGTCGGTGTTTTGTGAAATATCTTAAAAGGTTCGTGGGAAGTAGTCACAACCAGGCAATCACTATTTCACATCAATCAATGCCAGCACACAATGAAGCTAGAGTAAACGTGTCTGTCTATTCCCCGCTTAACATTGTTACAACAAGCTAGAATAAATGTGCCTGTTTATTCCCCGCTCAATAATTGTTACAATGAAGCTAGAACAAATGTGTCCGTTTACTCCCCGCTTAACATTGCTACACACACAATGAAGCTAGAATAAATGTGTCCGTTTACTCCCCGCTCAACATTGCAATCATCACACAATGAGGCTAGAATAAATGTGTCCGTTTATTCCCCGCTCAACATTGTTACAATCATATCAATCAATCAATGGGTTTAAGCATCAATCATCACACAAACTGGCACATAAGAAAATCAAACTCACCGTTGACACTGGACTGGAGAGCCAACAACCCACGGCAGAGTGGCTTAAACCCGGCTGGGCGTTCGTACGCAACCCGCAGCAGACTCTAAAGTGGGTGCTTTCCCTCCGCCTCTATATATTCTCTTCATGCACCTGTGCGTGCAGAGAGGGCCAGTCTCCACCGCGCACACATACATGGAGAAGCATTCCTGTCCCATGTCCAGTCTTTTGAAACTGGCAATGGGGCAGGATGCCCTGTTTTTCATAAACACAGTGTCCTTGGCACAATCCCCTACTAGAAGATAACGAGTTGTATAAGCATAATATTGACTCCGTGCAGGCATGCAGGCCTAGTGAATTGATCTCAGGACCATCTTATATGTTCCCACTACATTCCACCCTGTGGTCCTGTGATCAATTCATAAAGGCAGAGGAGTCCAAGTCATCATTAATATGTAAATATTGCAATATAAAATCATATAAGTGCCTTCTTTCTTCAAAAGTGAAATGGCGTTGCCAGTAATTCTGGTTCTGCCACCACGTCAGTTGTAGTGTATGAAGCTCAGGATTATCTGGCACCACCTCAACATGTATAATGTCACGCCCGAAGGCCCCCTCAGTGATTGTCATTATTATCTTCATGGTGCAAAATTATATAAAGTCCGTGCAATATGTCGTTTGAGCCGAGTAATGCGAATCCAAGTAAGCACGTTACAGCACGTTAAAGCAGCAATAATACAAATCAGTATAACAAGTGGCGGCGCTAGCAGCCGACGGGCAAAGGGTGATAGCCCCGTGAAGATGTCATACCAGAATTTTGCTCTACCAATTTTGCCACTGCCTCCACTTTCTTTGATTGGAAGAGAGTTGTCACCTGTAACTTGGACACGGCATGATCGTGTTGGTCGTCTGCCAATCAACAGGGTCCACCAGGGCATCCCTGTTAACATAAAGCACTTCAGAACATGTTAACCTATTGCCTGGGGTAGCATTTGTCCCCAGGCACATTTACCCAGTGTTCTTATCCTGGGTACATTACGGTAACTATTTTGTCATTACCTTGGGCTATAATTTCTGCCGCTTTAGGAGGCCCCTGAGGCTGTTTTACCCATACTTTAGCCCCAGTCTTATCAGTTGAGCCAAATCCTCCCTCTCCCCGCCCTGTCAAGTGCGTGGGAGGTTGGATTTCAACTGGAGTGGACATGTCACAAGGTTTTATTAACAACTGAGCAATTTTGTCTCCTTTGTTAATTACAAATGGTTCAGATTTAATATTTTGCAATACTACTCCAATTTCTCCTTGATAATCACTATCAATTACTCCTGCCAGAACGGTTACGCCTTTAAGGGACAGTCCCGATCTGGGGAGGATGTGTCCGTACGTTTCAGTAGGGCACTGTAGGGCTAAGCCTATTTTTATTACAGTCGGAGCGTTTTGTAGAAGAGTGACAGTGTCCATTAATACCAAATCTAGATTCGCACCGCTTCAAGCAGGTGCTGTTTCCAATTGGACAGTGAGTTATCAACTGACAATTTTTTCAAGGTTCCTTTCAACAACCCATTCATTCTCTCAATCAAACCAGCCGCTTGGGGATGATATGGCACATGATATACTGTTCAATCAATTGCAAACATTTAAGCGTCGAGTTTTGGTTAGCAAATTTACACGGGTGTACTACAACTACGCCTGAATAAGTGTCTACAGCGGTACTTGAGTTTCGCCAGTGCAGTTCCACCGGCACATGAGGGCGGGCGTCGTCTAACGACCATCTCATTGCCCTTATGCCCAGGGCCTGGCCACCTCCCTAATCTTAATAGCCTCTACGCACGTCCTCCAGATCAGGATACAATCCTGGCTTCCACTGTTTTCTGATTTTTCTCTGCTCCCTACGTTGCTTATCCAATAAGGGACGCATTTGATCAGGCACCACTTGCTGCACCTTACGGCGCCTGATCACTGGGCGAGCTACTGCCCCTCCGGGTGCAGGCTCATCATCACTCCAGATATTACCATCCCAGGTTTCTGGGTCCCAGTCCTCAGCCTCAACTTTTGCAATAAAAGCGCGAACCTGGGGCCGTGTCACATCGCGAGGCGTCTTACGCCTGGCCTGTCTATGCTGTTTAGGAACCCTTCCTACAGCTTTCTCTGCCATTCGGGCGAGTCTTTCTACTTGTGACTCTAGCTCCGCATTTCTCTCCTGTAAATACCGCGCGTACTGCGCCTGCTGTTTCCATGCATGTGCGCAAATCCACATGCGCCTTCGTACTCCGGCCAGCGGAGCCCTTTTGTCAGGAATCACCCCCTGCAAGGTAGTCAACACAGCCTGGACATCCCCGGTCTGTACGCCAGGTCCCCAGTCACCAGGGGTCCCCCCCTGGTCCAACAAACATGTATACACGGGCTGCCACAGCCCGGTCCAACCCATCCCCATCTGCGGGACGGTCTCCTCGGGCATTTTCTTTTTCCGTGAAAACATAGTGAATCTTCCCCTTTAATTTAGTATCCTGCCGACAACGCCAAAAATGTTTTGTGAAATATCTTAAAAGGTTCGTGGGAAGTAGTCACAACCAGGCAATCACTATTTCACATCAATCAATGCCAGCACACAATGAAGCTAGAGCAAACGTGTCTGTCTATTCCCCGCTTAACATTGTTACAACAAGCTAGAATAAATGTGCCTGTTTATTCCCCGCTCAATAATTGTTACAATGAAGCTAGAACAAATGTGTCCGTTTACTCCCCGCTTAACATTGCTACACACACAATGAGGCTAGAATAAATATGTCCGTTTATTTCCCGCTCAACATTGTTACAATCATATCAATCAATCAATGGGTTTAAGCATCAATCATCACACAAACTGGCACATAAGAAAATCAAACTCACCGTTGACACTGGGCTGGAGAGCCAACAACCCACGGCAGAGTGGCTTAAACCCGGCTGGGCGTTCGTACGCAACCCGCAGCAGACTCTAAAGTGGGTGCTTTCCCTCCGCCTCTATATATTCTCTTCATGCACCTGTGCGTGCAGAGAGGGCCAGTCTCCACCGCGCACACATACATGGAGAAGCATTCCTGTCCCACGTCCAGTCTTTTGAAACTGGCAATGGGGCAGGGTGCCCTGTTTTTCGTAAACACAGTGTCCTTGGCACAATCCCCTACTAGAAGATAACGAGTTGTATAAGCATAATATTGACTTCGTGCAGGCATGCAGGCCTAGTGAATTGATCTCAGGACCATCTTATATGTTCCCACTACAGTCGGTGGCGGGGTTTAGGTGGGACAAGCCACTGAAGAAGCTAACGCACCCACCTACTTCCTGGCTTTACGCACGCGTCATCAGTTTGTTTCTCTTCAGTCATTGGCTCTTCCAGAAAGTGATTGACATATTGTTTTAGCCTATCACCAGAGCTTTCAAACGGTGGGTGGGACATGCAGATAGGCTTTGAAAAGGAAGCTGTGTTTACAAGCGCAACAAAGACAGACACAAGAAGCAGTTCGGGAGGGGCCATATTGGGCAGATCTGCCACTTGGAGGACAATTATGGCTACTTTTAAGGTTTTTTTCTTGAGAAAACATGCCTAAAGCTCAGAAGAATTAGTATTATAATAATAACAATTATTATTATTATTATATTATTATTATTATTTTGGCACAAATTTGGCAATCTTGTGCCGAATTGTCATTTTGTTTACACAAAGGCTCACAGCATCAAAACCCTTTGTCCTAGAGATCTGAAATTCTACACAGTTGTTGCCAACAACTTGAACAATGAGTGTAGTGAGTCACAAATGCCTAGCAGGAAGTATGACCAAGCTAAGGCCTTTATTTTTTTCTATTGTGTTTTCGAAGCAAAAAAATATTTTTTTTAATTGACTGTACTGTAGGTTAGGCAGCACTCACAGTCTTCATATACATATCTACAGAAACTAGAAGGCCTAAGCTTTAAAATGGTGCCTCACACAAGCATGTGGGTTCTAAGGTTTTCTTTTAATAAGCTATGGCACTTGGGTATGTAGTGCTATTGTGCACACGCCAAATTAGGTGGATGGTAACAGGTTAAATCTCTTTACATTTTCACTTTCTTAAAACCCTCACGCTCTCCTCGGGGTCACATTGACCTGAAGATTTTTTTTTTCCTTCCCACTCTCTTGGGGTGGTTCAATCAGACTCAAAAATTTATTTTCAAATAAATTCTCGCCAGGTGAGAAAATAAATTTTTGGGTCTGATTGATCCACCCCAAGAGAGCGGGAAGGAAAAAAAAAATGGGGTCAATGTGACCCCCGAGGAGAGCATGAACATTTGAAACAGTTCGCAGTGGTCCAAAGTTCTTCCTCACTTACCTACAGCATTCAAAGCATCTGAATTATTCACCATGATATAAGTTCTTCACAACTCTTAGAGACCAGAGCAGAGTTTTGTCCTCACTGTAAATGATAAAAACAAAAAAACAAAACCAAAACAAAGCATGCCAACCTTGCACTTTCTGATTCTCAGACAGTACAACACTTCCACCAGACAGTACATGGCAAATTTATTTTGATCTGAAGAGCTGCTTATACAATAGATCTGTACAGGGGCTAGACACATTTTACTTAAATGCATGAGCAAAAATGGGTACAGCACCTTTTAAAAAGTGTTTAATTGAACTCAGTTGAAAATATATATATATTTTTTTAGATTATTATTATTATTAACACTTCAACAACTTTTATTTTTTGTCTTTTTCCAGAGCATGAACACAAACCAGAATCGGATATGGAAATTCTGACAGAAAACTCCTCGGATTCTGAAGACGATTGGAGACAACAACAGCGCAGCGTCGCCCAAACCGTCCAATCAAAGCAGGAGGAGCTGACGGAGAACTCCTCAGACTCTGACTGCGAGGAGGAACTCAAATGCACCACGAGGAGAGAGACTGACCCACAGACCAAGCACTCCTCCCAGCCACAGGGGCATGAAGTAAAAACGATAAAGCTCTCCACACAGGCTCCAAAGAAAAACATATTTGTGTGCCCCCATTGTAAGAGATCCTTCAGTCACAAATCCATCCTGGACATGCACATCTTGGCCCATGAGAGAAACAGAACCTTTGACTGTTCAGAATGTGGATCGTCCTTCACCTACAAGTACCGTCTGGAGCGCCACAAGGGGATCCACCTGAGGAAAAGGCCCTCAGTCTGTGAGAACAATGCCCCAACACAGCACACGACTGACACCAACACAGAGACAAAGAAGCAGACTCCTCCATCTGAAGAGCAATATGGCAGAGAACCTGATGGAAAACCTGATGGAAAACCTGATGGAAAACCTGATGGAAAACCTGATGGAGAACCTGATGAGTTGAAGGAGCAGAAACATGTGCATGCACGTCCCATGTGCTTTCAATGCAACAAGACCTTCTCCACCACTGGAAATTTGCATAAACACATGCGGAATCTTCATGGGAACAAGTTCTCGAAGAGGAAGAGGCAGAAGAACCTCGAGTCTGGGCACAAGCACTTGGCCTGTCCCACGTGTGACAAACGCTTCCTGTTTCGGAGCAAGCTTGAAAAACACATGAAGTCCCACACACACGTGACCTCGCCAGACTCCCACGTGACGTCTCCAAACTCCCACGTGACTTCTCCAAACTCCCACGTGACGTCTCCAAACTCCCACGTGACTTCTCCAAACTCCCACGTGACTTCTCCAAACTCCCACGTGACGTCTCCAAACTCCCACGTGACTTCTCCAAACTCCCACGTGACGTCTCCAAACTCCCACGTGACGTCTCCAAACTCCCACGTGACGTCTCCAAACTCCCACGTGACGTCTCCAAACTCCCACGTGACGTCTCCAAACTCCCACGTGACGTCCACACACACACAACAAAAGATGGAGAAGCGCTTTGAATGTGACATATGCCACAAACGTTTTCGAGACCGCAACTACCTGAAGGACCACCGCCGAATGCACACCGGAGAGAAACCTTACAGGTGTCAGCTCTGTGACAAGTCCTTCACCTTCAAGACACTTCTCCACACTCACATGAAAACTCACAGAGAACTTTACCACTGACCACACTCAAAAGAAAGGATCATTTATGTGTATCAGATGCCCTTCCATACCTCTATATCCCTTTGTGTCAGATGCCCTTCCATCCATGCCCTTACACACCTGCGACACTGACTGCTCTCTGACAGGTCATGGACTCCTCTGTCTCCTCTGTCTCCTCTGTCTCTGCTCATCTGCTGTAACAGAGCCATGAGTTTGAAGACTATTGGTTAATGAAGTTACACATTGAGTTGAAGCTTAATTAAACACTGAGATCTTATTTGTTGAACAGTACCATTGTGTTTCCTATATAATGTGCTATGTGCTTCTAAGCAATTTCCTTTGCAGAACTGGGACTGTGGAGACAACTGTTGGAGGGGGTTGTCACAAATTCTTACAGAACTAGGACTGTGGAGATAACCAACTGGCTTATCTAAACAGACTTGGTGTGATTTACAATGGTTTGGAGGGGGTTGTCACTTCCCCCAAAAAAGAAATGCTGACACTTCAAGGCAACGATTCAAGGCGGGAACCTGCTCAACATATTATTTGCATATTCATATGGATGTTTATAAAAATTGGATTGAAGTATTCAGAAGGGGTCAGATGCCTGATGTAAGCCCTATGTAACTTTGTAGGCAGTTAGGGACAACAATCTGACCCAGAGCTCTGTATTAGAATTGAATTGTCAGGGGAATAAATTTTTGTAACTTAAATTGATTGAGTCTAGTAATTTTTTATAGAACATGCCTAACAAGATGGTATTCACCGTCCCAAGAGCTCTGCTCTTAAACACGTCTTTGGAAAATCATTCATTGTGAATCGTCTCCTAACCTTCATTTCAAATAAAATATGAATTGGAATCTGTTCAGCCCGTTGCCAGTTTTCTCGGGGCAAGTGATCACAGACAACTTCCTGTCCACAACACACAGAAAAGCTTTTGCTTTGATATAAACAGAGGTGAGGAGGGGACATGTTGGGACTTTATACTAACACTGTGTCTTGTGTGTCTTGTTCATGGAACTAACGATTGGAACACATTTTCATTATTTTCAAGACCAATGCAAATGAGATAATGATTTATTGCATTATAAATGTGTATGGATTTTGGTGTGTTAACTTCACAGGGATTCAACAGATCTAGATGCAAACTGAGCCTGGAAGTGACAAAAGCCCGTGTGGATGTGGAGATGCTGTGTGTGTGTTTGTGTTTTTCTCTCCTCAGGTGTGACATGTCAATGAATCAGACAGTTCAAGTGTGCAGAGAAAGACACAAAAGCAACTGACAGACTAAACTCAAGTGAGGATCAGACCTTTCACACAAGCAGGTTTCAACTTCCACTCAGCTAAACTTTAGTCCTGTCTAATTTTTCTGCCTATTGCATTCTAAGTAGATTCTAAATAATAGGAACTTGAAATACATTTGAACTCCTTTTGACCAAACAATGTGCTCGCATTTCCTGACATATTTTTGGCAAGTTGTTGTAGAAAAAATTATATAGATCCTGTTTCCTTTTTCATCCTTCCTGTGGATAAACCCTGCCCTTCTCCTTCACCTTTCATTATTTTTCAATTCCGTTGGGAAGAGAAACAGTTTGAACAGAGGTTTGAGTCACACACATTTAATTCCCTTTTGCATTTGGAGTTCACAAACACATTTCTCGAGTCGTTTTCCGCTGTTAGGATCCAGCAACCACACAATTACGATGTTCGAATCCCAAAACTACAATATGACAATATCAGAACCAGAAACAAAAGTGATATGGTTCAAAAGACTTGAAAAGATCAACTTTGTCAATAGACACATCCCACTGGGAAAACAAACATGGAGGTTTGATGCTGACTTTTTTGGAAAATCCTTCCCAGTGTGAACTGCACCATGACTAGAAGTCTGAGATTCTTGATGTGTGCATTGTAAGTGTTACAGACATTATCTACATCTATAAACATTACCTGTGTTGTGTTATATAAACCAGGGGCGTCAAACTCAGATTCACAGAGGCCAAAATTAAAAACGAAATATTGATTTAAAAATGTGCATGTTTTCTCTTTCGTGATATGTAATAGTAAAGCTTTTATTATTAAAATAAATGTATTTAATAATAGTTTTGCTTAAACATTGAATCCAGAACAAGGTGAATATAAAATAATAACAACTTTTTAAATACATAATGTCTTTATAGCTGAGGTCCTATTAAGATAATTACACTAAATTTACATTTCAGCCATATATAAGTTCATGAATACAAAATGCATAAATAAACATTTATAGTAGTCAAATTGTTCCAGTACCTTGACTAACACAGTCTTCTTAGCAGAACATTTGTAAATGGTGCAAATAATCCAAGCCCCAAACCCACATCCAGGACATTTATAAACTCTCTGCAGATACAGCTGCTTCAACACTTATTTGATGCCAAGAATTGTTCCATTTATAATTAAATCTCCTGTTATCCTCTACTAGAGTAAATCATGTGGAAGTAGTTTCCCTGCACACATCGCGCTGTAGAAGAACGTCCTGAGGCTGTTGACTAGTGGTCCTGTCAACACAAACTAATACTCTCTTGTGTTATGTGTTGAAAAATCTACATTCACTGCTGTACTCATTTACTGGAAACCATCCCAACATGTCCTTCAACATATTTACTGTTAATAATTATCTGGCCCCAGTTTCAGTGAGTGCTTTTCCATTGAAACTGGTATTCCTCTGTCAGGTGCTGTCCAGTGCTCCCCTCAGTGTTTCTCTCCTGATGACCTGTGTACATCCCTCTGTATGTCTGCTGTACACCTGCCCATAAACTCACCTCTCTCTCTCTGTCTTTCTACCTGATCTACACTCTTCTCTATTTGCTCTTTCTCTCGCAAGAGAATAAACCCCACAAAGACAACTATTCACTCAAGATCTCTATTTCGTTCTCACCCAAAAATTTCCACAACAACGAGAACACAATTTGGCTGTATCTGCAAAGAGGCACTGCCTAAATATTCAGCTGTGTAAGTACACCAACCATAACTCAATCTACTCTCATTTTCTAATTTAAATAAAGACAAGAGTTATTGCTGTAACTTATTTTTGTGTTTAACCTTGTTTAACCCAGAGGTGTTGTGGTCCTTTACACACATGTTCATCTTACCATTAAGTGCATTCAACAGTTTTTGCACCTCTGCAGTATCTAAACATAAAACACATGTCAAATGTTTTCAGAGCTGTATTAGACATATTTAGATCTTTGCTGGTTTCTCACACTGAGTCCCACAAACACACCCACAGCACAGAGGACATCTCACTGAACACAAACTCTTAGCAATTTTATAGATAGTACATTCAATTGTTGTTTGTGAATGACTTTACAAAGCAAAGACATTTTTTATTTTCTTTGACCATGTGTTTGTAAAATGGCTTGAAAGTCAGGGGGGTAAGAGTTAAGACTTTGATGTAACTGGAGTTTGAGTGGGGCATGAGACGCTCAGACCGTGGAGCTGCTCAGACCGCGCAGCCACCCAGACCATGCAGCCGCTCAGACCATCGAGCTGCTCAGACCATCGAGCTGCTCAGACCATCGAGCTGCTCAGACCATGCAGCTACTCAGACATGATTTTTTTCTCCAGCACTCGGGAATATGTTCTTGGAAACCTTGTTTTTATCTGTATCTATTTCCACAAACTGTACAGCTGAAAGTTTTTTCTCCTGTGTGAATCATCGTGTGACGTCGATAGCAGAATTTAGTTTGAAAACGCTTCCCACATTCCCAACAGTGGAAATGGTTCTTGGCTTTGTGACGTAAGAGGTACAGGTTTAACATGTCTGGGCTCTTAAACTCCTCACCAACCGCTGGCAGACTCTTCTGACTGCTCTGGTTTGTTAAATGTTCAACTCTAACTGAACGCCTGAATGGTTCCTGGTTCTTGTGAGTGATTATGTTGCTGTGGAAGGCGTCCGCTTGTGGGCGCTGCAGCTTCCCTTTGCGTATGTGCACAGACAGGTGCTCTTTCGGCTATTCCTTGGACTTGAGGCACACGCCGCTGACAGCACACTGACATTTGTTACTCTCTACTACCAGAGGTCTGGGAGCCTGAGAGTTCTGTGCAGTATCTTTGTGTTCCTGTTCTGCACTTTTCTGGACTGAGGTGTCTGTTGTTTTTCCTTGTGTCTGTTGTCGTCTCTTCCAGTTTAGGAGTTACAGCCCCGAGTGCTCCAATCACCACAGGCACCACTGATGTCTTCACTTTGCCTTCACAGACCTTCTCCAGCTCCTCCTTGAGCCCCTGGTATTTCTCTAGTTTCTCATGTTCCTTTTTCCTGATATTACCATCACTTGGTTTTGTGATGTCCACCACCACGGCTCTGCTCTGTTTCTTATCCACCACCACTATGTCTGGTTGGTTCATCACCATCCTGTCAGTCTGTATCTGAAGTCCCACAGGATCTTGGCTCGGTCGTTCTCCACAACCTTTGGAGGTGTTTCCCACCTTGATCCTGGGGTCTCCAGCCTGTACTCTGCACAGATGTTTCTGTACACTCTGCCCTATTAAGAAAAACACACTTATTCCATTGGGAGATCATTTGACTTGGGTGAAAAAATGCATAGCAGACTCGGTTGGCCGATGTCCAAATACTTATTTATTAACAAAATAACGTTTCGGCAAAAAAAGCCTTCATCAGATATTTTTCCTGTCTTGGACCACAGCACACAAAATGGTTGCCAGCCCAGGTGCCCATATACCCCTTCAATGAATGGGAGGTCCCAAGGTGAGGTCACCCAGTGAGTTCAGCCCATTCTACAACAAGAAACAACAGTTTACATAAAAAACATTTTATAAAATACAGAAATAGTTTCAGTCTGTCACAAAAAACATCTTAAATCAAACTCCACATTCAGTCCATGAGGAGTAAGAGTTTTAAGATGGTGAATCCAGAAGTGTCTCTTTTAGACAGGAGCATCTCTAGATTACCACCTCTAGGGGGCAGTTCCACATGTTCAATGCCAATATATCTTAAGGAAGAGATAGGATGGTTAAAATCAACAAAATGAGCCACCACAGGATAGTTCATGTTTTTACATCTGATTGTTCTCCTGTGCTCTGCAATCCGTGTTTTTAAAGCCCTGCTGGTTTTACCCACAGAGGCTTTACCACAGGGGCAGGTGATCATATAAATCACAGACTTGGTGTTGCAGGATATAATTCCTTTGATCATTATTTCTTTTCCAGTGTGAGGGTGCTTAAAACTGTTGCAGCGATATGTGTAGTTACACTGACTGGTGGGTGCAGTCAGCTACATTTAAAGGCCAAAACGTTCTGCTCAGTGACTTTGATGAATGCTGCTCTGTTTTAACATACAAACTACACAAATTCTGGAAGTTTTGAATGAAATATCAACTATAATATATATAATACATTTATAAAAGCTTTGTTAGACATCCAGACCCGCAGACTCCCTCAGAAAAGTGAGACTAGAGGCATTTAGACTCTCATCAGAAGTGCTGTACTCAACCGTCTCTGTGCCTCTGCGCCGCTTTTTTTTTTTTCGTGCTGCACTTTGCATTGCACTCAGAGGGAGAGCCCCGCATATCTGCCGTTGCCCACTAGGTGGTGCGGTGGCTGAGTGGTTAGCACTCATGCCTCACAGCAAGAAGGTTCTGGGTTCAATCCCCAGGCTTTCTGTGTGGAGTTTTCATGTTTCTCCCAGTGTCTGGATGGGTTTCCTCTGGGCGCTCTGGTTTCCCCCATCAACCCCAAAAAAACATGCTACAGGTCTCCAAGAACAGTTGATAATCAAGGTCAGTGAAATACAATCAATGAACCTGCCCAAGGACAACAGGAGGCACTGGTGCTACAACCTGATGTACAATACATCTCTCCT